AAGCAGTCAACATTGTGACACTGTCATTTTTAGCATTACATATTATTATCTCATTGTCACACATATCTAACATATGCTATGACTATGCCAGAAAAATATCATCTTGATGTGTGTCTTAGAAGCAGGTATTCTTTCCATTGCGCTGGATCCGATAGAACATAGTAGGCATCGGCTATGGCCTGCTTGATAGGTTAACATGCTTTCCAGGGCAGTAGATACATTGCATGAACTTGGAACTTTTCTGTTGTATGATAAAATTATCTGTGAAGATGATAAAGTTAAGTGCTGCTCAGATTGACGAAGCACTGCGACTGTCCAGTTGTTGTATTCAAGGAGGAAAATAGAGTCTATGACGTTTCAAATACATCATTGATGAGGTCTAGCACAAAAATTGGATTGTACAGTACATCCTTGTCAGTTCTTTGAACTTGTATCATTAGGAAAAACCTCCCCCAGGTATTACCTAGAAATTACCTGAACATTGTGTGAATTACTGTGTTTTACCATGTTTTACCAGGTTTTATCATCATATTTCACATTACTGACATTTACATAGTAAACTGCAGTCCCCTGTTGACACCATCACAGTAAAGTGGAGGAAAACACAAGAAAACATGAAAAAATGCGAAATGTTTGTAGCATCCACACTGCACCATTCACGACCAATATCACACTGATGTAAGCAAAAAAAAAATTATATTGTCATCCAGACTCAATACATGATAGATATGGTAATGATTGTAGAAAAATGTGTGGCCAGTCAACGAGTGTATCACAGGTAGCAGAAAGATCCTACTAGAACATAAAGAGCAGATTAGCAGCACTAGTAATAGTGGATAGCAAGAACTGGTGATTAAATCAGACTCACTGCCCATGTTTTCTCATACAAGAAAAACAGTGAGCAGTCAGATATAGCGAGCAAGTGGTGAGATATGTCAGGGTGTATTGATGATTATATTAGAACAGCCTTGAAAATTCAATGCACGGGCATGTCAGTATAGAGTCCTGCAGTGCTGAACATTAGTGGCGCAATCATAGAAGGTATTTAGGATATACACGCACACAGAGGATCAGCGATGTGAAGATGTTTGCTACCAAGAGCACTTCAGGAAAGAAAATGATCATGCATGAGTACGGAAAAATGGACATATGAATGTTAACTCACAAAAACCACCACAAAAACCACAGAAAACCGCATGCATAATAGGATTTGTTATGGTTCACCAGGATAACATACAGACAGCTTGAATTCATCCACCAGCTCTGTATGGCACAAATGAGCATGAGGGTCATGAGTCCTGGGGAGAACATCATGGGCAACGACTTGGATCAGCATGGCTCTTGCTCAAACAAGGTTCAACACACTCATGTTCTGCAAACAATGGGCAACAACTTGGATCAGCATGGCTCTTGCTCGAACGAGGATTGGCAAACTCACTTCCTGTGAACAGTGGTTGGCGACTTGGACCAGCATGGCTCTAGCTTGAATGAGGATCAACACACTCACTTCCTGCAGATGGTGGGCAACAACGTGACTCAGCATGGCTCTAGCTCAAATGAAGATCGACACACTCACTGTCTGCTAATGGTGAGCAACGACTTTAGTTGCATCTGTGAAAGTGAACAGAATGTTTCAGTAGTAGTGGAATACCGAGGGAAGAGTGTGCACACTTTGTTGATTTCTGTCAAACTCAACCGTGGTAAAATATTAGTAATCATTAATCTGACACAAACCGAAATCACGTAGTAGTATCCCACCCACCCAGATGTATTGTCCAATATAATGTTCTTGCTTTCATTATGCATTATGTCGAATTCTGCTTGGGTCTGAAAGGACAAACAAATGGAGGATGCGTCCTTTGGAAGAAAAATTCAGTGATAGTTGAACGTTGATGGTGTGAGCCTCCTGACTCCCGAGTCATGGTGTTGGTTTGGGATTCTCATGTACATTTGTTTGTTTCTGAAGGTCTTGCCAAACAATGCTTTGATTATGTAATAAGATCCACATGCATTGGATGGTTGCACAAGTCTCAAGTTTTTGCATTCAGAAGTGAGGGCTATATTTTAATCAAGCCAATATTCATCGGTGTCACATAGTAAATCTAAAAATGATCAATATTTTAGACTACATAATAATAAGTATTGTGGGAAATCTGTACTAGTAGTACATGACACTTGGACAGGGTTGGGGATAGACCGGTATGGTGCAAAGATGAATTTCCTGATAACAAGTGCTAGAACCATCAGTGATGGAATGGACGAGAGGAAAGACAGCTTCATAACAGTCGTTGCATGTGTGTCACGGTGAAGGTTTCGCTTTGGTGTTTTTTTCAGAAGGGGATTGGGAGGATGTGTCGGCGAAATAGAATATCTGGGTTTCAGAGTGTTAGTTTGCAGTGGGGAAAATTGAGAGAATCTAAGGATCAATAGCAATGAGAAAGGCGAACAAACGACAGAACACTGAAACACAACTGAATGAAATGCAAGACTTACCCGTCCAGAATACTTAGTGCATGCAACCCTTCTACAAAGCCTACAATGATGACATCTTCTCCACATCCCTTCACCACCACTAGCTTTTCCTTCTCCTCCACCACTCCCACCTTCCTGTGCACTTCCTTTGTGGCCCTCACCCAATCCTTTTTTGCCTGTGCCCTTTCCCTTTTGATTTTGACTTGCACTCCTCCCCCACTCAAATGAGGAAAACGATGGCAAAGAGACAGTCACAGACATCAATAGAGGCACTGTAAACCTTACAAACTCAAACGGGCATGCAAACCACATACACATCTGTCTTTGCATCTGGGACCCAGATTGGGGGTGGGAAGGGCAAGGGTATGTGTTGAGGTCAGGCAGAGGGAGGGAACCCTTCTATGCGATTTGGAGCTACACATATTACAGTGACCTATCTCTGTATAATATGAGGGAACAGATGTGCATAATATCCCATAAGATATGGGCCAGTGGACCATGGGTGTCATATCCCGCATTCCGGACCAACATCTGATGACATTCCCACGCCTCATCCGGACTTCCGGACCTCCTGTCCATGTCTCCAGACCCAATCCTCTATCTGTCCAGATCCCTGTACTCCTGCATCTGATATCCGGACACCAGATCTGATATCCACATCTCCGGATCTCCGGATCCGACCTATCTGTCATGTCCAAACTCAAACCTTAAATCAGTGCCCATCCCCTTATGGTAATCACCTGTCTCTGGACTTCTGAACATCCGGATCCGACCCACATCTATCTTCCGTGCCTTATCCCTTTGTACATTCCTTCTTGAGTTAGACTTACTCATTTTCCATACCTCATTTCATTTCGAGCTTTATTTTCCTATGTCCTCATCTCCGTCTTCATTTACTATTTTCCGATAGACTAGTGTTTGACTTTTCTATACCCTCCGTCCACAGCCTCACATAGCTTCAGACTGCGCTGACTGATTCTCCGTTATGTCCTTTATAGTATATAAACCCTGTAAAGTCTCTATACTTCCTCAGTCTGAATATTACACATATTAGTCCTCGCACTAGCCTTCACCCTAAGTCCTCGTAACAGTTCTAGTCCTCTGACTTAGTAATTATCCATCTCAGGCCTAGGGAGGAATTCCCTAGGCTGGAGCTCTGATTTTCCACTCCTCTGCTCCTCCACTCCTCCGATCCTCCGCTCCTCCGATCCTCCGCTCCTCTGATCCTCTGATCCTCTGATCCTCCGGAACTTTCCCGCAGTCCTCCGGACCTATTCTGCTTCGGACTTTGTTTCCCACGCTCCTCCAGAAGTCCTTCGGACTTCACTGGACTTTCTCCGGACTTCATTCTGAAGTTAAGGGCACATACTCGGGTAAGGGGTGCAGCACACAAGCTGAAGCCAAGCCCCTTGGAATCAGTCCTACCCTTTGTGCACAGTCTTAACAATGGGCCCATGATAAAAATATCCTCGACTATGACGGATGGGCCAGGAGGGAAATTATTCCCGATGGAGGCGGGTGGGCCCATGCAGGGAATATATAGAGTAGATGAGTGGGCCGATGTACATGAATATTCGGTAGACGGGTGGGCCAAGGTAGTTGGATATTATGCAGATGGGTGTATTAAGGTAGATGTGTATGAGATAGATGGGTAGGTACTTGTTATCACATTCACGGGTGGGCCCAGACGCATATTAAATTAGATGGGTGGGCCGAGGGTATTATAAAATATTGTATTAGACGGGTGGGCCGAGAGTGTTTTATAGAATATTTCATTAGACGGGTGGGCCGAGGGTGTTGTATGGGATATTGTATTAGACAGGTGGGCCAAGGGTGGTATAAAATATAGATGGGTGGGCCCATGTGTATCATAATTGTAGACATGACAGAGCTGAGGTAGTTGTACATCAACCAAATCAGAGGAGGTAATAAATCAAAGTTACCGAGTTCCTGGAGCAGCAGGTGATCTCTTGACATGGCCTTTGATGGTGCACAGGTTGTCTTGCAGAATGTGGAATCCGGGGTGTGAGGCTAGTGTTGCCTTATGAGACACCCACTTCCGACCACCAAAATTCTCCGAGTTCTGAGTTCCGGGACCCAGGACTCAACACATAATTTAGTTAATACTTTCCGTGTTAAATGGCCAACTGAAGTTGAGATGTTTCTGAAGAGAGCAGCAGGTGCTCTCTTGACATGGCCTTTGATGGCGCATAGGTTGTCTTGCAGAATGTGGAATCCGGGGTGCGAGGCTTGTGTTGCCCTATGAGAAGCCAAGTTCCGACCACCAAAATTTGAGTCAACTGTACCGAGTTCCGAGTTCCAGGACCCGGGAGTCAACAAATGAATATCTGATATCCAGCACACTTCCAATCAGGTAGTATTGCATTGAGCAATGGATGATAATACATCTTTGACAGCCAAAATTATCCAAGGCTCCCTTATCTGATCCTCACTATCTCCACCCCCTTTAACACCAAAGTCTGGACATCCAGCATTCAGTGTCTGATTTCCCAAGATCAACATCCAGCATGAACGTTTCTTACCCTTCCACTTCTGATAGCATAAACATCTGGCACACTTGGGCCCTGACTGTCACTTATGAAGCAGGGGAATATACCGAACAGAAATTCAAGTCAGAGAAGACTGGAGGAGACCCAGTCATACCTTCTCCTAACCTAGACACTGATCTGGTGATGGTGTGCGATTGCTTGGCTGATGTACTCATAAAGGCATATAAAAATCCCAGTGGGTCTTCCTGCAGATTCAGAAAATTCATTTTATCATTCAAATTCCTGCATGACAGTTCAGATGCAGATGGATATTGCAAGATATAGCAAATTGATCTCCCTGAAGGACACCGGGCATAATGAACAGAGAGAGGCGAAGTTGCTTGAGAGGTGTCCTCCTGGCCATGAAGGCAAAAAGTTGGTTGACGAACCTGCCACAATTTTTGATGCATCCGGTGCCATCATCGCATGCTACCTCCCAGACGCCCTGACCAACACCACCCAGGTGTGTAATATACATTGTTACTCAATGGATATTGAATGTCAAATGGAACCTACAGAAGGAAATCAGGGAGGCCACCGATTTGCTCGCTCCAAGCCTCGAAAAAGTGTAAGGGCTGATGGCAATTGGCAAACTAATCAAAAGTGGTTCAAACGGGGCTTGGACAATGTTAGCACAACTCCTGGATGCATCAATTTATCTCCGGCATGGTTTCAACAGGGACACGAGGTAGGATCTGATGAGATGGTGATTCCGGCAGTCATACTCACCAATCCCAAAGAATGGGTCCAATCCGGAGGTATCTGCATCATTGAAGGGACCTTCCTGCGAGAATATCCTCAAAGCCATTACAAGGCCAGCAGCCATCGCGTCCGCAGCATGATAATTGGAACTCGGGACTTGACATATGGGAGTCCCGAGTGCCGGGGTACTGAGTCCCAAAACCCGGAACTTGGCACTCGATATTTGAGACTGGGAGAAGATGTATAAATATGCTTGAATTAACATTGTGATTGCCGTACACATTTGACAGAACCCTGAACCCCGACATTGTGGACTCCCCGGGTTTCATGGTTCAGGACTTGTGACTCGGAATTGGATACTTTGTTCTGAATACCGAGACCCGGAAGCCCGGGTCCCGAGTCCCGAATTTTGGGGTTTGGGGTTCAGCGACCCAGAGCTCAGCAACCGTGTCGGGTGTCAGGGTATCCGGAACATTGGGAATCGCATGTGTCAGTGTTTCGTGTTTCATGGTTCGTGTTCCATGATTCGGGAATTGGGCGTCAGGGACTCGGTATTCAGAACAGTGTCGAGTCCCGAACCCCGAACCCTGAGTCATGAGTCCTGAACCACGAGCTCCAAGTCCCGAGTCCCGAACATGTTCCTGTTCCTGTTCCATGATTCGGGAATCGGGAATCGGGCATCAGGGACTCGGTATTCAGAACAGTGTCAAGTCCCGAACCCTGAGTCATGAGTCCCGAACCTCAAATCCCGACGTTCGGGACTTGGGACTCGGAGCTCGGGGTTTGGGACTCATGACTCGGGGTTCAGGGTTCGGGACTCGACACTGTTCTGAATACCGAGTCCCTGACGCCCGATTCCCAAATCATGGAACAGGAACACGAACATGTTTGGGACTCGGAGCTCAGGGTTCGGGACTCATGACTCAGGGTTTGGGGTTCGGGACTCGGAGCTCGGGACTCAACACTGTTCTGAATACTGAGTCCCTGACGCCCGATTCCTGAATCACAGAACACGAATAGATATTTGGAAGTTGGTATGTGATTTTCAGTACTCATTACATCATGTATGGAACATGAATTTCAAAATTCTGAACTCAGTGACTAGGGCTACTCTCCTCTGCCTATCTTCGATCTGTCTAGGATGGTGGCATACATCTGCATCTCTGCCATCATATCACGGATGCCCTCCTGTTGCTCCTCTGGCAATATCAGGAGGTGTTCTCTAATCCACCTCAGTCCCATCAGTGCTGGAAGTGAGGTTTGATCCACCTGCTCTGGAAGAGTGAGACCATCATTCTCAACACCACCCTAGAACAGATTAGTCATGAATCATGGAAATGGAATAAAATTCTTACTAGCCAATGCTGGTAGTGAAAGATACAGCAAGTCATTACCTGATCCAATTGTCATGGTTCATTCGGGATTGCAGTTTGTCTCATCCACCATGGAGTATCATAGTTGTATACAATCCAGGATGGATCTCCCGGATCTGCGACATCATGAAACTCACATAGGTGGGATGAAAGGATGTGGTCCGGAACCATGTTCCAGGTGTGTCCAGGAAACAACTGAAGAATATGAGTGAAGAATATGAGTGACTGGGCTGGGAACAACTGAAATGATGTTCCTTTGTATGATAAGGATCAGCTCAAAATAGGCCGGAGTTTTGAGCTAGTGTGGATACTTGCTATTTCTACTTATAAGGAGCCCATACTTTCAAAACATCGAAATTTAATAATCAAACACCTGGAGTAGATTTAAAATATATTCACTATCATATACCTAAATTTACAAAACAATCCAACAAGAATTGAGTGCTGAGGAAATGAAATAGATAAGAAATTGAGTGTGGGAAAGTTCAAAGACCCAAAACATCGAAAATGATCAGTTGGACAGTAGCAGGACTTTAATGCTAGGTCAACTCAGATATACACCACATTACTTCCACAAACCTCTAATCTCAGGGCAGTATGTAGTATAGGTTGCTTTAGTAGTCTACCATATATCCTACATATTTTGAATGATATATTTGACCTGTACCATATATAAATGTGACTTTGTGTAAAAATATGTCAATTGTCACTTTTCACAGATATGTCATTTTACTTGTCATTCAGTCAGTCCTTCGTGGATCTTTCTAAAACTTCAAATACATCATCTGGGACATATATAAGAGGTATAACAGGTATATGATCACTTATCACAAGCTTCATTACTATGTAGGCTTCTTATCAGTAGAAATACCCCCTGTACATCAGATATCAAATTTGCGCCCTATGTAGGGCTGATCCTTGGCACAGAATATATGTGTGAATGTACTACTTGTAATATATGAGCAGGGCTGGTTATTTATGCAAGAGTAAGATGCTGAAAAACATCAGAAATGTCAAAAGTGAGATTTTCTATGTTTTTGTTCTTGTACTGATATATCAGTCCTATAATAATGGATATCTATGCACTACAGTAATCCATGTACCAGACTTCCCTTATAATTGTAGTAAATGATACATTAATTCCACAGGGACAGGTGCAGCAAGACCATCACTGCCGTCAAGGCACCTACACCTGCATCAGCTCATATGTCACTTGAATTTTCTATGACCATTTGACCTCATTTTCCACTTGTAGGAGTTCCATCATCAACCTCCGGAGTTTCTCATTCGGCACTTGATGTGCCCATGGCAATGGCTATTCAGTATGGTGCAGCTCGAATCACAATTCTTGAGGCTCGTGTGGCGGAGCAGGATGGTAAGATTGACACCCTGCAATGCCTCCATGAAGGTCTTCAACGAGAAATCATCCTCCGGCACCCATCATTTCCACTTCCGGACCCCCCTGCCAATGCAACATCCTTGTTGCTTCATCAACCAGTCCCCCCTTCCATGTCACCCCCCGAATCAGCACTTCCTCCTCTCATTGATCTGTCGATGGCAGGGATGGAGCTCACCCTCCCAAAACTCGAGGATCCTCCTGCCATCGAGGGTCTCATGTTTGAGCATAGCCAAGTTGAACCCAAGGGTCCACAGATGTCCATAGAATAAAAAAGACCATGTAAGGAAGTGGTGCTGCCACTGTTCATTTGCATCAAGTTGGCAAAACATTATTTTTTGACCCAGATACAAACTCAGTTTTCTACCACAAATCACCGGGTCTCAAAATCCGAACACCCGAAACATGAAGCTCAGGATTCAAGACTCGAAACTAGCAAAAATGTGTGAAATTTCTATTTCCTTGGACATTTCACTGATTTCTGAGTTCCGAGTTCCGAGTGCTGAGTGCTGAGTGCTGAGTGCTGAAGCTTGAAACTTGAAATCGGTGGAAAATGAAATCTCGCAACAATGTACACATGAACATGTTTCATTTCCATAAACAATTCCCTGAGTGTCATGTACCAAGCCCCGAAACCCAAAGCCTGAAGCCCAGACTGTGTTGTCAGGTTCGTACAAGACACTCGGTGAATTGTCAAAGGAAATGAAACATTTTCATGTGTACATTGTTGCGAGATTTCATTTTCCACTGATTTCAAGTTTCAAGCTTCGGCACTAACCCGGAACTTGGGACTCGATTTTTGAGATGAAAGACATTGTTCAAACATGTTTGAATCAACCTTTCATATATCCATAAACATTTTACCAACTCCTGAACCCCGAAATTGTGGACTGCCGGGTCTCGGGGGTTGGGGGTCGGCACTCGGGACTTGGGAAATTTGGGGAGATCAATAAAATTTGATCTACAATAAATTTGATTTACAAACAAATTGATTTACAAACTTTTGAAAGATATGTCGTCTCACATATCGAGTCCCGAGTTCCGGGACCCCCGAACCCCGAGACCCGGCAGTCCACAATTTCGGGGTTTGGGGGTGGTAAAATGTCTATGGATATACAAAAGGTTGATTCAAACATGTTTGAAAGATGTCTTACCCAGAACTCGGGACTCGATTTTTGAGATGAAAGACATCTTTCAAACATGTTTGAATCAACCTTTCATATATCCATAAACATTTTACCAACCCCGAAATTGTGGACTGCCGGGTCCCGGGTTTCGGGGGTCCTGGAACTCGGGACTCGATATGTGAGACAACAGATATCTTTCAAAAGTTTGTAAATCAATTTGTTTGTAAATCAAATTTATTGTAGATCAAATTTTATTGATCTCCCCAAATTTCCCAAGTCCTGAGTGCTGATCCCCGACCCCCGAGACCCGGCAGTCCACAATTTCAAGGTTTGGGAGTTGGTAAAATCTCAGGGTTCAGGGTTCGGCACTGTGAAAATTTGACATTTATATTTTTGCGAGTGTTGTGCTTCTGGTGTCCGTGTGTAGAAATAGGATATGTTGCACACCAGGGTTCAGGTGTGGGGTTTTCCCACTTCAGTACTTGCTTATTGGTCAATGCCACACACGATCGATTCATGTTTTCATGCTTACGGGTTTAGATTTCGGTGGTCGATGGTAGGTATATGCACTCATAGTGTGCATGTATCCTACGTGTTTGATTTGCTGGTGGCTACATCAGCTGTATGTCTTGATGAAACATATCTAGGCTCACCCATATATGTACCCATCTATGTACAATTCCCCCACGTCAGCCCACCCATCTATGTAATATCCCCCACGTTGGCCCACCTGTCTATGTAATACATCCTACGTCAGCCCACCCGTCTATATAATTATACCCCACCTTGGCCCACCTGTCTATGTAATAAATATTTTATCGCACCCTCGGCCCACCCGTCTATTTGATATCCCTTACATCGGCCCACCCCTATATGTAATACTCCCCACGTCGGCCCACCTGTATATGTAATACGCCCCACGTCAGCCCACCCGTCTATGTAATATTCCCCTACCTCGGCCCACCCGTATATGTAATTCACCCCCATCGGCCCACCCGTCTATATAACAATATTTGCCTTACATCTCTCTTCAGCCCAGCTGTCTATAATATCCTACTCTACATATTACCCAGATGGGCCCACCCATCTCCATGAATGATCATATTCCCCTGGCCCATCCGTCAACATCAAGGATATATATATCATTGGCATACATGGGCCCACCTGTCTCCATCAGAAATAATATGTCACCCGGCCCATCCATCATCATCGAGGATATACACAACATGGGCCCATGGTCCGCTGGCCCGTCTGATATGGGATATTATGTAGGTCAGGTGGCCTGTATAATACGGAATTTGTCACTGAAGGGGCTCCTGGGCCCTTGTTTGTACCAGGCAATGTCCCAGTCCAATGTCACCCCCTCGACACAGTGCTACAACACTAATCAATGGGAAGACGAGACACAGTTCATATGTAAATTTATACATCGATGTAAATGGGAACCTCTCTGCCTTGTTGGTCGGGTTCATAAGCGGGATTGTGGTCTTTGATGCTCATCATCAAATAATCGAGCAATGTAATTTTGAGCTTCAGCTACAGGAAACATCAGCATATAATCCTCACAAAATCAGCCACCTACAGCATCGAGCCTATCACTGACGCACTGTGGCCAATGATGAGACACCCAAAGTCTTCAAGAAATAGAAAACACCTACATATAATGGATAAAGCACAGGTCATGGGGGTATCACCAGGTATCCCGTGAAGTGGAACACTTCGCTTCCACCAATTATAACTCCCTGAAAGGACAGTTAGCAATGTTGTTGTTGAGGCAAAGAAAACACATACAGTGAGAGGCAAAAATGTTGGATGGGTCTCACCAAAAAAATAACAGGTAATGTTCTGAGGTTCCATAATGTTAAGATGTAGTGAATTCAATAGATACAAACGCCTGCCTTTAAATATGATTAAATACCTCAGGTCCCAGTTGCCTTTGCTTGTGATTGTTCAAATGAACTACTAATCCAGTGGAATTAGGTATTTGGACACAAAGTAGTGAAAGGGTGAATATGTATAAGAATAGCAGTATGGTGCTAATGTGAAAGAGCGGAATAGCGGTGATATAGTAGCATTTGCACCAAAAGTATACACATGCACTGTAGCAGTGACAAGTCCATTGAAAGCCACCGAACAGCCTATCATGACTTATACTTTACGTACTGGCTACATTGAGTGCTACTCCATGATATAGTTCTCATAATCTAGGTCAAGTTTGCTATCATACATCTCATCTAATTGTTCTAACAATGATTTGTTGCTAGAACTGGGTGACTCTTCAAAATCCAGTCCGTCTTCGGTACCATCATCTTTGTATTCATATTCATCTCTTTCCACATCGTCTGTGGGATCTGCAACATCATCAGTCAAGGATGAATGTAATGGTGTGCCTTCTCGTTGAAGCCCAGCTTGCGTGGTGCGATAGTGAGAGTACACATGCCTGACACCAAGCCCAAAGTGAAAGCGCATAAGCATGTCACGATCCACAAACCTGACATAATGAACTGAATACTACTGACTTCTGATATGATATGACTGACTCACCGGTTGATATAGTACTCACACCAATCATCCTTGTCCCCCGCACATGCCGATACACCCAATCCATCCTCATGTCTCTTACCGCTTCTGAAACGAGGTATGATGTGACAGGAATGAAGGACATCTGCAGGATCAAGGAAGTCGAATGAGTGTTCGTCCGCCAGGGGGGGGAAGTTAACTCGATCTAGAGTCGAGGTTGACCAGTCAGAACATTGATCCAAGGACTTGTACAAACGGATCCATAAGAACTCCATCCTGATTGGAGTATAGTCAACCATTCCATGTCCGGTAATGATCACATTAACGTGATATACACCCAATACCCTACCGTAGATATATCTATGACCTTGGCATCCCATGTCATTGTTGGAACGGAGAACTATAACATTATAATGTGGAGTCCTTGCATTGATGACATCTTGGGCCCTATGAACATCATAGGTCGTGTAGTTGAACCTGGCAATGTGATGCTCATACATCCGATCATCCTTGATAATGATTGTTTTGATATTGTGTTCATTTCTCAACCTTAGAGAATCTTCTGATGTGTTGAGTTGATGCAATAGATGGTGCTTCAGTTTCAGAATGAAGTTCTGCATAGGCATGTTAGAAGCCATTCGACAAAGTAATACTGCACTAACTGCTATGGCTGGATCGCCTTGATGACTGAGCAAGTATGATCCTATGTGCACAACATGCTTTTGTGTCAATTCAATAAGATGATGAGGTAGAGGGCTTCATGCTATCTCGGACATTTCGACGTGAGGGCGAAGACAACATTGTGGCTGATACGACGGATGCGAGCCTGACGGCATTCGATCCGAGTCAGCCATTTTACAAAGGATTGGCAATTGGTCCTACTATATCTGGCCTTCAGAGAACGATGTTCGAGTTCACCCTGTAGAGACCAACTGAGTAAAGTTCACAATGGAATGTTGTAGGATAAACCAGTTCAGTGCTGTAAGAATCAGAAGTACCATACTGGCGAATCATGGAAACATAGTCTCCCAATGCGTGGAACTTGTATGTCTGGAAATTGAACACTTTGCATCGCTTCACACTCTGATTTAAATTTAGGGAGTCATTAGATTCCCCTTGCTCTGTGAGACCAGCACACTGTTTGCCTTAATGTGTTGTCTTCTGTTTTATTGCCTGCTTTGCATGGTGTTGAGCACGACACTCAACTTCCTGATGTAGTTCGTGGGTTATGTATCCAGCGCACACAGTAGCCTTGAATTGACAAAACTGCTGGCCGAGCACTGAGGTCACTTGGTCCATGACCTTGAGGGTCAAATCAGAATGCATGTGGAGCTTAGCAAGCCCATGCCAATGTGCCATAGTAAACAATAACTGAAGCACAATACGATTATGCAGCTCAGGAAGAAGGCCATCAAAGACAGGGATGGATGGAGCACTGTAGAATGTGTTAGTAACCATCTAACTTATTGGTGAAGTTGTACCTGAAGTAGATCTTCAAAGTTTCGAGCAGCCATACATTTCATCTTAGAAGAATTGGCTGAAAACTTTCGGATGGTGGCTGCACCAAATGTCAGAGTCTGCCTGTACCTGAGGATAGGAGTCAGATGAATCAAGCGAACAACTTGTTCTGATACACCATACCTCTGATCCAATCGATGGATAAGATTCGGGTCATGTGCTGAAATGATACACAACAGATGAATAAATAACATCTTCCATACGCCGAGCTCAAACTTGTGTAATAGATCTACTACAAGGGCTTGAAAGAGATTTACACCCAAGTGACCGAGGCAGTCTGAGAATGCATTCTAAGGATGCAGTTAGCCTTGTCAATAATTCAAATTGAAGTCTTACAGAGGTGGGCACCCACGACTGTGGCTTCAGAATGTGTTCCACTGCTGCGCTGCCGACCATGAAGTTCTGCTCATAAATGAGTGAGCGTGCAGTGCTCACCATCACTCCTCTCTTCTTATCATTGCGTTGTAGGAATACAACACAGAGTGGGGCTATACAAAGATGGCTCCAAACTGATATCTTTATGTTGTGGTCTTGCACTGCCTAGTCTGCTATACTTTGTGGGACAAGTGCGTTCGACCCAGGGGTCTGCAGTCTGGGAAGGTGTGCGCAATAATAACAAATGACTGATATGGGCGGTGAAGGAACGATGATATTCACAATGTCAACTAAGAACTACAAAATATCGGGTTTGACCCCTAAGCGTTGGAGAACAGCTCTCCTCTACTTGGATGATGATGATGCTATGGGGAGTCCAATATTTATATAGATACGTAGAAGTCCGGAACCCTATAGGCAAAAGTAGTAGTGCAATATTTTCGGGTCTGATGTCCTATGTAATAAGACATGAGGCGCTGCGGACATGTAATAATGTGGTCTACAATGTTAGTGATGTGAAAACAAGTAACTATGCACCTAGTGGGGCCAGCACAATGAGACAGGACATAGGTAGGACGAGTACACGCGAAGTCCGATGGTCCAATGTCCAATGTTTTTGGGTTTGGTGCATATTGAGTCGGATAGGATAGGGAATGATTTGGGTTCTCTACAGTGTGCCAGAGTCTCACGTTGTTGTCTATCTTGAGGGTGACTCATGTTCTGAATCCTATCCTTAGGGATGAGGCAGCGAGGGCACGGACACCCTCCCAGGTTTCGGACCGTCGCTATAAGTACTCTGTTGAAATCAGACTCAATGACATTCAATAATGCAAGGTCACACGTACTTTTCTGGATAGTCTGCAGAGTAAGTGAAGATTCTCAAGTAGAATATACGCTTGATGCCATCACAGCAGCAAATCACAATGCCATGCTTGTATGCCTTGAGGAACTCGTTGTCCAATAAAATTTTCCACTGCTGGTGAAAGAGTTCCTGGTGACAATGTGTTCTGCACTTGCTGCTCATGCTCTTCTCGCCCGCTAAATCTTTGAACAAATCAGGGAGCTGGCAATAGGACGTTGAATATTGAGCACAGCAAATGCTATAGGAAGGCGTACTGTTTCAAAGTAAGCGATGTGATTGCTCAAATTGCATGATGGCTTGCAGTGACGATACTTGGACTCGTTGCCAAAGTACATGTATGTAGGCCACAACTTGGCATCGCCAAATGAAGTGAGTTGGTTAGTGTCAGACCAGAACATAAGGCCAGCCACCACCTGGGGTAGATCGCAGTCTGGTTCTCTCGGTGATGTTTGCAGGTCGCTGTGAGCTTTGTGGACAGCCCACGGACATGTACAAATCCCCATAGATAGAGACTTCAGCATCTAGGTGGGGAGGAGCCCAACGCAGCTTGTATGGCTCGTAATGGAACAACTTGTCATCTCGAGCACTGGAAAGCTTCTCGCGCAGAACAGCTATAATGGAGCGATGATATAAATTCGCTGCATGATAAAGCGCGGGCCTGGCACTTCAGTGGTGCACGAAAATAATACTTTGATAGAAACAGGTGATCTTTTCCATCCAGCGTCTTTGTCCTCCCATTCTTCCTCATCTCCCTTGTCGTAATCATTCAGGCCCAGCTGAGCATTGATCTTCTTCCAATTGGTGGAGCTTATGTCGGTAGCCTTGAAAGTACTGCTACCCAGGATATCCATCAGTTTCTTGTAGTCTCCTTGTGATTTTTGTACCCCCTGATTCCAGTACCAGTCACCTAGCTTGAAGGAAGAGCGATTAGGATATGGAAGATACTGAGAATCGCTGTTTGATGTAACAGGTGAAGGCGGTTCATTGTTAGCTTGATGGCTACCTTGTATAAAGGAGAGGTCTGTGATGGTGACATACTCTTCGGGATTGTGGGATGGCAGTTTGGAGAAGCACTGGCGAACTAGTCCAAAGATATTCAAGGGGGTGCAGAATCCCATGCGCACTGGCAGAGCAGGTTGTTCGTCTGAATTGACAATAGAGGCCAGGAAGCACATCCCTAAATCTCATTGGCAACTGGTGGTTTTGACGTCTCAGTCAATGTTGTGCCAGGCTTATATGGTCTCTGTCATTTTCCCCTCCTTCAAAGTCAGGTGCAACATCTCCTACGTCGGGAAGCGATGAGTTTGACCCAGGTGCTCTCATTTGGTGGATGATACAGAGGATGCAACTACTCCTACAGGCCCAGCCTCATCGTGAGAGGTCTGTGGTCTCTTTCTTCGGGTTACAAGCTCCTTGAAAGAGGACATCGTTGATGAAAGACACTTTTTTGTCTGAGAGAAAGACCGTTGATGATGGCTGAAATAATTCTGTGCTGTAAAAGTGCGCTTGCAAACACATGTGTAACCAGACGCTGACATGAATGCATGAAGCAAGGCTAGGAGACAGATTTGACCTACCAGATTGTACCAGTGTATCAATTGCTAAGTAGCTGGGAAAATCGTGATCGCGCCAAAGTAATGGCTGAATGAGGCAATCACACTAGCTTGAAAGCAGAAGGTCAAAAATGGTGAATAGTGTGGGGCTTACATAGTGGGTATTTATGCTGTTCAAGGCATCTTCCATCTCTACTCCAAATGTCCTCGCTCTCTTCTCCACTGTCTGCATATTCAATGCTTGAGCCACCAGAATTCAAAGCTGACCCTGAAGTTGTCAGTATGCTAGTGCAGATCTTAACTACCCACCATGGCATACACTCTCACTACGATAGTCACATGTAGTAGTCAATAAAAACGCAGCATGGTAATTGGTCTCAGGCGTTAAGTCAAAAAATCTGACGCTGTACATGTCTAATTGTTGGTGATATTTTCAGCCTACTGCAGTCAAAACATGTCTAATGAAACACACACTTTTCAGGTAATCTTTTATTTACATCAGATATGCTCTGCGTCATTGCACTCTTCCCGTTTTTAAGCTTCACCTTCCAAATCCCATTCCAAAAATTCTGGAGAGAGGCCAGGAGAAGGGGCACCCTCAGCAATTTGAGGGATGATTGGCAGGCAAACATCCGAAGGCATGTGGTGCTTGAGGTTATCGGCGCGGTAGTATTCCTCAAGCCATCTATACCTGTATGTCATCATCTTGTCGGAAAGGTATGCAACAGTATCTTCAGTTGTGCTTAATTTTTGCTTGACTTGATCCAGCTCAGATTCTACTTCGCTAATGGATCGGTTGTCCATAACTAGGTGAATTTTTTTTTCAAGTCTTGTCTTGCAAGTTCTAACAATCTTACCTGCAGTCTGTGTTCCTCTATCAACCAATCGATTGTTCGGATGGAATTTCCTGCAGGGTGAGTTTTATGAGTTGCTTTAGAATACATGATCACTCACCTGCAATCAGTGCCGATTTAAGGGTCGTCCACATTACAGTTGCTCATTGCACACACCGAGGGAAATTGGAACCTTAAGGTAAATGAGCTTGTTTTGACCACGTGCTCAGATTGATTGAAGGAAACTTACCTTAGTGTAACCTCATTTGCAACATGGATGGATCATGGTGGACCAGGGGTCCCAAGGCATAGACCAAGAGAAGAGACATAGACAAGAGGCAGTTGGTCCTTCGGCGATAGCCATAGCTTAGTCAGCGACACGCGCACATAGCCAAACTCTGTTCATAGTGTAGCACAACATCACACATCATAGAGTCCTCCCCTCACTGCCTTCGTCCTAGTCCATTGTGGTGAACAGAGCGAATCCGAACCAGCGCGATATTGCATCACGCACATAGCACACAAAAAAAGCACACAAAAGAAAGAAGCATTAGCTTGCGGTCTAGATTTTAGTCATAGAATAGAACATAGAAGCTCCCAATTAGAAACTAACGAACCATTTACAGAAACATACAGTCTTATTACGTCGCAACACACCTCAAAAACAACACCAATTACAAAAAGAGCAGTGTTCATCTTACTCGCATTTACGTTTATATTTGATGCCCAAAGCTAACAAATTGAGACCCAGAACAGCAAATGGACAAGCGGTAACCAACGTTCGTTTAAAAACGAACTGGGAACTCTGGTCAGAAGAGACATCAGCAGCATCATCTCCCCTCGATACACCAGATCCATCAGAACATAACACGCCAAGTTACTACAGCACCTCATCACTAAGCAGCCTCTCAGAAGAAGACGAACAGCAGAGCAATCTAGTCCCTTTCCCGGAACTAGAGGTCCCAGAATTAGACATTCACATACCATCGTTCGAAGCCCAACAATCGCGTCGTCACACGAAAACGGAACAGCTCACGTCCATTTCCACAGCACCGAATTACAATCTAGCAGAATTCTTTGCGCTCGCACAGTTAAAAGCCTTCATGCCTGTAGAGACCCCGCAGATATTTCATGGCGACGGACGAGCATCAGAAAATCCGGCGGACTTCCTGAAATCGTTCAATTGAGCAATGTGTCAGCAGACTATAACGGACAGCACGGACAAACTAGACGCTTTCGGTGACTACCTCGGAACAAGTTCTCAAGCAGAACGATGGTTCAAAGCCTTACAGTCTAAAGACAAAGCAACATGGAACGCATTCGTGATAGCATTCGAGAAACGCTGGCCGCCAGTCCAGATAGCGGAGAAAACGAGAGCAGAGTATGAGAAAGAATTGTTAGAGCATATACTACGAGAAGAAGACGTAGGAAAAAAGAAGACGCTCTACGATAGAGAATGCTGGACGCATGTAGCATGGGCGATGAAGATGCTGCAACTCGCAATGGACGCAGGCATTGAACAGAGCACATCGATGATATGGCAAGTCCGCAGTAAACTGCCAGACATCGTGAAAGATCTACTGAAAGACGAAGAATACACCAAATGGGAGGAGTTCACGAAGGCGGTGACAGAGCTAAAAGGAAGTCAACTTGTAGAGAAACAAGAGCAATACCTCAAGCAATCCCACGAGCTCAAAGCACTACGCGCGGATCTAGCTCGCGTCCAAACATGAGCACCCCAGCAAAACCCAGTCGCAGCGTTGCAAAGTCAATTCAGTAGGATGTCAATGAACCCCACGACACCGCCAACTCTTCCTGCATCGAACAACGCATACAACCGAGTACCAGCTACGGCCAATCGTCAGAACGCACAGCCAACATATAATCGGCAACCAGTCACAACGCAACAACCGTTGGTGATAACGGAGGAGATGAAAACAATGGTCAGGCAGTTAGTTCAAACGATGCCGCATCACCCAGATAGTGCAGCAGGAAAAGCAGCATATACAGCGCAGCTCGCACAATGGAATGCGAGATGGGGAGAGAACACGCGAGTCACACAAGAGACAGGATACCCGCTAAAGCCGGGCACAGCAGCCATCACATCCAGTGAATGCTTTGCGTGTGGGACGCATGGACACAACGGACGGGATTGCCCACTACCGCCAAGTCACGAAGAGAGACTAACGCGCAAAGAAGCAGCATGGAGAGCGATTGTGAGCAAGACATTAGGCGCATACAACAGAGCAACAGCCACACTGATATCACTAGTCATGAGTAATGGCTACGAGGAGACACAGTTAGAAGCGTGGATTGAAGAGATTCCTGAACAGCAGGGAAAAGCGGACGGGTCGACGTAAAGAAGAGCAATATGTCGACCCAAAGTCTCAAACACATTCAAGCTGGAGTCGAAGTCCTCGCATGCGAAGAGGCAACATGCGAGGACAACCTTAGGACCATTAGCCCCAAAGTTTCTGCTGAGCGCGTAGCTAAGGATATCGCATGTACTACCGAACTTCACGATGCAATCGAAACCAATGACTTGTATTCGGTTGGACACCTGGTCGTCACAAGAGCTCAGTTAGAAAACGGAGAGGCAGTTCCGTTCGCTCACCGAATAGAGTTAGAAGGTCCACAAGGAGAAAGAGTCAGAGTACGAGCAATATTCGATGATGGCGCAATGACCAGTGCAATGTGCACGTCGATCTTCGAGAAGATCAAGCACAGATTAGGAAACTGGAGCGCATCAGACAAACGATTAAGGATGGCTAATGGAAATATAGTCAAGGCAGTTGCAAAGTGGACGGGAATGATTAGAATCGAGGAAGTTGGAGTGCGGAGCACATTTGAAGTCTTTGACAGTGGCGGAAGCTGGGGCTTCCTACTAGGAAAACCGACACTTCAAGCATTCACGGCAATTCACGAATATGAAACGGACACGATCGTGATAACCGACAGAATCAAAACGGTCTCAATAGGAAACCAGATAGCGGACCAGCGGATGCTACAGAGAGAAGATGCAGTCAGCCTCACGTTAGACGAGAAGCAACAGAGGACGTTAGAGAATGGAACAAAACCGTCAAACATCCCAATGGGCCAGTGGAAGCCGACAGGATACTGGGCTAGAAGGAAGAGAGAGAGCGCGTCAAAAGAAAGAACAGCAGAGAAGGAGAAAAGCGCATCAAAGGGAGTAACGGCAGTTCGAATACCGAGAGAGCAATCAAGCACTGACATACATAATCTGACAGAGGGAACAACGAGCATCAACATATTGAACGCTGTCATGCATGGTATGTGATTCATACCATGTCAGATATATATAGAGAGTGATAAGGAAGATATGAGAGACTGTCTAGCCCTCTGTCACTGAGTTACCTTTCTATTTTTCCTTTATTTCATTGTCTTGTATTTTATTTCTCACTTTTCAGATTTATTTTACCTTGTATTTTTATGAGCATGTGACCTTCTGTTTATTTCTCATTATTTATTTTTATTTGGCTACTTTCAGCCACAGATTTGTTTGTCAAAGTTTTGTATCTCTATTTATTTCTGACTGTTTATTTTTATTTGGCTTCTTTCAGCCACCAGATTTTATTTGTCAGCACATCATGTGACTGGGGAATATTCTGGTTTGTAACATTATTTAAGCTGACTCAACATGTTTAGTCATGATTGGTCATGCTTTGTAACAACATTCACATGACTCATCATGTTTTGTCATGATTTGTCATGCTTTGTAAATTCTTTGTAAGATTACACTGTATTTGTAATGTACTTAGTAATAAGCTGATTCATCATCTGGTTTGTAAGCCACATTCTTACCAATCCATCTGATAAATCATGCTTAGTAAGGGGGTTCCCAAAAGGTATAAAAGGACCCCATTTTCACCCATAAAATATAACTTCCCATTTTTCATTCTTCTCTCAAACCGTGTGAGAGTACGTAAGAATAAAAGTGCAGGCAACGTGCCTTGAAGTAAGACTAAGACACATTGTTATTCTATTCTAAAGTTATATACTACCTTACAGGGGTTGACTATATAACTTTCGTTATCGTTATTCTACTCTAGGTTATACACTACCTTACAGGGGTTGACTATATAACCATCAAACAGCTCTCATTCTAAGCTTTACGTGTATACATAAGACTCTCTCTTTCAACGGAAAGTGAGACACATATCTAAGGACGACAAAGTTGAAACAGACTTTCATAGGTTGAAACACGACCTACTAGGCTGAAACAAACCTAACGAATTTATCCAGAACACAGAACATTCCACAACACTTCGTATAAGACTACACAAGAAGAGGACAACAAACTAAATCCTCCCAAGAACTCACCACGTTACCTCCCACGAAGTAGAAAAGTCGGAGACCGTGGACTTAAGGACTGGCAAGAAGTCTTCCCTGTGTATAATTGTGTTGTCATTATACACAACTTTTATATAAGACCCTTAAGTAACAAGACAACGCGCAAGAAGGACCAGACGAAGGAGGAGAACAACTGTTAGAAGAACTCCCAGAGTTAGAACCAATGAAGAACGATATGTCAATATACTCAAGACAAACAAACCCATTTAATCCCGCAAGAGTCAAAGAAATTCTCCGACAGATCACATTCGGGAACGATCTGACAGTAGACGAGAAGGAAGAGTGAGAACGGTTTATAGCGGAAAACACAGACAGTTTTGCACTGACGCTAAGAGAAGTAGTCCCTATTCCTGGAGCAGCGCTGAATTTGAACGTACCAGATAACGCAACATTCAACTTACGGATACACCAACGCCCTCTAACGCCAGAGCAAGCGAAATTCTACAACGAGCGAGTAACGGACATGTTGGAAGCAGGTATAGTAGAGCGAGCATCCCCAGAACTGATTCGATGTGTAGCAACCACGGTTATAGCTCAAAGAGCACACGAGACGGGCGGTTTACCATGGGACGAGCTAAAACAACGAATCAATGACCAGCATAGAGCAGCAGGATTACAACCAGCCTATGAGCTACCGCCACGAGAGATACCGAATCCCACCTTAGAAGAAACAAGAGAAAAAGGACCGAAAAAATGGAGGATCTGTCAGAATTTCGCGCAGCTCAACAAGGTAACGGAAGTAGTCCCAATGCCGCAAGGAGATATATTAGCAAAACAACAAAGGTTAAGTGGTCCACGTTACATCTCAATTTTTGACTTCGCAGCAGGGTATTATGCGATAGAAGTGCCAGAGAAATGGCGTCCATATTTAGCGTTCTACATCGAAGGGAGAGGGTACTTTCAATATCGACGAATGCCAATGGGAATTACAGGAGCACCGACAGCGTTCTGCGATACATTAGCAGAAAGGCTACACGATTTCCTAGTGACACACTATATGGAATTGTTCATGGACGACGGAGGATGCGCAACAGGTACGTTTAGAGAAATGATGGACAAGCTAACAGTTTTATTTCAGCGTTTTCGGGAATGTAGATTTTCAATAGCTCCAGGCAAGACAAAGCTTTGCATGTCAGAGACCGAGTTTGCGGGAGGAACAATAGGAAGAGAAGGAGTGAAACCAGATCTAACGAAGCTGACAGCCATCGTAGACTGGCGACAACCAGAAGACGCGCAGAACTTAGCCTCGTTCTTAGGACTGACAGGATTCTACAGAATGTTAATCAATGCATACGCGAAAAGAGAAGGCCCACTAAGAGATTTATTACTTCAAGCACCCATAGACAGTACAATGTCCAAAACAGCGTATCGACGAGCCATGAGCGGCTTCAAGTTAAGTACCATTTGGACGCAGGAACATACTAAAGCATTTTTAGATCTAAAAACGGCGATTACATCAAGACCAGTACTACACGCACCAAGATACGACGGGTTGCACTTCATAGTGACATCAGACGGATGCGTAGAAGGCTTCGCAGCGGTCCTAGCGCAGAGAATCAAGACGCGAACATCGACAGGGAAATGGGTCGAGCGTCTATATCCTCTAGGCTTTGCATCAAAACGGACATCAGCGACAGAAAAGAAGTACAAATCGTACTTACTAGAATTCGCAGCGCTCAAATTCGGGTTGGACAAATTCTCAAGCATCATCTGGGGCTTTCCGGTCGAAATTGAAACAGACTGCAGAGCAATGAGAGACACGCTGCTGAATCCGCATCTGAATGTAGTACATGCAAGATGGAGAGAGGGAATATTAGCGTATCATATAGTGGACATAAGGCACGTACCAGGAAAGCTGAATGTCGTTGCTGATGGTCTTAGCAGAAAATGGGAAAACACCGCTCCAGTAGCGGGAGACGGAAACGAATGGACGGTAAGCGAAGACTGGGAAGCAAGGATAGGACTGATTAATGACATCATGAACGTTACGACGGTGGACGCACAAGTAGACAATCTCCGCACACGATTCGAGAACGAACTGGTATTCAAGGAAGTCGTGGAAGCTATATGTAACCTAGATCAAGCTACGGAAATCAGAGAGAAATGACGAGCAAGGCACAGAGCAGAACAGTACGTTATAGAAGAAGGGAGGCTCTGGAAGCTACGAGGCGGCACAACGACAAGAGCCAGGACGAGAGTAGAATGTGTCTCAAGAGAAGAAGCCAAGGTACTAGCAGCACAAGAGCATGCAGAAGGAGGCCACTGGGGACGAGATGCGATCAAAATCGCCCTGCTGGACCGGATATGCAGCCCCAAGCTAGACGCATCAATCCTAGATGCCATCAAAGACTGGGCGAAATGCAAGAATTTTGGACCAACGCACATAAATTCACTACTCGAGCCAATAACCAGGCAGCACCCATTCGAACTATTAGTTGGGGACTACCTCACTCTCCCGAAAGGGAAAGGAGGATATAATACGCTTGGCGTGTACTTGGACACGTTTTCGCAGCATATCTGGGTGTTTAAATATAAAACATCAGGTAGTGCAAAAACGACGATTGAAGGACTCAAGAACATCTTCAACGCATTCACAGCACCGGAAACATTCATGGCGGACGGAGGCAAGCACTTCAACAACGAGGCAGTGAAAGACTTCTGCGAATCGAAGAAATGCAAAGTGCACATCGTAGCGGCGTACTCCCCGTGGATCAACGGCCTTGTAGAAGGAACAAATAAGCTTTTATTACACGTATTAAAACACTTATGCGCACCAAATTTAGGAGAAGATCAAAGTCAAGGACAAAAGACGCCAGAAAGCGGCTTGACACAATCGTGGCCAGATCATTTAGAGGACGCGGTGCACGCTCTTAACTATCGATTATTGCCAACGCTGAAATTTTCTCCTAAAGAACTTCTTTTAGGGTTAGTAGTCAACACGCCGAAGACGAGTATAGAAGAAAGCGCGTCGGCGACACGCACTTCAGACCCGTTAACGCAAATAACATACGTCGAACAACAACGGTTGGATGGATATGACGAAGTAGTACGACATGCAATCAAGAGGAAAGCAGCATTTGATAAAAAGCTGCTACAACGCGCGCCAGGTGAGGTTATATTTCGAATCAGACAACTAGTTCAAGTATATCGCAATGATTTAGATTATACGTTCAAAGCAGAACGAAAGCTCATACCAAAGTGGTCAATCCCAAGGCGTATACGAGAGAAGATCCTAAACTCGTACAAGCTTGAAGCACTGAACGGAATCCCGGTTCAAGGAGAGTTTAGTGCAAGACGACTCAGAGCGTTCACCCCGAGAACGGGAACAACGTTAGCAAGAGAACAAGAAGCGCATGAGCGCAGAATCAGAGAGAGAGGAGACAGCGACACGGAAGCAGATACAGAAGACAGAACGGAGAAAGAATCAGAGAAACAGAAAGGACACGAAGAAGAAAGAGAAGACCAAACAAGAGAAGAAACAGATGAAGAAGAGAACGAACAGACAAGAGACGAAGAAGATGAAGAAGAGAACGAATAGGATAACAGAAGTGCTAGTAGGAAGAACGCCGAGGACGGCGTTGGTTGTTTTTTAGGGGGGTGCATGGACCAGGGGTCCCAAGGCATAGACCAAGAGAAGAGACATAGACAAGAGGCAGTTGGTCCTTCGGCGATAGCCATAGCTTAGTCAGCGACACGCGCACATAGCCAAACTCTGTTCATAGTGTAGCACAACATCACACATCATAGAGTCCTCCCCTCACTGCCTTCGTCCTAGTCCAATGGTAAACGCTCCTGAGAAGGTGAGTCAGGTGTTCGATATTCAACAGCTATATTGATGGGCATTATGATGCTGATAGTTACCACAACAGTTGATTTATGTATCAACATGTGGATAGTGCTGTGGCTGACGTAATGCACTGCATAGTATTGCTGACGGGTTAGCGCTACAACAGTGTTACAATATCAATAGTGGTGGATGTTGGGGGTAATAGCGTGTTTGAACTGGAGATATATAAAGGTCTCATTTACTCCACGTATCTCAGCTGCTTGCTTATTTTAACTTGTCATGACTGATGACGAAAATCAAGCTGGCAATCCTTCATGCAAGTGTTGTGGTTCCGCACTCCATTCAGGTCCACGCAAAAAAGGGCAAGTTATATTTCACTTGGTTAACAGTACCTTCTGCATTGTCTTGCACAGGACTTCATCTAACCCCCTTGCTCTTCACGGCCGGCATTTTGATTTTGGTCAGACAGTGTTTGCCCTGTGCAATTATCCTGCTCTTCTGACTGCCGGTTTAACGGATGGCGATGAGGAGGATATTATTCATGTGGGAGAACTGGTAAGTTTTTATTCTGCAATATCATAGTACTCATTGTTTGCAGCTAGGGAAAGGAGCCTCTGGTGCGCGAGGCGATGATACAAAGACCCTAAAATCTGCTGTCCTCAAGTGGCTTGTGCCCAGAGGACAGCCACTCATACCACCCCTCTCCCAAAATATGAAGTTGGACCGTGAGTTCAACCATGAAGTAACCAGCAGATTGCTCTGCCCTGCGGGCCTTGACTGGTCAAACGCAGAGTAAGTCCTTGCTGCCATCATATTGACTAACCATCATAACCCTACCCAGAACCAAGCAGAGTCTGAAGAGTGGTGAAATTGCCGTCTGTGGTGATCAATGGCTCATATTCTTATATTCTGGATACAACTATGATCCTGATGATCCATGGAAGGGTTTACTCAAAAGTGAGATACTAATTTTCGTAAGTTTCGATTCATTGCCAATAAATTTCGTACTCTAAGCAATATACAGGGCTTTAAACACGTCTTTACATCTCCGAGCTCGGTGGATAGGGAGCCAAAGGCTACGCACTCCAGTAATGCTTACTTGCATGGTATGAAATCCATGACTAAAGGTTCTCTAGCTTACATTGCTACCCAGGTATGCAGATTCCATTATGCATGCCTTCCCCTGCTGATTTCTCCTTCAGATTCAGTTTTCCTTAAGTTCGTCGTCAGTGTTTTCATGTACCGACACAGTTACGGACTCAGAAAATTTTTATCATAGTATTCTTGACTTACTAGAGGATCCTGACGAGATTGAGGAAGTTACTGACTTGATGACGTGGTGGACGAGGTTCGTAATGCATCTCGTCAGCTCCAATCTCTACATTTACATCTTTCATAGTCACATGTTCCCTAATTCTTCTTCACAGCGCACTATAAGCAAAAACAGTGCGCTGTTCAAGATTTGAGCCAAACATGCTGCTTTGCTAGCCACTACTGGCACCAATTAGTCATTGTTTTTGTAACTGTACTGTATTCTAATACAATTGATGTTGGCTTTCTATATGAAGCTATATGTAACTTGCTTTGGCGAGATAACCAAATGTCAGAGGCTCGATTTAATACCATTGATAATGGTTTCTGGTATCAGAAGCTGCCCCTGTAATGGTAGATATTCTCTGCTGACTGAGGCCACCTTGTCATGGCTTGATAATGTAGTGTCAGAGCTCAATTTGCAGTGAGGAATGGCTTCCCCCACTGCAACCTGCCCCTATAATGGTGGATATTCTCTGCCGACTGAAGCCACCTTGTCATGGCTTGATAATGTAGTGCCAGTGCTCAACTCACAGTCAGTGCTTGCCCCATCAGAAACCACCCATATAACATTAGTTATATCTGATAGATTTTCAACAGCTTGCTGTAGCATGATAACTCAGTATCACATGCTGACACATTGTTAGTGATTGTAGATTATATCATTAGAAGCTTACTATACAAGGCTAGACATATTAGGTGCACCTTACTACAAGATGATAACCTGTTATTGTGCACTAGCACACTGTCAGTGATATGATAATTTAATGTCATACTGCAGCACATTGAAATTGATGGTGGCTTCCACAGTTAGAATCTACCTATTTAAAGTTAGACATCCTCAGTAGAGAATGAGCAACTTGATAGGGCAATGATAACTCAATACTATGTCCTGACATTTTTTCATTAATGGTAGCTTCCAACATTGAAAGCTGCCTATCTAAAGCTAGATACACTCAGTAGTCAGGCAGCATCTTGAATAGGCATAATAATTCAATATAATTCAGTATCACCCCATGGCATAGTGTTAGTGATTATATACCCTACCATTGGAAGCTACCACTATAATCGCAGGCATGGTTGATAGTACATTGACATCTTGATATGACATGATAATCCAATACCATCCTGTACCATCCCATACCACACTGTCATTGATGACAACATCTGTAATCAGAAGCTACCTATCTAAAACCAGACATATCTAGTTGAAGACTAGCATCTTGATAAGGTATTATAAGCCAATATCATTTCCAGGCACACTGTTAGTGATTAGACATCCTCCCATTGGAAGCTAGCTATACAATGATAGATACATCTGCCAATAACATACCACTGTGCTAGTAAATTACAATTACATACCATAGACCTGTCAATATTTTAGCTTTGGGAGATCCCACAAATATAGTCTGCCTATCTATTCCTTTATCATGTGATCTACAATTATGATACATGTTATTGATATTATACATTAAATAAAGCTAGCTAAATCTTTGTCAAACACAAGTCAGATACCTGATGCTGACCCTGCAGATTTGACAACACCAACGGCATCAACTTCGGCAAAAACAGCATCATATCGGTATTCACATGGCTTAAAGGACAAGGACACTGATAAGCGCAGTCAACGAGCTAACAGGACACCCGGTTTCAGACAAATGGATGTGCGACTATGATGCCAAGCACTTTCAAAGCAACGATGACCAAGTTGTAGCAGACCATTTTGCACCATTGCGCTGCATTTGTGCAACCACAATTGGAGGGCAAATAGTCACCTGTGTCTTAGATCAAGGTGCTGAAGTCATCGTAATGCTAGTGGCTGTATGTAAATCGCTCAGTGTTGGTCTGCGGTCAGATCATTGCTTAAACATGGAATCAGTAAATACCAACAAGGATGTGACGCTCAGCATCATCGAGAACGTACCGCTCGATTTTGGAGGGGGACCGCTGTACTTCCAAGTACAAGTCATACCACTCGCGAGCTTCAAGATTCTTCTCGGCTGCTTGTTCTTTAAGCTGACTACTTGCTGCACGTTTGATCTCCCTGACAGGGAGCAAGATATTGTCATATCCCGCATTCTGGACCTACATCCAACAATGTTCCCATGCCTCATCCGGACCTCCTGTCCATGTCTCCAGTCCTCTATCTGTCTGGATCCCTGCACCTCCGCACATCCACCTCTCAGGATCTCTGGATCCAACATATACTTCATATCCAAACCCAAACTTTAAATCAGTGCCCATCTCCTTATGGTGATCACCTGTCTCCGGTCTTCGGTTATCTCTGTTTCCGTTTTGCTTATTGATCCTTGTACGAGTTTTATCTCCGAGTTCATTTCCTATGATCCATTTCACTTACTAATATATTTCCACATGCTCATATATAGCCTTGCCCCTCTGCTTACTGATCTGCACAGACTTACCTCCAGTATATAAACTCCTGTAGATACTCCTGTATTTCCTTAGTCTGAATATCATATAAGTCCTCACACTAGCCTTCACACTAAGTCCTCATAACTAGGTCCTTCCTTGTTAAACATCCACCTTAGGCCTAGGGAGAAATTCCCTAGGCTGGAGCTCTGCTCCTCCACTCCTCTGCTCCTCCAATCCTGAACTCCTCTGAGTTTCCGGAAGTTCCTCCGGAACTTTCCCGCAGTCCTCCGGACCTATTCTGCTTCGGACTTTGTCCTTGCAGCCTTTCCTCTGTTTGCTTCTACTTAGGACTTGTCCTAAGTAGCCATTACACATATCCATATCAGGACAAAACTTCATTGTAATTTCTGGAAGTTCCTTCAGAAGTTTCCCACACTCATCCGGAAGTTTCTTGCACTCGTCCGGAAAGTCCTTTCGAACTTTCCCACACTTTGGATGTCCTTGGACTTTCTCCGGAGGTCATTCTGAAATTAAGGGCACATACTCGGGTAAGGGGCGCAGCGCACAAGCTGAAGCCAAGCCCCTTGGAATCAGTCCTACCCTTTGTGCATGGTCTTAACAGATATTTTGGTTACTGACCCCAACATGCGCAAAGAGCTGCGCATTCTGACGCTACCTTGGGTGAAGCGCTGCACCAGCAGACTTCCATGTTTGGATCACCCACCAAAAGCGAAAGAAGAAAAGGGTTTTTAATTTTTGATGATCTGCATTATCCGCGGGGAGACAGTACCTTACATACCCCCCATTACTGGTATTTTCCTTCGTCTTGTCTCATTCATTCTCGCATGCTTCCTGAAGCGCCGCAAAGTGTGCACACTTCAAGCACTCAATTATTGCTCTTAAGGAGCATCCCCGCATCATTTTCCAATCCCGCGCAAAGTTAAGGGTAGGTAAATAGGTAGTATGAGATGAACTCAGATGGTCCTCTGTGCACAAGCTAATGTCGGCCCAAGGGGATTGCTACTGAGAAGGTTCCTCTAAGTATATAAATGGAGGGAAAACACTGAACTGGGCGCTTAGTCAAGCCTGATAAGGCGCGCCACGATGAGCAAAGCGCGAATGAGCAAAAGTGCTGATAAGCGCTATTGAGCAATGAAGTGCAATGGTGTGCATGTGGGTGGAGCGGAGCGACTCTAACGAGCCAGAGGACAAATAAGCAGAGGTTCTAGAAGGACGCGACAACTAGTGCTCAAGTATTCTTAGATATTCTGATAGCAATTGGCGGCTATGGCGGAGAATTTAGACTTGAAGTCCAATGATGTGCGGGAAGAAAGATAATCATTCTACAGTCAAGTGCGAGTATATATACTAAGTAGCGTTAAGTGCTGTCAGGTGCTAAAGTGAACCGAGAAGCGGAGCGAATACGTGATAACATGTAATATAAGGGTCCATGACAAAACATATGGAATATGAGTGTAAGTGCCGGAGATATGTCAGAATAAATGGAAATATGATGGGAATATGCACCGATGAACCGAATGGACATGGAATGGATGGACGGAGGACGAGCGACAGAACCGAGGATGCACGTGCCGATGCGCGACCGAAGTGCTCGTGCACGTGAGCAGCCGATGAGGCGCCAAGTGCGCTGGGATGAGATATGAGTCGCGCTATAATTGGAAGTGGTTGGGACGTTGGGGATTTAGACCTCCATGAGGCCACAGAGATATTAGTCTCTACACCGCATCTTGCAGCGTCTAGAAAACGTAGGCGCAACAGTATCCGCAACGAAATTTGTGCTAGCCGCACCATCTGCGACCATTGTCGGTCACAAGTGTACCTTTGAAGGGCACATACCTGACAAATCAAAGGTACAAAAGATTTGAGATTGGCCTGAACCAAAGAACCAGTCGCATGTGCGCGGGTTCCTAGGTACATGCGGTGTCTTGCATATTTTCATTCATAATTTCTCTTGCATCGTGCACCCGCTGATCAATCTGACCAAGAAAGATGTTCCATTCGAGTTTGGCGAAGAGCAGCGTCAAGCAATGCAAATGCTCAAGGACTCCGTTTTAGATTTGCCCAGGCTTCAGCGGATAGACTATGAAAGCGGCTGTAAGGTCATCCTAGCAGTTGACACTTTGTGCGTTGCGATCGGGTATATCCTGCTACAAGTTGGCAAAGATGGCAAGCACTACCCCAATTGGTGTAGAGACTGATATCTCTGTGGGCTTGTAGGGATCTAAAATTCCCAATGTTCCAATCATGTTCCAATTATAGTGCGACTCATATCTCACCTCAGCGCACTTGAGCACTTCAGTTGCGCATCAGCGCACGCTTCCTCGGTTCCATCACTTGTCCTCCGTCCATCCATTCCATGTCTGTTCGGTTTGTCAGTGCGTATTCCCATCGTATTTCCATTTATTCTGACATATCTCCGGCACTTACAAGTATATTCTGTATGTTTTGTCATGGACCCTTATATTACATGTTATCATGTATCCGCTTCGCTTCTCAGTTCGCTTTAGTGCTTAATGCTACTTAGTATATATACTCGTGCTTGACTGTATAATAATCTATCTTTCTGCCTGCATATCGTGGGACTCTAAGTCTAAGTTCTCTGTCATATCTACTGACCGACACTAAGTATCTAAGTACAATACGAGTGCCCGCTGTTGTACATTGCTAGAAACTCTGTCAGTTTGTTTTCTGACTCATTAAGAGTCACTTCGCTCCACCACCCACACACATGCATCGCATCTGCTCAGCACACATTATTGCTCATCATTGCTCACTGTCGCTCGTCGTCACTCATTAGCGCTTCACGTCACTCTCACTCGCTCATCATCGTGCGCCTTACCAGGCTTGACTAAGCGCCTGGTTCAGTGTTTCCCTCCATATATATACTTAGAGGAACCTTCTCAGTAGCAATCCCCTTAGGCTGACATATAGCTCGCACACAGAGGACTACTTGAGTGCATCTCATTTTCCTACTCTACACATTCCTCATCTACAACGTGGTGTGCTTCTTCGTCCTTGAAGATAACCTTTGGTGCCATGAAGTGAACAGCAAACACCAGCTCATGGTAAAGCCACATAAGCGCTACCAGATTCTGAAACAAGCACATGACAATTCAGGGCACAAGGGTATATACGCTGTTCGCTCGCAGCTGCTATTGCGCTTCTGGTGGCCTCACATAGACGATGACATCAAATGGTATACGTGCACATGTCATGAATACCCGATCAGGCAGACACTGAAGCTTCATGTGCTGCTGATGGTACCGATGCCTGGAGGTTTGTTTTGCAGGGTACACATCGATATGATGAAGATGCCCAAAGCAGGCAGATTCGAATATCTAGTGCAAGCGCGCTGTGCGCTCATGTCATATCCCGAATGGCGCATGTTGCATAAAGAAAATACAAAGTCGCTTATGGCATTCATATACGAAGAGCTCCTATGCTGATGGGGTCCTATCACGGAGATCATTACTGACAATGCACCCACTTATAGACTTGCCGCCGACATGCTCATGGAAAGATATGATATCCATCTGATCCGCATATCGCCCTATAATTTGCAAGCAAATGGTGTAGTAGAGTGCCAACACTGTGATGTCCGGGAGGCCATCATTAAAACTTGCAATGGAGATGATACTCATTGGTATCAAGTCATTCACTCTGTATTTTGGGCTGAGCGCATCACCATGCACAAAGCGACGGGTTTATCACCTTATTTTATGGTGCATGGCATAGAGCCAATCTTCCCTTTTGATCTAACAGAAGCGACGTTCTTAGCGCTGATGCCAGTGCACGCGGCATTCACCACTGCAGAACGTATCCCATGGCGCGCACGCCAGTTGCAGAAGCACATAGAGGATCTCACCGCTATCAGAGACAAGGTAATGAAAGTGTGTTATGTGTCTATTTGCGACTTCTAGAAGTGCTTTCACGCAACAATCCGCAATTACAACCATGCGCCCAGCACTTTGGTGCTGGTGCGCAACTCGAAGGTTGAATATGAATTAAGCAAGAAGACGAAGCCGCAATACTTGGGACTGATGATTGTAGTGCGCTGCACAAAAGGAGGCTCATATCTGCTGGTCAAGTTGGACGGTGCTATCTCTAAATTGCGCTATGCGGCATTCCACATCATTCCTTATTTCCCGTGCAGTGACGAGCGCATCATGGTGACAAGCATCACTGGTAAAGACGACAAAACTCTTGATCATTTAGCTGATGAAGATGTCGAAGAACCCAATGAAGATGAACCCGAGCGTGCTGTAGGAATACAACACAGAGTGGGGCTATACAAAGATGGCTCCAAACTGATATCTTTATGTTGTGGTCTTGCACTGCCTAGTCTGCTATACTTTGTGGGACAAGTGCGTCCAACCCAGGGGTCTGCAGTCTGGGAATAGTTTTGGGGGTCAGTGAGTGATGTGGGGTCAATAGTCTGAGCGCGGGAAACAATGTCCGAAGGTATAATTACAATGTCCGATGCAAAAGTGGTGGGTCCAATGTTTTCGGGGATTCGGGTTATTGGGTTTGGGTTTGGGGTATCGGAAACTAATAGTAACGTGATAGTGAGCATTGTAAAAGTGAGTGGTATGCGCAATAATAACAATGACGGATACAGGCAGTGAAGGAATGATAATATTCGCAATGTCAACTAAGAACTACAAAATATTGGGTTTGACCCCTAAGTGTCGGAGAACGGCTCTCCTCTACTTGGATGATGATGATGCTATGGGGAGTCCAATATTTATGTAGATACGTAGAAGTCCGGAACCCTATAGGCAAAAGTAGTAGTGCAATATTTTCGGGTCTGATGTCCTATGTAATAAGACATGAGGTGCTGCAGACATGTAATAATGTGGTCTACAATGTTAGCAATGTGAAAACAAGTAACTACACACCTAGTGGGGCTAGCACAATGAGACAGGACATAGGTAGGATGAGTGCGCACGAAGTCCGATAGTCCGATAGTCCAATGTCCAATGTCTGATGCGTGAAGTCCGATGTCCGAAGTCCGATGTCCGATGTCCGATGTTTTCGGGTTTGGTGTGTATTGAGTCAGATATGATAGGGGATGATTCGGGTAATGATTAGCATTAATACGTGCATCAAAAATTAGACCTCTATGAGGCCACAGAGATGTCAGTCTCTACAATGCATCAGCATAAACCGAATCCAAAAAGAAAAAGTAGAAACTCACTGGTCGACCCATGTCTACTACCACAGGCGAAGTCGAGTCCTCTGTTGCCTTCTCAGTCGACTCTATGGCACCAACGACTTCCTTTCCCTTTCCTTTCTCTGTTGCCTTTGGCTCCTCAGCAATCTTCTCCTTCTTGGCGCACGCAGGATGCGCAGTAACGGCAGATTCTGCCACTTTCTCCTTCCACGCTTGAACAGCCTTTGTCAGCGCTTTGGCGGCAACCTTACCCTCTGCAAGTTCAACCGCATCAGAGTCGCTGATTGATACGTGCAGCTGCACGGCGCACACTCATTCAAAAACAGCGGTCATATCAGCCTAGAAAGGGTAATCAGTACACAAGTAAGTGAAAAGAAAAGGATAAAAACTCACCATCGCAGCATTTCAGTCGCGCAGCCACGACTCTTGCTCCTCCAAGAGCTGTGGTTTCAGGGGAGGGCACATCTTCACGTAGATGCGCATTGTGTTAAGAACCGCAGCCCAGGACTGTTCGATCTGATCCACGTTGGACTCCTGTGGCTCCTTTGGAGACACATCGTCCAGAGTGGCATCATTCAAAGATGTGTTGCCCTCATGTTGAGGGTGTTCCTCAGGTTCAGGAGAGGGAGTGGGGGAAGCAGTAAGCATGGCAGGGTCAAAAATGGTTGAGGACATGATGGTATAGATGATAATCACGAAAATGTGATGGAGTATTGAATTGAAGAAGAGAAGCGCAACACGTGGCCAGCTTTTATGCCGGAAATGAACCACATTATGTCAGCACAATGGTGCCGCTCACCACAGCTCACACAACTGCAGTGGACCTGCTCCACATCCAATTTGGTGTGTTTCACCCATGATCACGTGACTTTCCTCATCGAAAATTTGCTAAGTCCATCCACCCCTATGTGCGCTGACTGGGGACAGTCAGAAGCTAAGTTCCTATGAGATGTAGAGACTGATATCTCTGTGTCCTCATAGAGGTCTAAATTCCCAATGTCCCAATTACTTCCAAATATAGCGCAACTCATATCTCATCTCAGCGCACTTGGCGCTTCATCAGCCACTTGTGCGCACGAGCGCTTCGGTCGCGCATCTTTGGTTCCATCACTCATTCTCCGTCCATCCATTCCATGTCCGTTCAGTTTGTCGGTGCGTATTCCTATCATAATTCCATTTATTCTGACATATCTCCAGTGCTTATGCTCATATTCCATATGTTTTGTCATGGACCCTTATATTACATGTTATCACGTACTCACTTCATCTCCCGGTTCGCTTTAGCACTTGACAGCGCTTATCCATTACCTACATAGAATATATATACTCCCGCCTTGCTGTATAATGATCATCTTTCTTCCCGCACATCATTGGACTCTAAGTCTAAAATCTCTGTTGTATCTGCGGACTGATACTAAGTAACTAAAGTACACATGAGCGCCCATCATCATACATTACTAGAATCTCTGTCCGTTTGTTTTCCGACTCATTAAGAGTCGCTTCACTCCACCACCCACACATGTCGTCGCTCATCATCGTGTGCCTTACCAGGCTTGACTAAGCGCCTGGTTCAGTGTTTCCCTCCTTTATATACTTAGAGGAACATTCGCAGTAGCAATCTCCTTGGGCCGACATTAGCTCACGCACAGAGGACTACTTGAGTATATCTCATACCACCCAATTTCCTACCCTATACATTTCTCATCTACAATGGATCATAGGAAATGAACTTGGAGATGAAACTCATACAAAGATCAATAAGCAAAACGGAAACAGAGATAACCAAAGACCAGAGACAGGTGATTACCATAAGGGGATGGGTGCTTATTTAAGGTTTCAGTTCGGATATGAAGTATAGGTTAGATCTGGAGGTCCTGAGAGGTGGATAGCAGATCAGGCATCCAGATATCAGATCTGGGAATTGGACAGAACATGCTTAGGGCAATGGGACAAAGGATGAATGATGCAGGCTAGCTGCGGAGGTATGGAGGTTTGATGTACAGAGATACAGGGTCCAGATGTAGATATGTGGAGGTGGATGTGCGGAGGTGCAGGGATCTGGATGGGTGGATATGCAGAGGTGCAGGGATCTGGACAGATAGAGGACTGGAGACATGGACAGGAGGTCCAGAGGTCCGGATGAGGCATGGGAACATTGCCAGATGTAGGTCTGGAATGCGGGATATGACACTAGCTCACAAGCCTCATTTGCGAATGGTGCATTTGGCTGTACCTGTACCTACTTCCTCCGTCACACATATATTGTATATCACTAGTGATGTGCATGGCCCAGCTTGGCTCAAAAGCCAGGGCTACAGCTCAGCTTGATAGGGCTCAGGCTCCTTCAGATTGCAGGCCAGGCCCTCCCCAATGGCTCAGGCTTGGTCAGGCTTGGCTTAGGGCTCAGGCCTCGGCTTCATATCACAATAGTGCTACAACCAGTGTTCTGCCGGTCGCCGAAGGTTCACAAAAGTCGGTGAACGTTCACTGGTGAACGTCTCTATGTCTACGGGTGAACGTGAATAGCTATGGTACCAGGAGTCCAAGGGAAAACATTATATAATCTGATCTGATTGGCTAAGGCCTGCCTAAACGATTCAAGTTTTTACTCGTCCAAAATCTCATCTGCCTGTGGAAATTCTGGGTCGTCAATACCCTCGGCATCCAAATCTAACAGCTCGTATAACTCAATCTCAGCATCTAAGCCTCGAATGGCTGTTTGGTAGAAAGATCCCAGCCAGTCTTGAGCACGAGAGAAATCAAAGAGATCTTTGATAGGAATTCATTGGAAATCTGAAGGATTAGCGACTGCCTCTATAATCTCGGAGGTCGTAAATGACTCCTCATCCTCAACAGCTTGAATCAATTGTGCAGCAATTTGCCGTAGCCCTCTGTGCCCGTGAACTTCGCTACTTGTCTGCTGGGGATCAACAAAGGTAGAGTCTGCATCATCCTCTACAGTTACACAAGATGATTCTGCTGATTGGTTGACCTCACTGGTTGTATTCTGGCAGTAGCGCCGTTTGAGGCACTTCCTGACAGATCCCGTGTAAACATGTTCTTCGTGGAGGTACATCTTTAGCTCTGCAAGTAGCATGAGATTCTGGGTGGAAAGCTGATTTCGCCATTTCATGAGGATTGCACCGAAGATACTGAAAAGATGCTCACATGAAGCAGAATTTGGACAGATGGAGAGAATTCACTGAGCAATTTTCTGGAGTGGCTTGATTTCAGAGTTGCTATGCGAAAATCCATCCCAAATATCAAGAGGATCAACCGGTATGCCCTGTTGGCAGAAATAGGTTAGATACAGAAGAATACAGCTCTAGTAGACAGATTACCTGGTCATTTGCGCAGGATACTAAGATCCGTGTATATATGTCGAGTGGCTGGAACTCAGGCAAACTTTTCAAATAGTTATCAAGATCTGTAAAAAGCTCGAGTGGTGGTGTGCCGCCATAAAAACGTGTCCAAAGGCGACTGAAGAGGGACATTAGCCCAGCACATGTTGTCAGAGGAATGTTGCTGAATGGTTTGTCTTTGTACAGTGGGTCAACGATAACAGCAGCAATGAAGACTTCTTGATCAACTTGAGCCCAGCGACGCTCGGCACTCTCGAGGACCGCATTTCGAGCCACAAGGTCAGATTCATCACCAATTCTTGAGTAACAGTAGTAAAGAAACCCAAATGAGATCGGAATATGCTCAGGTTTCGAGTGGGCAGCTTGGTGAATATTCGTCATCAAGGCAATTGGCTCCAAAAGGTTTTTCCATCTAAATGGTAGTGCAGCATCAGTTAAAATTACATTATGTTGCAATGAAAATATCCCCACTGAGCCATTGCATGCCAGAATGTTGGATTTCTTATTGTCGCGATGGCAGCTGAGGTCTTTGCTCGCGAACGAGCATCACCTGTAGACCGTATGTCTGCTTCATGCTTCGTTATCAATAGCTCTAGAGTTGGTCGAACATCCAAAAGTCGCCGGTACACTAAATAATGCGACAACCATCGAGTGAGAACAGCACGAATGATGGATAATGTCTTTCCCAGGGTTGAGATTTGCAATTCATGAAGAAGCGCGAGAATGTGGGTCTTGCTACGAAGCCATGTAATCAAATCTTGTGCGAGGTCACCATATTGCCCATAGTCATCCTTGACTTTGAAGAGATCCCCCACGATGAGGTTAAACTGTAAAAAATAAAATGTGAAGCTAACTCGCATACTACTATTCTCGCATCAACAACCTACCTGATGAGCTAGACAGTCAGGTGTTACCAAGTGCGGAAACTTTGCACGAAGGAGTCGCCGAGCCTTACGAGACTCTCCAGATGCATCAGTAGTGCATGCAATAATAATCACTCCCCACTCGCTCTCGACTTGGTCTATCGATTTGATAATCTGCTTGAGGAGTTCTTCAGCATTGCGTGAATCACCTGATGCATCATGGACACGGATAGCATGCAACTAGTAAGGCAAAGAAGTTTCAGTTAGCTCAGTTGTGAGAAGGAAAAGATTGTCCGCAATGCTTACCTTTCATTTTACAGTCATCGTAAAACCAAGCAAATGATGGCTATTCTCGCCAGTCCAGCCATCACATTGCAATGTTCCGACTGCACCACGAGATTCTTCTTTCGCAGTGGCTTTGATACCACGAAGGACTTGAGGCATGACACATTTTGTAAGAACCTTAGCCGACCATACGATGGTGCTTTGGCTCAAGGAATAAACCTATCACAAAGCTTCAACCACTCTGGATTTTCAACCCATCATAGTGGCAATCCTGCACTCGCAGTTACCCGTGCTAACCCTGCTTCCCAATCTGCCTGGTCAGCATCAGTCCAAGTTTGGTTGGTTGGCCAGTGAAGTCCAATGAGTGGCGATAACATAGATCCAGCAGTGACGGGCTGCAAAACAGAGCGATATGCACCTGAATTGCTCAGGCGCTGGCGCTTCGAGGGAAGGGAAAGGAGCCTGAGATCAGACATTGCAGGACTGGGTGCACGAGAATCAAGTGCCGGGCTTGGTAAAGATAATAAACCCAAAGAGGCAGTGGTAGATGGCGCTGAAAGACCTGGAATAAAGAGACCAAGAGCTGGTGATGCAGAAGATGGAGGACAAGTTGAATCTACAGCTGAGGACGGCCCAGTAATCTGAGAGGAATCACTGTACAACTGAGGTGCAGATAGCGTGGCGTATACCACTATAGGCTGCATCACTTGATTGAGGCGAAAGCCCTCTGCTACAAGGTCACCTCGTGCACGTGACCAAACACTCTCCGCATGTAGCTCACAGTCCCGTATATGTGTCAGAAGTGTTTTCGGACAGCTGATGTGCCAAATCTGTTGCGGATCTTGCTGCCCAGTAGCCCATACTACAATAGAAAGTGTCAGAAACAAATAGATGGTACAATTCAAGCTTACCTGCTCTCTTAATTGCATGCTCATCTCGTACATGATCCCGCGATCCAAACTGTACCTCACGCTCATCACGAGCCTGTTCTGCTGCAACATAATGCTCGAGTTGTCTGGTGCAGATTACTTTAGCCTTCTGCTGCACCATCGCTGCAGGTTCGGAGCTCTCGTAGCCAGGGTGCTCTGTGAATTCTTCCCACCACCAGCCTTGATTAGTACTCCGAGTCTTCTTCCTGCCACCAGTAGCCATGAGACCGTTGAGACGACGGTTGTGAATTAGCGATGAAGGAGAATGAGACAAAGAGTGGGTGCATTTTGTGTCAAGAGCCACAACGAGCCATATATGTGGGGGCACGAGGATTCTGCTGTAGAAACTACAATACAGAGAGGAACAAATGAGGCTCCAGACTGTATCTATAAATGTTGTGAGGTCACACGTTGCCTAGTCTGCTATACTTGAGAAGACAAGTGCATTCGACCCTAAAGGGGAAGTGAGTGCAGCAAGGATCTAGTAGTGAGCGCTAAAGGTGCTACTGGTTGACTGATGCGAAGCGCAGGAAAGCGAAGGTACGCGTGAGGCGCGGGAAGCGCGTGCGCGCGTGAGTGGAAACAAGTGAGAGTAAGTGTGAGTTTGCTCAAGTGATGATAGATGAAAAACAAGAGATGTGAGCGCGAGGTGTCAAAGAATAGATTTCAACTATATTCTGCTAGGTAGTAAGTGGGTAAGTGGGAGGTAGAAAAGGTTCTCCATAGTATGTAATGCTGGCGCTTAAGTATGGCGCCTAAGCGCTGTCACACGGAGCCGAAGCGCTACCGAGTGAGGTATGTAAAGATATATGTAAGTAAGGGTTCATGATAAAAATAGAGGTGGAACGATATGTAAATAAGAGAAATAGAAATAATACGCACTAGAGAGCTTGGTGGACAGTGGATGGATGCTTCCAGATGGCTGGCGCTATAGGGCGCTCAAGCGCGGGAAAGCACGCGCATGCATATACATCGTGAAGTGCGGGAAGTGTGCGCGCATGTTGCGCGTTGTGCGGGAAAGCTGCGCCTCATATAGGAATAGCTGTGGATAGCACACAGAATGATGCTACAAGTTCATGCTGTGTACTCCCTAGTGAATACTGCCATATCACACCATGAGAGGCATGAGTCTCTACACCGCATGGATTATTACGAGCGCTAGCTGTACCTGGTAGCGGACTGATTATTGTGCAATTTAGTTTACATTAATACATCGTGGCTAGGACACAAAAACTCACCTTGATCAATAGAGAGACTACATGATTGATAACACCACCAGATGCAGCGGAGAAGGCTAGGATGTCATGTGAGACGAAGTGACATTTGTTCATATGTGGCTAGAGTCGCTAGTAGACATCATCTGGACATAAGTAATCGCGCGCTCGATATTAGATTTCACAAGTCCATTATCATTACTGTAGCTGACTGTATGGAGGCAACTGGGGGTCGAGCGTGACAGGTTGCCACATTCAGCAGGTAAGCAACCAGGCAGTTCACCATCGTGACATGCCAAAAATTAGCAACTGTCAACATCCCGGCGCCGCATGTCATTGCGGAGTTGCCACTACTTAAAAAAATACTATAGTAACAAACGAGCCGAAAGGCCCGAAACGAGTCCAATACTGGTTGAGTTGTACTTGCTCCTGGCACCATGCCTGGTCCATCCTCGGTGTTGATATCACGGATTGAACATCTCGGGAGGCTCCTGAAAAATCTTCCACAATCATTGCCCCTTGACCCACCTAATTCTTCCTATGACTTCGGCCTCGACACAGAGATGGTTGAGGAGGAAGGGGTGTGGTTTGCATTCAATAGAAACCTGGAGGTCTGCTTTGAGACCCATAAACTTGGCCGAAGTGGAACAATCACTTTCCGTGAACGCGGGAGACGTTACGAAGCCCTGGTTGGGATGTTCAAGGAGACAGTTAAGAAACTTGCAAAAGATTCTGAACATGACTTCCTTCGTGAGGTGTGGCTTGAGCGGCTGATCAATGCTGCACAACAACAGGGTGCAAAGGACCTACGACAGTAAGATTTCATTCTCAATCAAAAGAGATCAGCTCATGTTGACCCGTGTGTTAGGACTGGTGTTGGCGGTACGAAAAGACCTGCCCCAGAGATACATATTTCAGCAGTAGATGAACATCCCAAAAAATGCTCGAAAGCTTCGCACTCGCCTCACACGGATGCTAGACTATCAACTGTCAATGTAGACTCGAACTCTGAGGGTCATGAGTCAGATTTAGAGCTCAATGTTCAATGCAAACATGTTACTATTCGCATGATTGAAAACCCTCGACCCTCGACCCTCCCTGTCGTAATCGATTTGCAGAAAACAAAACAAATGAGTTTCAGTGACTTTGCATGGAAACCACTTCGTACCGAAGAAGAAAAAGCCAAGCAATGGGAGAGATTGGCAAAAATCACAGCTGATGATGATGAATTGATGAAATGAGAGGAGGAAACTCTGAAAGCAGCACGAGAGCAGAGAAAGAAGAACCTAGCAACGGAGCGTCAACGTCGTCGTCGTGAGCGAATCAAAGCCACTCAGCCGAAAGGGAAGAAAGCACAAAAGAATGTCAACGAGGTGAGTCTAGCAGCTGTTCAATTGACCTGAGTATTGAAATGAACTTCATATAGGTTTTGCGGGCTGAATCCCAAACAAGCAGCCTTTCAACAATGGATCTCGCAAAGCTTTCAAGGCCTGATTCGGATTGGAAAGATCAGCGGACTGGGAAGAATGGTGGAACAAAGCAGGAATGACACCGTCAAACCAACTGGTATCATCCCTTCCTCTGGACACACATAGAGCAAATTGCCCCGAAAGTTGGCTGGTCTGCACAGACAATTGCTAGTAGGCTCGCTCAAGATCAACCATCACTCTTCTCTCACCTGAACAAGGGAACCGTCCAAAAATGGCTGGACAAGGAAACAAAACGTGGTTGGTCACCCGTGACAATTCAAAATGTCAAACGACGTCACGCACTGGCAGGATCAGGACAAACGGGGGTGCTTGCAAAGTACCCAGCAGTCATGAAGGAGATCACGGACACATTGCGAGGTTTGAGGACATCTGGTGTTCCCGTCAGTGTTGTTGTTGCTCGCTCGATCATGCTCGCTGTGATCGAAAAGCATGAACCAGGCTTACTACTCACTGAATTCAAATGTTCAGAGGTGTGTTAACCATGACATTGATGGATGCCACTCACATCATTCTAACAGAAATTTGTTTGGTCGTTCTTCGAGAGTGTGTTGGACTGGAGTCCGAGGAAGGGAACACGTGCAGCAGCCCATCTTCCAGCTGATGCTGAAGAAACCTGTGAAGAATGTTTCTTTCGATTGGTCTACATCATGAAATGGTACAACGTACCTCCGAAAGTATGTAAATTTTGTCTTGATACAATCTTGATGGTGTTCTTACATGTGATAGCTCGTGGTTAACTTTGACCAAGTAGGCTGCTATCTCTTACCAAATAGCAGTACCACGTTTCATGAGTGTGGCTCCAAACAAGTTGATATTGTAGCTAAGGACGAAAAACGTGCTTATTCGCTACTTGTAGCCAGCACTGCAGACGGTGATTTCTTGCCATTTCAACAAGTTTGGGCAGGTGCATCTGAGCGTTCATTGCCATCACATGATGCTCACGGCATGAACAATGCAATTGAGCGTGGATTTCATTTTGCATTTGCAAAAAGTGATAAGAAAACGAGCCACTACAGTACCTTGAAGACCATGCGAGAGGTGAATGCTACTTCTTCGTTGATTTTGGCTCACTAATGACTTCACTACCAGTGGATCGAGAACATCCTTGAGCCATGGAGAAAGGTGGTTATCGAGACAGATCCCGATCTTGATGATGACCAGCATGCAATTGTCTACCTCGACTGCTACCCAGTGCACACCAGCCAGGATTTCCGTACTTATGTTTGGGAGAAGTATCCATGTGTGTTTCTATGCTTCGTACCTGCAAGTTGTGAGTGATATTTGGTTCGGGATGCAGTGGTACTCATGTTCAAGTTGGCTTTCCAATAGGTACAGGAAAGTTCCAGCCTGCTGATGTCGGGCTGAATCGAGTGATCAAGCACCGTCTCAAGCAAAACCAAGTGAATTTCCTTGTTGAAGCCCACAGCAATCAGATCTCTCGCAGACTCGTTCCTGAGCAAGTAAAATTTACAACATCACTGCCGGTGCTGCGAGATGCATCAGTTGCAGCCCTTGTTGATGTTTATGACTTCATGACGAGTGCTGCAGGACGCGAGTTGGTCAAAAAGGTGCGTAATGATGAAATTTGCTTCTTCGATAACTAAAAACACTCGCAGGGATGGGAAAGGTGTATTGCAAAGGAATGGAATCTTTCGGGAGACTGCCTAACAAGCAAGCAATCATGCACAGCTCTAAATACATATCTCCATACTCACGACGCACTTCGCAACGAGATCGAGAACCGAATGGGTACAGTTCACAACGACAGCGAGGAATTATTGGAACATGTTGAAGAGATGCGAGAAGATGACTCCAATGTTCCTTTGAGTGCCGTGATCAATGATGCACTCGGGATATCGATTGATAAAGCTTACAACTTGAACCTGGGGTATGTGGTTTCGGAGGTCAAGCAAGCTGCAGATCAGACTCTGATGGCAGCTGGAGATGCGGAGGATGTCTGGGCTTGGAATAACGGGGAACTATGGGGCAAAAAACTTCCTACAGTATCAGCTGACGAGCCTTAGTAGTTATTTTTCGTACCAGCGTGACATATAAACTCATAGCAACTCGACGTCCGTGATGCGTGACCCGGTTCAAATTAGCAACGCAACCAGCTCTGCGTGACGCGTGACAGTTGCTTTCATACAGTCAGCTACAGTATTCAGTTTCTATATAAGGAATACAAGGACCCATGGCACCTGACATGTTCACAATCAAGTGAACATTGCCGACGGTCATCGACTTTCACACCCTTTGCATTCACTGAACGAATGCTGTGGTTGCTGACCGGCAGAACACTGGCTACAACACATCTGATGATTGAACAAATACATATTTGTCATCAGAATCTCGCTGCACTTCTTCATCAAGACTTTGTTCTTCGATCCAATGGCCTGTCACTGCGAAGTAGCCATCAGTGTTGGAGGCCAGCCATCCATCACAGGTGACATTGACGCGGCCTTTGACAGCCTCACCCTAAAACATACAGTGAGACCAGAAAACTCAAGTAAAAGTAAAAATCAACCAGAACAAGACACATACCAGTAGTCTCTTGCGAAGGTTTGTGATATTCTGTTTAAACAAGTCAATTATTGCATGCTGTGTCTGTCTGTGGTCAGGTAGGATGACACTATTTGTAGCACAACCTGCAATGTTGATCATGTTCTTAAAAGTGGGATGTTCGAGGGCTGATATGGGCTGATATCCTGTGAGACGCATGATTTTCCCTACTTCAAAACAAACATACCTGGTCTGTGTCAATCAGCCACTGAGTTGCAGCCTCCTGAAATAATGCATCTGTATATTGAACGACCCGTTCATTTGGCACACGTGGCTTGAGGTGTCCATTGATACTGGACTGTTGGTCTGTGGCAGCATCTTCTCAGTGTCATTTGGCATCCTTTGGGAGCATTGAAACAAAGTTGTTGCTCTTTGCCCATTTGAGATAGGCACCCTAGATACAACTGAATAACTACGTAGAAATATGAATCAAAAACTCACCCGATGCGCAGCCTCCTGATGTCGGCGCAATGTCGTCACTTTATTCACAAATGGCACCTGGCATTTGTGAGATTTACTAAGATAACAATCAATTAAAGATTTATTTAAAATGAAAAGGCCTTACCTGCAAGCATGACAGTCTCTGTATTTCTTGCTGTCCTTGAGATATGGAACAGAGAACAGTGCGTCAATATCGCGACTGCACTGCTCTCGTCGAGGCTTGGATGGTTCGTCAATACCCATGACTTCAATATCGGTAAGAAAGCCTTCTGCATCAACTGAATCAGCATTAGGTAGGGGTACTACAATCATTTGTTAGTGAGTTAGCATGATAAGAGGACAACATAAATGTACCTTTCTTTTGCTGTTTTTTCGGTGGTTTCATTGACATGAGGGGGTCTTTGTCTTTGTCCTCATCAGAAGCAGGAGGCTGTGCAAGGTCGATGTCCTCGGCATCAGGACTTTGTGCAACCTGTTTTTCGTCCTGTAGGAATTGGGTTGCAGTTAGTAAAGCACATAAAACTAAAGAAAACTTACCTTTGATGAGCCGTTTGTTGGTATGGGGGCTCACCAGCTGGATTTTGTTGTTGTCGGCCCCATCTAAGTCAGTAGGGTCCAAGATAACAGCAGTGTGGTTTGTGATATGAGCTATTCAGTGGGAAAGAAGCTCTTGATCAGCTGCATTGTCCGCACTAATCACCTTTGCTGATGGCACAGCAACCCATTTAGGATGTGGTGCAGGCGCTTCCTTAGTGTCGGAGTTGATGTGTGGCACCATTGGGAAATAAGGTTAGCCAGGTGATTAGCAAAAAAGGAAGGGTGATCCAGTAGTACGGACCAAAGAAACTGTGCAGTTTCTCAGATATCACTGCAGGTCGTCGTAGATACTTGTTGATTAGGTTGGCTGAAAGCCAGGGCTCAAAGGCCCAGCTCAGGCTTGAACAAACCTGAGGCCAGGCCTTGGGCCTACATAGGCTGCACCCCAAGGCCCAGCTAGGCTCAGCCTAAGTCAGCTGGGCTGAGCCTGGCCCATGGCCTGAAGCTGGGCCTTGCACATCACTATATATCACCATGTACCTAAATTTTGAGCCTCCGCATCTGACTTTCTTGTTGTTGATAACCATGTTCTTGTTGTTGTACCAGTCAATGCATGTTGTTGTGTCTGAATGACTTGTTTGTGCAATAAGAATAAGAGAGAATAAAATAAAATAAAACATTCAAAGTGGAATATGGAAGTATGGAAAATATATAGATGCGAGAGGCTCCAGAATGCATCCACTACATATCACACTCGCCAACATCGCAGTGAACATCTGGAGAGGCTGCTATATTGAGACTCCCCAGGGAACATACTAGGAAGCTACACTGACCCTCTGTGACAAGGCTCTGGTTACGTGCTCTCGAGGGATGGCTACACATCCTTGGAAAACTAGGGAGAAGCCTCCCAAAGGAGGGGGTCTCTCAGACTATATATTTGCTACATAATAATAGGGTCTGACAGTACGTGGGAACATCTTCAAAGTGCTGCCAAGGGTGGAATGGTATGATGTCTTGACATTTTCACACGGAGTCTTCGGTGTTGTTGGACTGGCACCCGCCTTCGAACAGGGCAAACCAAGAACTTGTGATTTGTATTCCAAATCTACACAACTAAGGGAGAAGTTTGATAAACAGTGAACCCATCTCAAGGCACAGTTATGGCAACTACCGCCCTATCACATCCGCCAACTGTGTTGTCGGAATTGCCGCAGCGTAGGCTTTCCTTTGAAGCCTTGTTTGTGTCTTCTGTTCGTAGGCATATGCAAAACTGATAAGGCTATACTCGCTCCATGCTGTTCCAAGGAACGAAAGTCCAATGGGGACGCCTGGAGCCGGATACACAGTCTCGGGCCCAGCACTACCAATTGTAACATTCTCTGGATAGAAACCCAAAGGTACTTAGCGCCGGGAGCATTAGCTAGTCAGATAGTTAGACATTGAAGAGATCATTTACCCGTGACAATCGGATATCCCGCGATGGCTGCGAGAGTACCGCGTCTGAGTTCATCTATGAAAAACATATTTTCAACACGAACCTGCAGGGACAGTCGTATAACCTGGTGCAGGGAGCACCAGAGCGTCGAGAGCATACATCTTCAGGGCAGCATCAATACCATTCGTAGCGCCAAGTTCCTTGTCAAACGCCAGAGATTGGTAATAAGATGCATTGAAACCAGTAGTCGCTTGTGATTCGATCAAACTGCAGCAATTTCAGTAAGTATGACGGTGTTCTTGAAGGGTACCCACATAGACTGGTCCGTGTATCCGGCGGGCTCCTCAAGCGTTGGGTTGCTGTTGTCGAACATGATCAAGTCCTCAAGCGAAGCCACCCCTGATGGGTTTGCGACAAGACTGTCAAACCAGGCATTAAGTTGGACCTGCCAAATTAAAGTGTTAGCACCAAATTATTTTTTGAATGCTTTAAATGCGCTCAAACACCTTGAAGTCAACATCCAGTACAACGGTCTCATTATTAGACTCATAGATCTCATACGCCGAAGGCAAATCAGCGGGGTCTACAATTGTCGCGCCCAGAATCTGTAGCGTCTCCAGTGCCTGCTCGAATATTTGGTTCACGTATGGATCATTGCCGGTCAGGCTGTCATTCAAGAAGACTGCGCGAGGTACTCCAATGCGCTTGCCAACAAGCGATGTGTTACTGAGTGCCATGATGTAGTCAGGGACGGGCGTTGGCTGGGCCAGCGTAAAGTTGTCATTAGGGTCTGGGCCAGCGATGATGGAAAGGACAATGGCGGCATCTGTGACGGAGCGAGTGAGCGGACCCACTGTGTCTTGGTGCTCGGAGATCGGTATGACTGGAGATAGGTTTGTGAACCTGATAAGAGACGGGGCAAGACAAAACTTACCCCCAGCACGGGATGTTAATCCCACGGTGGGCTTGATGCCTACCACATTATTTTGATTCGCCGGACATGTGATACTTCCGTCTGTCTCTGTCCTGTCTCTTATATCAGTTAAAGTGCAAGTGTAAGAGAGTGAACTGGAGCGAACCCAAGAGCGACGGCAGTCAGGCCAATAGATGCAGAGACACCAGAACCAGCTGACGAACCACACGGGTCGGCATTTGGGTAATATGCATTCGTGCATTGCCCTCCACGTCCTGACCATCCAGAGGCGATGTTTCCACGGAAGTGTGCCCACTCGGACAGGTTTGCCTTACCTACAGTGGCATACTGTGTTGAATTCTGATATCATACTGCGCCTTCAGGAAACGTACCGAGAATAATGGCCCCTGCCTCGCGTAATCGCTTCACTACACCTGCATCATCCGGAACCACAGAGTTCAACAAGCTATATGACCCCGCAGTCGTGTTCATTCCTTCGTGTGTCACTATAACTATCGACTTTCCACTCCATATGATTGAAACACACCTTCAAATGCTACAGTCGCGATATTATCCTTAACAAGCACGGGGATCCCATGGAGCGCACTCCGTGGTCCGTAGGTAAGGCGTTCAAAATCCAGCACCGCAGCTTCCTGGAGCGCAGACGGATTTGTTTCAATCACAGCACGAAGCACCGGCCCTTGCAAATTAACTTCTTCGATGCGGGCGAAATATGCCTGTCAAATCAAATTGTACAACCATGTCCATGATTCCATTAGTATTACTGCAGGCGATTTATGATATGCAAGACTGCTAGCATGCTTACGGACCTTGATCAGGTCAACACTCGTGAACTGCCCCGAAGTAAGGCCCGCTTGAAGTTCAATCACAGATGCCTCGTAAAGATCGGGTAGAGGCGTTGTGATTGACGCGTAAACCACCGGTCGGGATATGTATAAGGACTGGCCAAGTGCTAGCCATGCCCAGAAGAGAGTAAGTAGTTTTGCACCCATTTTTGCGTGCAAAGAGGAATATGAGAAAGCAGAAGGTCAGCACGTAAGTGAGCGACGAGATGAGCTTGGTTCAAGTACCCCCGAGCGGAGCATTTCTCAGAGGTCACTTGAGCGATAACGGTGACAAGCAAGACGTTGAGACAAGGTTGACTTCTCCCACGACTGAGCAGACTTGCATGTGGTCCTTGTTAGACATTCAAATTTAGCAGAGATAGCAACTATTGATCATGCGCACCTGGGGAAGGATATCTCGACGTATCACTTTCTGGCTTGGTGCCAATGAAAGGCTTATTTGCTTAGGTCGAGGTCGAGTTTTTGTACCATCACTAGATCACGCCCGCACATGCTCTGTCCGTCATAGGAGAAGCTGATAAATTGTTCGGCATTAGTTGTCGAGAGCGGGGAACTCGACATTGAGTTCAAAAAGGAAATTATATAGTACCACCAGCAGCGGAGCGGTGCACAGCTTCAAGTTTGCCCTGGCACGCGCGACGCGCACGCAGGTGGACGGACTAAATATAAATTATGTAAATAGTATGTCATCCCGCGGTTTTATTTACGTAATTTAAAATACAGACTCGAGGTACACGCATGACAGGACCCGGCGTTGAATGGCAGAAGCCCGAGGTTGGTTGCCTGCATACATTATTAGACTACCTATTTCGGCAAATATCATTCAGTATCATTCTCACTTCGTTACACAGGTCACCCGTGGCGCCTGGGCCGCAGCAGCTGGCTGCCTGGCGGAAATCAGCATGACAAATACCTGCGTACGGCTGTGCATGCTCAGTGCCTTCGGCGAGACACGCACGTCAGCACAAATCCTAGTTTCGCACATAGACATTTGATTAACGCGGCAGGCCCGAAGTCATCGCTATACACACATTATAAGCAGATTCAACATTTGTGAAGAGCAACTTCATCTACCCTAGCATGCCAATTACCCATATCCTTTGGAAACTTGTTCTTTCAGCAAGCTCCGCACTCGTTGCGTTCGGATGTTGGAAGTTAGGAGAGCGAGTATGGCACAATCTTAGGTCCCCACTGCGCGCACTACAAGGCCCAAAAGGAACAAGCTGGCTATATGGAAACTTGAAGGACATTTTCAAGGCGGTATAGTTATCCATTGAACTCACCATCGCGCCGTCCTCATTGAGGACTTGCAGGAAAATTCAGTCCTTCACGAACAATGGGTGGAGCAATATGGGACGACCCTGAAATACAAAGGGTTCTTCTTTGTATGTTCAATTTCTCCTGCATTACAAAACTTACCACGTCTGAAATTCTTTCTCAGTCAGACCGATTGTTCACGATGGACACCCGCGCACTGAACCATGTTCTCACCCATAGTAGCGATTACCAGAAACCGTCACAAGTACGGTATAATCTTTCTAGAATTTTGGGCGAAGGTGCGTGCCAGTGTCTACTGTTATCCCAGAGTCACATCTGAAATCATCTCAGGTGTCCTGTTTGTTGAAGGTGCGATCTCAGCTGCATAATATTTACACTTCCATTAATGCCAGTCTCAAGGGGCTCAACACCGTCAGCAGGTCTGTTTTGACACGCATCTCAGTGTTATGATACTGACGCCATATCTCAGAGAAGGATCATGGTACGGTTCGCCTTTGTTTGCCTTGGAACAATTAATCATGTCTTCCGAAGAACCCCGCCTTTGGACCCGCCCAGATTCGCGCACTAACGGACATCTTCTTGAGCAAATCGATCAAGGTAAGCTTGGCTTGTTTCTTACTAGATATGGATATATATGTCGACGCTGCTGTCTTTCAGCTTCGAGACATCTGGTCCACCATGACCGTTACCAGTGAACACGCGACTCGGATGGATATCATGCCCTGGCTGAGCAAAATGACGTTGGACGTCATCGGGCTTGCAGGTATGTCCTTTCCGAATAAGCTTCCTAGCAATACCGAATGAGTGTCGTAGGTTTCAACTATGAGTTCGACGCCCTGAATGCGACCGATAAACCAAATGAACTTAACCAGGCCTTCTCAGTCATGTTTTCTGCCAGTCAGCAGATTAGCATCATCCCCATACTTAAGGCATGGATTCCTTTGCTCCGATGGATCGTAAGTTTACCATCGCCACCTGACATAAATTGCTGCTAACTCCCTTCAGCCCTCTGATCGCGATCGCAAGATAGATGCAGCCCAAAAGACGATGGGTCGCATCGGCAGCCAGCTCCTGCATGATGCTAAAGCCGCCGTCATATCCTCTCACAGCACTGAAAAAGGTGGTTCCATTGAGAAGAGTAGTCTTCAAGGGCGCGATTTACTTAGTTTACTTGTTCGTGCCAATATGGCAACCGATATCCCCGAAAACCAGAGGATATCGGACGAGGATGTACTTGCGCGTATGTTGTCATTTGGAATTATGCGTGCAGAGCGCTTATGGCGTACTTAGAGGTTCCGACTTTTTTGGTCGCGGGACATGAGACCACGAGGTGCGGATGCCACTTGTTGTAGAAGATAATCCACACTCACACAGTCGAATAGCACGTCAACAACTTGGGCACTCTATGCGCTCTGCCTACGCCCAGACATTCAAACCAAGCTCCGGGAGGAACTCTTGACAGTGGAGACCGAGACTCCGTCCATGGACGAACTCGTGGCGCTCTCGTATCTTGACGCGGTTGTGCGCGAGACACTTCGTTTGCACGCTCCCGTCCCTAGCACAGTTCGCATCGCAATGAAAGATGATATCCTCCCAGTGGACACGCCTTTTACGGACAAGTATGGAGTGGTTCATAGTGGGATCAAGTATGTTGCCAGCCTCCCTTTCAATGATCATCAATATCTCATCATAGTTGCATCAGGGTTAGCAAGGGCGACCCGATTTTCATCCCCATCTTGGCAATCAACAGATCGGAGGCGATTTGGGGCGCCGATGCAAAAGAGTTCAATCCTGACCGCTGGGCATCACTTCCAGAGGTAGCATCGCAAGTTCCTGGGGTCTGGGGACACCTCATGACGTTCCTCGGTGGTCCGCGCGCGTGTATCGGGTATCGCTTTTCACTAGTGGAGTATGTGTGCTGCAACCTTTCATTTCATTTCATTTCCAACAATAACGACCTTTTACAGGATGAAGGCTCTCCTCTTTACCCTGATTCGAGCTTTTGAGTTCGAGCTTGCTGTTCCTGCTTCGGATGTCGGAAAGAGGTCGTCGATCGTACAGAGGCCGTTCTTACGCAGTGACCCAGAGAACAAAGACCAGCTTCCCTTGCTGGTGAAGCCGTATTGCAAAACCTCAGGACTCTCGTAATTATATTCTTTAATTATATATCAAGTGCCTTGGAATTGATGAAACATTTCCTGATGAAAGAATAATTACCAAAGTGTAGCAGCAGTTTTCTGTATGGATAAATCACTTGGATCACTCAAGATCATAGATCCATCTATTCGAATTTGATTCAGATATGCGAACTGATTACTACTACTATCCAACTACCTGTCAGTTTCACGGATTACTGAGATAAGAGTTGAGTGAATTTCTCAATGTGAGCTTCGCAAAGCGCAGAGAAGTAAAACTCGTGTTCAGAGTTATGGGGTTGTACGAGGTTGTGAGCAATCTCGTGGGCCAGCGTGAAGTACCTGGGGAAGATTATTGTTTCAATAACTTTAAGCTGAGATGATGCCTTACCAGGAAATATAAGCCTGATTGATATTCCCATTCTTTACGTCTTGATCATCTACAGTTGACAGTATTAGGAAAGCAAGGAGCTCCAAGTATGCACACGCACGCCATGCCTCGAAGAAGCGGTAATTAAGAAAGAGACTGCCGTTCCGATTAAAAGCGATCAAGCCGCCTTCTAGGTCGTAAAAGATGTGAAGTGCGGCCATCGGAAGACTATAGACGTTTGCAAGGGGCGTGACAATGTGAATAAAGCGAGCGAGAGAATCATGCTTCCTCGTAACGAAGGTACGGGGTTCAGGAACATCTATACAATAGATGTGAATGCTGCGTCGTGCAGGACAGTGGGACACTCACCTCGAGCGATGAAGATTTTCATTGTACCCATAACACCTGCACATAATTAGCGCCATTAAGCTCAGGACCTAATTCACTACTTACCAATGTGATCAAGCTCAGCGACATGGCCGGAGATGTCACAATACCCCTCATCTAGAGATTCCTTGATTGTTTGCATCTCGCGCCTGTTGTGTACTAGCTTCCCTTCCTCTGGTCTGCAACCTTTGATCGCCATCGCAACATTGGATCCTAGAAATGTGTTAGGCAAGCATTTTAACAAGTATAGAATGGATTTCTCCAAGCTCACGAATGTTGCTCTGCGGAGTCACAGTTGGAGGTGTCCTAGTAGATCTCTAGTTCAAAAATATCGTCTCGCCTCAACAATTGACTCTCTTACCTCGGATTTTGAGATCCCTGTGAGAGAGTAAGAGCGTCTTCCGATGAACTGTTGAAACCAGGTATCTTGCGCCTGATGTTCTGCAGTGTGTTGTTCACAATATTTGGAATCACGGGATGTCGTCCGACGTCTTCATTGCCGACTGTATGTTGAGGGGGCGCATCGGGAGTAGATGGCTTTGGTGGTGGCACTGGTGGAGCTGTAATAAGGGGTGGAGCTGGAGCGGGTGGCAACACGGGTTTTGATGCTACTGCCTTGGGAGGTGAAGTATCCCAACCCCCTGGGACTTTAGTGCGATGTGAGGGAGACAATGAACGCGTTTCAGACTTCAAACTCTGACTCATGCGTGGGTCAGGTACTGGTATCGATGTGAAGCTTCCTCTGGCTGCCTCCACCAACTTTCGGTCATTCTGTTGTCTCAAAATCTTATCCACTGAAACAGTACATCAGGATTTCAGTAAAATGAGGGAGCTAGGAAACGCACCGTTATAACCTCTCCGTTTCAGAGCCTTCAAGTCGGTCGAAAGGATAGTCATGAACAAGAGCGCATCATTCACTTTTACCGTCTCGAACAGCAGGCGACACAATGATGTCGCGACCCTACATGAGCCACGTTAACCTACAGCCGATTCAACATAACTTAAGACACTTACTCATACATGTCCACTTGCGTGCTTCCTGAAAGCCATAGCTCAATAGGCCCATGGCCCGAACGTTTAGCAACCGCTGAGGTATCCTGCTCCCTTTTTAAAGTATTATCTCCAAAAGAAAGCGATTTCACAACGGTCAGTTTGCCGAAAACTCTGACTTTGAAATTGTCTTGGTTAGAGAGCCAGCTGAGAGAAACCTTGGTGCGTGTATGTGTGTGTTCGTGCAGGAACAACGGCAGCCTCTCTAACAGCAGCGCACGTGTGTCAGCTGCAGACTTGTTGTGCTTCATCTCCGAGGTGACCCTGTAGTCTTCCTTCACGACGGCGCTGAGGCGTTTGGAACCCAGAATTGCATAGAAGTCTGTGGGAGAGTTAGATCAACCTCAGTAGAGAGCTCAAAACACACTTTCAACGAGATCCTCTTGCGGTGCAGTATAGATAGACTCTCCAAACATCTGATAAGCATTAGTATCGTCCGCAATTACAACATCCAGGGGCTTCCGAAGATCGTAAAGCAGCTCCCAGTCATCCTCGTCGATATCTAGGGCTTTGTTTGATTCCTTTCGAGACTTTCTTTGCCGTCGAAAACTGAGCAAAATAGGAGAAACTTTCATTCGGGCGAGCGCGCCTGTAGATAGCAGACGAGCGTTGACAGCCAAGTTACGCAATTCCACGAGGTAACTGAAGAGAAAATGAGTGTACATGGTAGTGGAAAGCTGGGCCACATACTTCTCATAACCACCCGCCAAGTCGTAGAATTTTTGAGGATCGGCGACCAAAATGCTAGCTACCTCTTCTACAGAGGGTTCTTGCTTCGAGCCACATGCACTCAAAAAGCTATTGGCAGAAGGGCCGAAATCCACAAAGACGAACAACTTCGAGTGAAACTGCCCTTTCGATGCCCCTCCAAGATAACATTGGCTAGGGGAAAGCCAACGCAGTGCCTGGGAGCCAGATTCTACCTGGGTAGGAACGATTGGCAGCCCCGAAATTATTGACAATTGAGATGAACTGAAGTCTGTATGACCATCAGTAAGGCCCTCGCGTGTGCTAAGCGAAGCAAACCTGCAACATGGCCTGCTAGAATCTCAAACCATCGACGAGCGACGTTCTGATCTTGAGGAGATGTTTTCTCAAGCAATGCCACGATCCTGGTAGCGGGTGGGTGTTCCTTTAATCCTAGTTTGCTTACTGCAATATCTCGAACGGCATCTTCAACAACTGAGAACCCAAGGACCTTCCACTGATGTGATGCAAATACCTTCAAGCGCGTTACATTAATTTAGATTTATGATGTATACGTTCCCGCTGACCTCATCCGGAGTTCCCATACAAGGCCCAGAGTTATCCACTGCCGGTATGAAGGCAACATGGCCAAATTTTTCACATCTATAGTCCGGATATCTAGAAGGAATGCTGTCTATAAGGTATTTGAATGCTGCAGATCGGATGTCTGGCTCCGATGAACCGCAGAGTTTGACAGTCAAGTCCAAAGGAGGACTTTTTCGCAGGCCCAGTCGATGCAGAAGCTTTGCTAGTAAGAAAACATGCTCTCAAATGAAAGAGCGACACGCGAAGGAAGAGACGGACCTTCTTCGGAGCTGCTTCGCCATTTAGTCTTCTCACCCCAATCGATAATCGGCAAACCAAGCTGACGGTTTGTGACAGATGGTTCGTAGAGATCACTGGCCCTATATCGCGACTTCTTTCCCGGAAGAGCGTTCTCGCCTTCCTTTGAGAAAGCAGACGTCATCTGGAGTTTCGTAATCTCATCTAGGGTTAACGTGCTTTGGATAGTGACTAGATGCGTAATCAGATCTGAGATTGTCCAGTCCCCAGTTTTAACCATTCTGCCGGAACATGAGTAGCTTGCTATGATATTATGCATGGTGGCTTACCGATCAAAAACAACCTGAAGGTCTACATGCTTCCGGACGCCAACAAAAGAGAGCAGCTTCTCCATGTTGCCCTTGAGAGCACCGCCTGATGTAAAAGTAACGACGGGAAGATCGTTAAATATATTGGCGCTGGGAAAGTACGCCAACTGTGGCTTGTGTAGACCTGAAGATGTCGGGATGCATGATTTTTGGATGAACATAGCCTTGATCTTTTCATGCGACTCCTTTGACAACGATGGCCATGTGCGAGCTAAAACGGTCAAAACTCGCTCGGCCCATTCCGAAGACCTGGTTACGTCTTGTGCCGGATTAGCATTCATAACATCTGGTCTAAAGATGTGCTGTATCCAGTCGAGAATCAAAAATTCCCGCCACCCAAAAGATCTCAACTGTTCCTGCGTGAAGTGTTTCGTGACGCTCAGAGGCATGAGGGAATCAGGTAAGGGCCCATCCAGCGGAATCATACGCTGATGAATGAAGTACTGCACCATCGAAAGGGGAATCGGCTTGGCATCCTTTCCTGAGCCTAGACTGAGGATAGTGGCATTAAGAAGCTCGGTGCGAGCGCGCGTGGCATCGTGCGTCGGATCTTGTTGTCCCACAAGCCACTTGAGACAAGCGATAAGCTCTTCTTCGTTAAGCGGATGCTGGCGAAGTTGAGCCAGAACATCCGAGAATGTGATATTCGTGATCAGTCCTTTGCTTTGTAGAGTTCTAATGGCAAGAGAAGCAGACGACAGAATAGGAGCGGGAAGGACAGGCAGGTGTTTAAGGAACAACGAAAACATGGGATCGGGAGCGCGTACATCGGAGGCATCACGCACACCCGTTGTCGAAAGGACTTTGAGGGGTAAAGTGGAGCAACCAAAGAAGGCAGCCTCGAGGAATCGTGCAACATCGGAAGAAGGCGTTGAGACATGGAAAGTGAAAAATTTGAGGACATGCAAGAACCGATCGCGCAGCCAGTCGCGGAGTTGTGGATCCGGATGAAAATCGTTCGTGGTTGAATTTGAGGCTTCGTTCCAGAGCATCCGAATATTTTCGAGCTCCATCTCGTATGCTGCTCGACACAGATAGCCGCCAACGTACAACAGCTCCCTGTTCCATACTATATCACTATCAGTTATTGACTCAGCGGCGAACACGCAAATCTCACTTGCGACGTTACGGTCGCTGGAAATATGGTCAGATGCGTACATGGAGTAATGCAAATTAACTCACACTAAATCTATTGATTCGCGTTCAACCGTTGGAATAAATCTAGATGCCATATGACCACCGATACCTGTTGTCTGTCCAGTTGCGTGCCCCTGCGTTCCTTAGCCTACTTGAATTACTTCCTTGAGATCGCTCTTACGATAAACACATGTGCTTGACCAGCACTGTACATGTATGAGTTACAACCACGGCCTCGTTCCCAGAAACAAGGTACTGACCCATTCAAATCAGCTCTAAGACCCTGGAAAACACTTCCAGAAGATACGGGCTGGCTCTTCTCCTCCTCTAGACTCACATTGTACTCGTCTTTTCCTGTCTGTAAAGGAATCAGTCGCAAGCCAAAATCAAGGTCGTGGATCAAAGACCCACATAAATCAGGCTGTAATTCAAGTGATTGGGTGGGTTTTTCTTTGTAGATCGGTGTAGTTCGCTCTGAAGTTTCTTATCCAGCTTCACGTCTACGTCCGCATTGAACATGGTAAGTGTGACGCTTGAGGTGTATACCCCCGTGGGGTCTTTGTTAACTTGGGGTTGCGGTAAAGGCTTTGCGAGTACAGGCTGGTGGTGCGACGTAAAAGTGCTGAGAAGAGACGAGAAAAACCCGCCTTGAGAGACTTTGGGTGGTTCTTCGACTGTAAGGACGAGAGGCTTCTCGGTGCCAAGAGCATATACAGCATGCATAACGTGTGCCTGGATACGAGTAGCTAGAATGGTGCATCAGCCATACAGACGACCAGTAGCAAGGGGAAGTGCTCGCCAGCAGACTGCACGCTCTTCACACTCATCAAACCTGAACCGCTAGACTTTTTCAGCACTTTGGGTAATTCAAGCTCCCTTGGAACACCCGGAGACTCGTTGAGATGGGCCAGGCGATGAGAGTCAATAAAGACGCTAACTGAGCGAAGGTGGACCATGAATGTGATGCTGCTTGCAAGGAATCGCGTTAGATCGAATGGCTGTGGAATAGGTCCCTGTTCACGGAGCGTCATCTCAAAAGTTGTCCATGGATTGGGCTGGAGAGCATCTTTAGATGGAAGATCACCGCGCCGTACGAGAAGCTTCAAGAGGTCAGTTGATATCAAGTGTCAATCGACATGCATACTTGGTCTCCAGTTTTGTCCTTCCAGTAGAATTGCATTCCGTGACCTTGATTCCATTAGAAAGATAAAACAATACCCGGAGGCATTCCTACCTCCTGAAATGACAAATGGTTCCTCAGTCACAGAGAACAGACTATAAAAGCCTGCAAGAATGGTAGGAAATGAATTCATCGATGGTGTGGAGGAACATACCGACACCGAAGGCGCCAATCTTCTCCTCGTCTGGATTTCCCTCAGCTATACAAAGTGAGTATATCATTTCTATTATTCAAGCTTCAGGTGCACTACGCACCAATTTTCCTAAGCCGATTCCAGTCCTCGTCGCGAAACACAATTCCGTTATTCCGAAAGGTCCACTGGGAAACCTACAATGATCGATCAACAAACACAGAAAATGAAGTAACATTGATATGGTACAGACTGGAGCGGCTTTGAGGTCCGGAAAACCCACACCGACCTCCGGACGCATCGCATCCTTGCCGTTCTTTCGTCGGAGATACTCCTCTGTCTCAAAATATATTTCAACCGCAGAAGACTGTGCATCATCGGAGTTCTGAAGAAGTTCACGGAATACTACATGCTCGTCAGGGCTGCGGGATCAAAGAAGAAACCAGCAGGTATAGTGCACCTGTGAATTCGCCCGAATATCGTGCCAACACCTTGTCGATCAATGCACGCTGATTAACTTCTACTGTCTCATCATAACCACTCGCCCACTGCCTTGGTCGGACATCAGCATCTCATAAGGAATCAAGCAGGCTTACAAGGGCGTCTCGATCATGAGCCATAGGTTGGTTTCAATGCCACGCGCCTTCCCCGTGTGTAACGTGTTGCTGGCGGGTAGCTGAATGGAATTGGGCTGGTGTCTTACACCTTTGCAGGTGTTCGATGACCGTAAGGAAGGGAGTCGTTGAGTCTAGTCAAGCAAACGGAGAAGTTTATGCACGGAGCCTTTAAGCGCTAAGCTCTAAGTACAGCCATAGTACGTTTAATTACTTGATATTAGTAATTATTAATCTTTTCAAAGGCTTGTTCCACCAAACATTAATGGCACCAGAGACTATAGTCATAGGTAGTAGTAGAAACTCATAGAAGGAACAACAATCCTCGACATTCGCCTACAGTCACATGGTTTGTCCGACAACGCTCCGTGAAAACGCAAGTAAATGCGGCCTGGAAGACTCGCAGATTGCCATGGCATACCGCGTGTTCACTCTGAATCTTGATTCTTTGGCGATTCCGGGAATTCAAGTATAGATTTCAATGCCCAAGTTGGGTGTAAGCACGCAAGTAGCACGTATGATGGGCCTGACAAGTTAACGATTCCTGCTCTCATATATCATCATGATGTAAGGACTCGAAGAAGAAGAAAACTCATTTCAAATGGCTAAACTTACATGTCAGATCACAATTACGTATGTACGTACTGCATGCTGTCGAGTTCGGTTAAAATGCGGTTGGAAAGATGTGGTCGAGAAAGTTGATCAGAGTAAACTTTGAATCGTTACTACAACAAACTAAGGTGTCGTAGGGTGTCATGAAAGGTATCAAAATTGCGAGACAATTGATGGCATAGAGACGAATATTTTTCGGGATATGATGGATGCGATGCAATGTTCCTTCCATGTAATAGATTCCTTCACAAAAATGCCGAAGTGTCAGGGAGCACCAGAACCCTACGCCCTGCAAGGGCAGTCATAAATTGGAACCTCGTGGCAAGTCAGGGTCGGCGGGCATGTAAATAGAATTCCAACCTGCACTGAAATTATTTGTTCCCTGCGAGCGCAACAGCAAACCATCCGAAAATAGCCATTAAAAAGCGCACCATCCACGCTGGGTCAGCGCCAACGCCGCGGCCTGGCCTGAGCTGCATCGCCAGAGCAATGTCAAACTCAGGCACAGCACGGTATGCGCGACTGCGAGGATGGATAAGGGGTGACGAAGGAGGTGCAGGAGTAGAACTAGCGACCCGCACGGACCAGGAAGGGCGTGCAGGTGGTTCACGAGCTTCAGAATTTATTGCTGGGTGTACACATGCTTGTGGAGGTGTGGGTCGATCATCTGGGGTAGGGTCGAGTGCCGTTGGGATGGGTGGTAAATAAAGATCCCGCAAAGGTGAATCAGGTGACGGATCTTGCACGCCGAGAGACGGCAGAATGTCCAAAGCATCGTGAAACTTCTCGTCCTCTGAGTCTTCCCGTGAGTCATCGGAGGTAGTGATGGAGACATAGGACAATAGTGCAGACGCACGAGCACTGAAATACGGGGGTTCCTCGGACTTCTCATTCAGTATACTCTGCGTTGCCGCTATAACTGTTCCAGTGTTTGAATTTCTCCTGCAGGAGGATAACACTGCATAATTCTCAGCATGGAGTAGACTTTGCCAAGCCTTGTAAGACCAAAGAATTTGGGTATGTAAGTCTTTGATGGCATACAATCTCAGGCCTACACAGGCCAGTGCAAGTAGCGCAATAGTGCATGAGAAGATGAGGAAGAGGGTAAAAACAGAAGTCAAGAGATCTGCTTTCCCATAGTTGGTGACGAGGTCTGGGAGGTTGTGCGTAGTCGGCGCTTCATCTCCTGAGCTGATCACAGTCATGATTCGTTGACCAAAAGGCACGAGACCTTCTGTGTTGGTCGACCCGTGTACTGCATCAAGTAAAAGGTAGCCATCATCTGCAGCAGCAGATGTGGGCCCGATGACCATTCCAGCGTCGCGATAGAAGTCACTATAGCAGCCTGCATCAGAAAAGTGTTTAGAAAATAATAAATGCCAGCGTGACTTACTCTGGATGTAATGAACGCAAACGAAAAACCGCTTGCATAGAATCTTGTATTTCTGCTGACATCCTACGACAGTCACTTACTGGTGCTCATCGGAGCAAATGAATGAACTTACTGCTTAGAGTCCGGCAAAATTGGAAGACTCGAAACGGCCAGCGCGAGCAGAAGGACAGAAATAAGTGTAGTAAACATCATGTCAACACCAACAATGACAGAACGTTTGCTATCCAGTTCTGGCGGCGGTTACGCAAAGGAGGCGGAGGAACAAAACCCACCTCGTTTCTACCTCGCCTCGCAATCCCGAAAACACGATGCAAGTCGGAATAGGTCGGCATGCGGCCGGCTGCCGACACGCAAGTCGCGTCTCCATTTAGTTGTTGTCACGTGCAGTTATAATTCCCTTCAATGAGTTGGTGCACACTGTCACCACCCAGAGCCAATTCAGGGCCAACTCGAGTCCGAGTACCCGTTATATTAGATATTGAATGGCACCAACTTCAAGAAACCAGCGACAACAGTCAAGAGCATCCTTTCATCCATCCAATGATACTGCAACTTACCGTGATCTACTACTCTTTGAAGAGCGCCTCAAAACCAACGCCGCTCAGCTCCAACGCAGAAAGTCCAGGTATCAGCGTATGTTTTCACGATACATATATTGATGAAGACGCTTATGTTTATTCCTAGTGTTCCTATTTCATCTTCTGATAGCTATTGCATTCCTTCTTTCCGAAGTTCTTCTTCAGACGTCCTTTCTAGACATACCCTATACGAACCTCCTCCGCAAAGTACTTCCAGATGTGTACGGGGGTGTTGAGAGCTCAAAGCCCCACCCGTACTTTGCATCGGGGCTCCTCTTCGTACTTGTAACTGCCCTCCTTCTCTTCTTTGCCAGCGGCATGTATGCTGAGAAAATTGCATATGCAAATAGGTCAGCTTTCATACAATGTATTCACCGCTCAGAGATTTAGCGACGGTGCTGCAGATATGTTCCTCATGCGAATAAAGCTCTTCGAAATTTCAACATGTACCTGAATGTCCGACGTCCTCCCCTTCGCTCAACATTCTCTATCAGCCCCTTTCCTTTTATTTTCCATCGACCTACCCAGTCACGAGGACCGTCCCCAACACCGCGCCCATCCAATGCACCAGCTCCCATGGCTCCTATACCACCAGCAAACAATCCACGTGGTGAACTCATTTTTTCGTCACGCGTTGACCGGGGCTTTAGGGAGAGCTACGAGAGATATCGAGCTGCATTTGAAAGGAAGCGAGATCGAAGAGAGAGGGATGAAAGAGACAAGACGTGGACAGGACGAATTGCGAACAAGATGCCGTGGAATCAACCGCCGGATGCGCCGCCTGTTTTAGCCGTACTTTCACGGACCGCGTCTGGTCGCGGGCGGGGAAGCGTTGTCGGCACTCCATTGGGGTCCAGGAGGTCAAGTCCTATGCCGAGACCAGGGACAAGAGATTCTCCTGCTGTGAGGACTATTGATTAATATTGATTAAGCAGATCTAACCAATATTGACATTCGCATTCGTCTGAAAAATAATGTCCATTCATACTTTTGTGAGGTGTCTTCCAAGCCGACTAGGTAGCAGATGCGCCTTGGCTCTGTCACCTGAAGAAAAGTCGTCGGTGCCTAGTGAATTCTAACAATATTGAAGATGAACGGTGCCGTACACAGAGATTGCCCTTCTACTTGAAATCCTATTGCATAAGGAGCTCCCAAATGCAGTGGCCGCTAGTCAACTATTCGCGGTCCCGCGAAACCCCGTTGAACTCTAGCACGACATTCAAAGGTAACAGTACCACGTGTTTATCTCAAATATTAATGAACACCGTACGGCAGTGTGTTCTCAGATGTGGCGAACTTGAAAGCACCCCGTGTTATGTAGGTTTGGGAAGGCGAAACATGTACGATACGCTTGCGATACGCGATTTTCAAAGTAGTACTTACATCCACATCAGATATAACTTACATAATTGATTTCATTCCCTGCAATGCTGCCGCGGGCCAACTGATGTGGTAGTAATGTCGGTAATCGTGTTTCTCTCAACATAGGCCCATGATGGAAACCATGTGAGTGCACAGTGGGTAGGTATGGGTCCCAGACATCCTCATATGTTCAGTCTGTTAATAGTTTGCCAAGACTTACTTAGAGCTCTGCTTCTACATTCAAGTTCTCTTAATCATGAACTTCGTTCATTACTGAGTTCGAAATTCCACGATTATTCTCGGTTGAGTCGGAGTGCATTACATGCACTTCAAGGACATGTCATGGGAAGCACTGGCAATGGCGTGGTGGCACTACATGCGGTTAGGCTACGGAATTTCCAAAGACTCCATCTCCGTCGTGTCCGACTGATGGATGATAACATGACTCGGACGAATGCTCTTACTTATCCGGATCTGAGGTGGGTAAGGGTTACTCAGGTAAACGCTACTTACCATGAGAAGCCCGTGTTGCAATTGCAAGTGTTTCAGTTACATGACGGAGAAACCTGCCTATCAAGTAGTTAGCATGGATGGGGAAGCTTCTGAAGAGATATCACTTGCGGTTTTGTTGCGCCTCAATGGCCCAATGGAAGAAGTGCTCATTAACTTAAACAGCAAGCGTCGCGGGAGGCAAGTGCGGCACTTACGTTGCGTATATTATTCATTAGTAGATGCCCCATTTTTGAGCTGTCAAGCATGCAGATTCAACACGTCATCCAACATCTGGGGTAGCATGCAGGCGAACTATCAAATCAACGTCATACGCATGCGGGGTCGTGGTGATTCGTGACGCCTCCCGCGATGGGTTCTGCATTACCTTTTCAACATGTATTATGTAAGACACGATTGATGCGCAGATTGGCAGTTCGCTTTCAGAGTGCATCTCTGTGCTAAATATTAAATAGCTATGCCTCACAGTCATCACTCTCACTCCGGACAATTCTGCAGGCATGCTTTCGGATCCTTAGAAGAAGTCGTATTGGAAGCCATCAAACAACGTTTCGAGGTGTATGGTTTGACAGAACATGTACCCCGCTACAGGCCAGAGGATCTGTATCCAGAGGAGGTAGTTTCGCCTCCTTGAACCAGGTTTTACATCTAAATATACCTGTCAGAGGGAACTGTCCCTTGATGACCTGTCGAAGCAGTTCCTGAGTTTTCTTAACGAAGCTCATCGATTGAAAGAGGTTTACGCCTCCCAGATCACCTTATTGGTTGGACTCGAGACAGAGTACATTACCGATGATGACCTCAGTCATCTTCAAAAGCTCCTGAAGGATAACGAGAGGCGCATCGATTATATCGTTGGATCCGTCCATCATGTCAGCACTATTCCCATCGACTTTGATCGTGTCACATATGAAAAGGCTTTGGCCAACTTTGCGAATGAAGAGGGCGTTTATATTCTCGGGAACGATCAAATGGAACGCTTTCTATCTGCATACTTCGATGCACAGCATCAATTGATACAGCAGTTTCAGCCAGAGATCATTGGCCATCTCGATTTGTGCAGGCTCTACACCCCTTCCCTCGATCTCAAGCAGTACCCCATCGCCTGGGGCAAGCTAATCAGGAACATCGAGGAAGCTACGCGGTACGGTGCACTTTTTGAAATTAATGCTGCCGCGTTCAAGAAGGACGGATGGACTTCGCCGTACCCTGGGAAAGATGTAGTAGGGGTCAGTAACAAACGTCATGTTGTATCAATCGTTACTTTCTTACTGTGCCTAGCTTATTCAGGAGAAAACTGGTCGGTTTGCTTTGTCTGATGACAGTCATGGACCGCGGACTGTCGGACAGTATTATTTGGATGTGGCGGACTATCTGGTTCATGTAGGAATTACTGAACTTTGGTATTTGGACTGTTCATCAGAGCCAAATCACAATGGGAGGTACATATCTCCCAGGCGAATTGAAGGTGATTGGCGGCTCCATACTTTCTGGAAACATAGGGAAGGTGAAAGGCGCAGAATCGTCTCTTAATAAATACGAGATGTTTTTGGCGATGGAAGTACATTTTGCGGCGGCTTGAAGTACTTCGATATTATCTTTGATGTCTTCTGCCCCAAGATGCACCCCAGCCAAAGCTAGCGACTTTTCATTTTCTGGTTGACCATGCCTTCTACGTTTCCATCTGGCATTAAATCATCATCCGTAACGCGCATTCCAGACTGCAGGTCGCTTGACAGAACATGCCTCACAATGCTTTTGAATCCTATTACGGAGTGCGGTGTTTTGCTGTGAGGAAGTGATCGGGAGTCCTCTTGTCCTCCGGTGCCAATTAATTTGGTTGTACGTTGCTTCAAATCAGGTGCAAATCAGGCGCGGTGAGCTCGCATACGTAAAATGTTTGCATCATGGACAAACACTTAACACGATTTAGGATCGCACGACCACCAGAATTTCCACGGTACCATATTTGACAGCTGGAGAGCTCATCGCAGAAGCATTCAAACTTATGCCGGTTACCTTTCACTGCTACTAACTTAACGCCCAAGTACTCTGAATCAAGATCTCGTTTTTTCCCTTGAACCCGCGATCCTCATTGCGTGTGTCATCAGTTCAATCTCAGATGTGGGTCAGCCATGCTGCTCAAGATAAGATTCTTCGCATCATGTGCTTGCCTTTGACGTGCTTCTCCATGCAAGGTGCTCGGCGTGTCGAAGTTTAATGCCCCAACTTCGCAATCCCTACCCCGCATTGGCTTTGACATCACTTAACCCCGCAGTTGTCACTCTAGCGTCTCGGGAGAATAATTTTTTCCTGGTGGTCTCTTATTGCATGTGCATGATGGGGGACATGCAGTGGCAGTATTTAAAGGGTCGTGAACAGAGTGTCTTCAGCTTAACGATCCCACCCTTCCGCTAGAAATCTCATGTGAGGGAGATTCAGACGCTTTCTCCTCGCACGACTGACTTGTGTTACAGTAAACATGTGTCACCGTCAGGTTCAGTGCGCCAGACACGGTTGCGGCCACGAAGAGCCCATCGGGGACGCGAAGGTTAGCCTCAGTGCAGCGATACTGCATTTGCACTTTGAAGTTACTGACAAACCTGAAAGGTGGATTGTCAATCCCCTCAATGTCGATACAGCACTGCACATCCACGAGGCTGTCCAATTTGCTCTAGCACGTGTGTTCAATGGTTTGTTGCACCACAATATGTAAAGAACTAACGACTGACTGTAATTGTCTCATACCAGTATGGGTAGAGCCCAAACTATTGTCATCCGAAATGGAAATCCGATGTGTTCCCATTGTGCTAGACAGAACGCATAAAAGATCGGACCTGCTGTGCTGTCACAGCTACCAAATGGGCCTTCACCCCGCCATGCATGCCGATCACAGTTTTCTGCCCAATCACTTTGTACTCGCAGTCCGATCTTGGATTGATGTTCGTAACTACCATTATTGTTGATTGAGTTATAAGCATTAGGCCCATCCACTTAGGTCAAGGGCATTGCTCGTACTTGTACTTACTTATACTTAGTGTTAGCCAGCTGTGTGGTCATCAATACTCGAATTGAGATGTCTTCTTTCACTTCCCGAATTATCTGCCCACGAGGATACCGAGTCGTAGAGCAGTGTAGAATACCAGCTTCGCGAGAACCTGAATCGGCATGCAATCTGACAGAGTTACGCCTTCTGCTATTGATTGAACATTGTCACCCCTTAAGGCGTTTGCAAAGGGGTCGTGCATAGAGTCCCCTAGAAAGGCTTTATACGTATAGAAGGATAATAGAAGGAAGCCAGTCATTCATTTGTGCACGAAGGGCTCGAGTACTGAAGTGCTAGCTTCGAATCATAGCATTCATGAAAGGATGCCAGGCGGTGTTATGACTTATGTAGCTTCTCTGGTTTTTGGACTTTCCATAAGTATATCTTGGGTATATGGCCCGGTTCCAATAAGCAACTTTAATCACTATAAGGTTAATCCAAACCATGAACCTAGTAGCCGCATTTTCTGGTCCATCTCAAGCAGCATATCTTCGCACCCTTCCTGCCATTAGAGAACGATGCTCAAATGTACATGCCATGGCGCAACAAGGAAAGCTGGAGTATTTTGATTATAGCCCAGATCGTGAATCGTCTGTTGTGAATTACTGCCTCGAAATCATGAAGGTTCCACGAGTCGACTCTCAGGCGTTACTCATGGCTGACACATATTTTAGAGAGACTTTCCTGCAGCTGATGGCGGTATTGACTTTGCGTCTGTGAGGATTTCTATTTCTATTCGGACAGCCAGTGTTAGAATCACATCCATAGATTCCACCACATGGAAGATGGAGGCATCTAGATGCAGGAAAATCGCGTATAGCGCCTTTGATGGCGAAATGGGATGAAGAACAAGGGCCGCCAGTCAGCGAGAAAGAGAAATGCAAGAGGTTGATCGATTTGTTCCTTGTTTCTGTCCTACTGGATGCTGGAGCTGGCAACCAATGGGTGTACAACGAATCAGACGGGGAAAGCTACAGTCGGTCAGAAGGGCTTGCAGTTGCAACTGTACATATGTTTGACCAAGGTCTTTTTTCGGGATCTCCTGTAGCTCAGCCTCATCGCGTCGATGGTAAGGGGAACATCCTCTGTGTTTAGTGTTCTCATCTGATTTTCCTACCTAAAGCGCAGGGATTGTCTCAGATTAATGAATCGAGAATCGCCTCTGCTATGCAAGTCAGTGATACCAATCCGATGGTTGGTTTGTCAGGCCGAACTTCCCTCTTGGTCAATCTCAAAACCGCGTTGGAGTCTAATCCCCGCTTCTTCGGTTCTGACGCTAGACCCGGAAATATCATTGGTATTGATCATTGTCCACTGTTTGATTAGGTGGTTGATCACTTCTGATGTTTACAGACTTCCTGGAATCCGAATCGAAGCTTGATGGTTCGTCCCGGCGTGTCCACATCTCATCACTGTGGGGAGTTTTGCTCGAGGGCTTAGCTCCGATTTGGCCTGCAAGGTATTCCATCGGCGGAGTGCAGCTCGGAGATGTGTGGCCGTGTTCTGCGCTCGCTACGGATGGGCAAGCCGAGGGAGACAACTTCGTACCGTTCCACAAACTAACGGGATGGATCACATATAGCCTGATTGAACCCATGGAGAAGATTCTCAAGTGGAGATTTGACGGTATCGAGGACATGACTGGTCTTCCAGAGTATAGAAATGGTGCATATGATGTACCTTAGTATGACACTGCTATTGACGTTTGATCTAGGAGGTTTGCTGGTCGACTTTGGTGTTCTTACTCTCAAACCCGGTCTTAAAGCGCTCGCAAACACTGGCGGTGTTCCATGTCTTCCACCATCACATGGTGCTGTAGTTGAATGGCGGGCAATGACGGTGATTGAACTGTGAGTCATCAGTGAAACTGTCTCAAGATTATACTGAAGTTCTTGGGCAGCGATCGCATCGCCGACGGCATCCGTCGTCAAGTTGGTGTGAACTCCTACGATCTGACCCTTGCCCAAGTACTAGAAAGCGCAACGTGGAAAGGAGGGAGAGAAATTGCCAAGCGACTCCGCCCTTTAACCGGAGGACCGCCCATCGAGATAGAAAGTGACGGAACTGTTTTTTGAGGTTGTAACATTCTTCCGGAAAGTATCAAAGCATGTATGTATAACTGTAGTTCAACATTGGAAGTACCCTGGTGACCAGGAAAGTGATCAAAATTCATGTGCGTTTCAATTCCCTAGCTAGGCGCCAACACAAGACGAAAGCTACGGCCGCGGCCACGCCTCCCAACCTGATTTAGTTTTTTGATCAGCTGCTTCACTAGCATGTATGACGCCATTGGACACCCACCGAAAGATTATTGCAATTGAATTGGGACCTGTATTTACAGAGGGATCTTCGTCTCGATCTAAAATTTGTCGCATGACATCTCCTGACGTAGTGATCGTACCGTCGACAGGTATGGGATTGCCCGGATGATGACTGCGTAAGACAGATTTCTGAGGATCAAATATTGCGAAGATGATTGATGACAGGCCAGTGACGAGAAATTGGGGTACTACGATAAATATATTATGAATGCCCTGGTGACGTTGATTAGATCTGACAGGGACAAGAATCTGAAGCACTGACGAGAATAGCACCGGCCTGCGAGCTCAAGCCGTTGGGATTCTTTTTCAGCCTATGAGGAGGCGGTGCATCATGAGACATTTGAGCCGATGAGACATTTATATCGGTCTGGCTGACTCGTGCTTCGTGATTTATCATGATCCTCGGATAGCCGTCAGCCTGTTCTTGTTCCAGTGACGTAGATCTCGAGTATGTCGGGTCTTCCAGGTCGGAGCCGACGAGATGCTGAGTTTCATCAGCATCTTGCCCATCATCATCTGTCCTAGATCTTAGATTTGAGCGCGTGTCCTCTAGATATATCGAAGTCATCTCTTCATCAGTTGCAGGATGGGACAATATTGCCTCCGCGAGCTGAGAATGTATGGAATCAGGGAATAGTAGGGCAACATTCAGGGTTTGAATGATGACGTACCAGCGTAAATGGGGCCCACTGTACTATGGCCCAACAAAATCCAGTCACTGACATGATGAAAGTAGCACCGCCAACGCTTGATACAACGCTTCACAGGTCAAATTGTCATCAAAATCATCGCTTGCTTTGACGTGTAGAGACTTACAATGTGGCAGCCATGCATAATGCGAATACGAAGAGAGAGAATGCCCAGAGTGTAGCCAGGTGAACCTGAACACGTTCCAACCATGGCTTCCTCGGTTGAAGAGGAGTCAACATAGCGACTTCTTTAGCACGGACGATGAAGAAAGGCATAATGATGTTTGCCGCGAGAGACACCAGCGCGCTGTAGAATAGTGCGCGCGCGCCAAGACGTGTAGCCTCCTCGTCTAATAGGACCGCTGAGAGATCGTCTTCTGGGGCAGGGGAAACCTGTTTGTGCAGTTCGCCGATATACACAGTGGTATAGAATAAAACAGGGAACCAGGCTAGCGATGAACTACCAGATCATGGCTGTCAGATAAATGAAGCGTTATTCGAGACAAACGCACAAAAATTGAATATAACACTGTAAAGTAGGTCAATAGACATGGACCAATAAAAACATATGCTGCATACGATCTGTCTTATCACTCGGGGTAATCTTGTTAGGGTATTCCATATATTGTATATTTCATTCTTTAGGCCCTTGGCGCGGGAGCTATGGCCGAGTGAGACAAACACTAAGTAAATAGAGATGACGCACTCGGTTGCAACAAGTATCCTCTCTTTGACGCAAACGGAGGTCAACAAATGTGTGAATATGAGTAACAGAGACGCGATGACTACTAAATCTTGTAGTTGAGCTCGGCCAAGGAAAGGTAACCATTGAGGAAGGTCTATTTCTCCCCTACAAGATATGAGTGTTCATAGCCATTAATCTGCCTAATTTAAGCTCACACAAAGAATCCGACTACACTGCCAATGGCCAGCATTCGAGCGGCCCATGCATTACCACTGGGCTGATCTGATGGGGGTAGGGTGTCAACCAAAAGAGCGCGATCCAGAGCCCCCACTGCGAATAGATTCTGAATTTCATCACATGCAATACTCGTGGTTTGTGAGGACAAACCTGCGTTGATGGAAAAATCTATGCAATAGATAGATAGGACAGCAAGCCATATGGCAAGTGAATCATGCTGACAAATTCAGTATGGTCTGTCAGTGGTGTTGAAGAATGCACGCACTGAGGGCGATCCTGGCGTTGTAAACAAACCAGCAAATGGACGGGCGTATCCGAACAGAAGGGTCGCAACACAACACAATGCTGCACTAACACCGATTAAAGGTCGCCGTCTACCAAAGCGTGACTTTGAATTATCTGCTAGCACGCCTGAAGTCATGTTGAGTGGACTGAAAAGTAGGAAGTACAGGAGAGGTACCTATCAAGGGCTGAACAATGAGGCCAGAGAGGGGCCCAGCAAGGAAGACGACTGCCATTAGTTGTTTTGACAGACCGAGGGACAACAGGTAGGGGGAAGCTTGCGACGCGCAGTAGCATTGAATAACCATCTAGTGAGGTGTAGGCTAACCATTTACCATATGACATCTCAACCGACCACAAGACCTGCACTCCCAAAAGCCCGACGGTAAGAGCGGGGAGACGTGTCAACGGGGGTCCCAAAATCCTGGCTCTTCCTATCCACCGGGATTCATCATTGAGGGAATCTTCAGCGAAGGATAAAGCAGAAAATCCGGTCATTCTTGCCGAGTGTGCCTAGCCAGTAAACTGTCTGCAGGATTTCGATTAGCTTGTAAATAGTACTTGGAAGTCCAACTATGGTTTTACTTATAAACGTGCGACGCGCCACCGCTGCCAGCTGGGATTGCCTTTTCGAGATCGAAGGCTTTAAATTGTTGCCATCACTAGTGGTCACCGCAGGACATCAATTTGCAGGAGTTAATCTATAGTGCTGAATGCTGACCCGCACAGTCCTTCGTTCAAGGACACCTAATCTAAATCGCCTTCTCCATTCATCCTCCCGTATCAGCAGGCAGTTGTTTGACCCATCTACTGTTGAACGTGTCTCGGAGGATGTGGACGTTTGCATCGTCGGAGCTGGCCCTGCTGGTCTTAGCACCGCGATTCGACTAAAGCAGTTGGAACAGAAACTAGGAAAAGAATTAAGGGTCGTTGTACTGGAAAAGGGTGCTGAAGTAGGTGCGTACTCCAAACACCGAATCTTTCCTGTGTAAATGCAACTCGCCCCAGGCTCCCATACACTCTCCGGAGCTGTCATCGAGCCTCGAGCCCTCGACGAGCTCTTGCCAGATTGGTCTCTCCGCGATGACCATCCACTCACGCAGTCAGCAACGTCCTCTCACATGCGGTTCCTCACAAAGTCGCTCTCGATACCTATACCCCATCCCCCTCAAATGTCAAACCAAGGAAATTACATCGTCTCGCTCTCTCGTTTCACTGCGTGGCTCGGGAACATTGCGGAAGAAATGGGTGTCGAAGTTTACCCTGGGTTCGCCGGCGCAGGCGTGGTTTACACAGATGATGGGAGCGTTGCTGGTGTCAGGACGAATGAAGTGGGTCTGGACAGGCTAGGGTGCATGAAGGAGTCCTTTGAGCCTGGAATGGAGTTTCGTGCAAGGGTTACCCTTATCGCGGAAGGCGCGCACGGCTCCATCGCCAAGGAACTCATTCAAAAATTTGATCTTCGCCGAAATTCCGATCCACAAACATATGGCATCGGCCTCAAAGAAGTTTGGCGCGTGGATCCAACCCAATATCGACCTGGTGAAGTTGTTCATACCATGGGCTGGCCCCTTGACTTCAGGACATACGGCGGTGGGTGGGTTTATCACATGGCTGATGGGCTCGTCAGCCTAGGCCTTGTAATCGGACTCGACTATGCCAACCCATATCTGAGTCCTTATAAAGAATTTCAGGTGTGTTCTTTTTAGTTGTTGCATACGTTCCTCTGACGTCCCATTCAAGCGCATGAAACACCATCCATATTTCGCAGAGCTCCTGTCTGGGAAATCCACAAGGATAGCATATGGTGGACGTTCGCTCAACGAAGGCGGCCTTCAATCTGTGCCCCAGCTTTACTTCCCCGGTGGTGCCCTGGTTGGTTGCTCGGCTGGTTTCGTCAACATCGCAAAAATTAAAGGCACCCATAATGCGATGAAGAGCGGTATGTTGGCTGCCGAAGCAGCTGCAGCTGCTCTATCTCAGGAGTCTAGCAGTGGACCTGCAGATATGTCACAGTATGAAACTGCACTGAAGGATAGTTGGGTTTGGTCAGACCTTAACGAGGTTCGTAACTTGCGTGAAAGTTTTCACACTCCCTTGGGTATCTGGGGAGGTATCATGTACTCTGGCGTCGATTCTCTCCTTCTCAAGGGACGCACTCCCTGGACTTTCCGCAATCGAGCAAGATTGACGGATGCACAGCATACTCAACCCGCGTATCGATTCCGCCCTATCGACTACCCTCCCCCGCAGCCCCCGTTATCGACAGATTTGCTGACTTCGTTGACTTTAACCGGCACGAACCATGCAGAAGACCAGCCTGTGCATCTCCGTGTGCGCAAGGGCGGCAATGAGAATACGGCCCTTCGAAAGTTGCACGTGCAGCGCAACTTGAGCGAGTATGCTGGGTTATTGCAACGGGCTTGCCCTGCTGGCGTTTATGAATATGTTGAAGATGAGACTGCGGCAGATGGGTGGAATGGACATAAACTAGTGATCAACTCACAGGTGCATCTCACTCTTGAACCATGTACTACGTCTGACATCGATCGTTGCAGAACTGTATCCACTGCAAGTTATGTGATATTAAGGTCCCTACACAGGATATCACATGGACTGTTCCCGAGGGGGGTGGAGGTCCAAAATACAGTGAGTGTCTTTTGCTGACTATTTTCATTGTGATGGCTTATCTTATTCTCATCATTAAGCTATTACCTGACTGTAAATAGTGCAGAGTAGCTCTACTTTGTGATAGTACCGATGTAGTTAGCATCTGCCAGCATCGACAAATCACAAACACGTTTTTAGTAACTAGGGTTCGGCGTTGCCGAATTTGACCTTGCTTGCCTGCATGGTCTTGTGTTTTCCAGCTCTATTCAAGTTGTCGTCACCTACTGCAGCTATGATCTCCTTCATTGTTAATTTATCCAGAGCAGAATTGAGCTTGCCACTCATACATGGACATGTGGACCAGGCCGGTAAGTGCATCGGCTGTTTGCGCTCCTGCATCGTGATGCTCAGTGCGCTACCAGAACTTGCTATACTTGGGCGTGTAGTCTTTGTTGCCCGTCAGTCGCGCCATTATGCTGGAGCTCGATATTTTACCCGCGGTGTTAATGAAGAGGTACGGAACTAGTGTATCAAATGATCCTTTTCCTCATGCATCTACCTGCAAACGAGGTTACCGAGCAAATTAGCCATGAGGCATAGGCGATCGTGCTAGTGATTATTTATTGCATATTGTTTATCATTGACCGTAGACTGTAGTGCGACTCTTCTCTTTTTTAGTGACTTATGTCTGATTCGTGCGCTTTTCAGTCCCCCGGTTTAGAAGTCCTCCAAAGGATGACAGATAAAATAAATCATCGTCGGATATCTATTTATCGTTGAAAGAATCCCTGTTCGGACGGCTGTGGTGCAAAATCACGTGCATGTTTTGTGTTGTTTAGTGCGATATATCATATACTATCACGCTCCATCGAGATAAATAGGTGATTACTTCAGCCGTTTTTGAAAGCACGATAATCTGAGACTTATTGGCTGAGGATCCCCAGTTGCATACTTCGTTGCGTTTCTCGAAAGTTTCCACCACTGCCCACACTTTCCATGCGGTATTATGAACAGAGATATCCAGAAGTCGACGAGCTCGTCATGGTCCAAGTCCGCCAGATTGCGGAAATGGGTGCATATGTCAAACTGGTTTGCACCATTCACTCGTACCCTATTAATTGTCATGCTGATCTATCCATGTAAAACAAGCTCGAATACGACAACATCGAGGGAATGATTCTCCTTTCAGAGCTTTCTCGAAGACGTATCCGATCCATACAGAAGCTCATTCGTGTTGGCCGTAACGAAGTCGTAGTGGTACTTCGTGTGGATAGGGAAAAAGGTATGTCCATCTTCCAGCATAATTATCTTCTATAATCCCTGCGCACAGGTTACATCGATCTATCAAAACGTCGTGTCTCTCCCGAGGATATCATCAAGTGCGAGGAACGGTATATGAAATCAAAAGCCGTTGCATCGATCATGCGGCATGTCGCCTCGAAGCTGCCATCGATGGATGCAGACGCTGCTATCTCCCCAGAGGACGAGGCGGTGGAGAAGGAGACGAAGAAATCTAGGCGCGCGGCGAAGAAGGACAATCCTGAGGAGGCTGCGGCTGCCATGGCTGCTGAAGAGGCCGCTGTGCCGCACGACGGGTCAAACGAAGAAGAAAGATTGGAAAAATTGTATGAACAGGTGGCGTGGCCACTTGGTCATAAATATGGTCACACATACGATGCGTTTAAGCTTGCATTGACGTACGTCCCGGTGTCCTTTTGTACTTACTGCGGTGACTGATGAGACCAGCGAGCAAGAAACTGTATTTTCCTCCATTCCAAACCCTGTCTCACCAGCAGCCATCTCCATCCTTATGGGCACCATCGCACGGCGGTTGACGCCCCAGCCTATCAAGCTCCGCGCTGATATCGAGCTCACATGCTATACCCCTGCCGGTATCGATGCCATCAAAAAGGCTCTGCGGGCAGGTGAAGCACAAAGCAACGAGACGGTGCCGATTAAAGCCAAGCTTGTAGCCCCTCCACTATACGTTCTCAGCACAAACGCAACAGATAAGGTTTGCCTCTATCATTCTCGATCACGAAGCTGTCTGAGGGAATTTGTAGTACGCTGCTGTTGATCGGTTGGAACGCGCGATCGAGTCGATTCTGGGCACCATCGAGAGTCAAGGTGGAAACCTAGTTGTAAAGATGAAGGTAAAGTGCAATTATCTACTACACTTCATCCATATCCTGACTCCGTTTACTATTTTTCTCTCAGCCAAAAGCTGTTTCTGAGACAGAAGAGCAGGATCTCGCACAGCTCATGGCCAAAGCAGGTCAAGAGAATGCAGAAGTTTCTGGTGATGAAGATGACGAGGAGGGGTCCTAGTTCATTCTCAGCCTAAACGCCTCGTATACATTTCTCGATGATCACGACTTAAGTACTTCAAATTCCTTAACATCCTTTTTCGCCACTTGACACGAAAATCTTAAAAATGTTGCCGCTTATTACTGCTTATTCACTTGTCATTTTTTTTCACAAGCACTCACAAGTGCCCTGTCACAAGCGCCGAAAAGTAAATAAGCAGGGAAAACGATGCAAATCAAAGTGCGTTGTATATTACAAGTGAATAAATTTTTACAACTATGAATAACGTGTAAGGCCGCTTGCAGCAGCACTCCTCGAACGTTCATGAATGAGATCCACAGAAACCCGTACCGGTATAGCCTGTCGCAAATCAGCCATATGAAGATGATTTTAATGAATACAACAACCCTCCGGGCACAACTTTGCATCATACTCCCAGGTCTCTCGATCCGCTTCTTCGTAGACGGTCGGAAGCGAACAATTCGCACACCGTGCTGAGGTAACTATGCAATCATCCACGTCTTTTCAGAACAAGTTACCCCGGTACACACTTACCGTTTCGATGGCCTTGCTGGCACTGAATGTGTTAGGCAGTGTTGGGTTCTATCACGAAAAAACTCCAGAACTATCTTTCCTTCCTGTTTATATGTGGGACTGGTTGCATATGCGGGCGACCTTGTTCGTAGGCCTCAACTATAAGTATGCCATTTGTAAAATCCATCTTTCGCCGCTTGAAGGGCAAGAACGCAGAGCAACGAGGTCTGTCTTTCTATCTTTTGTTTTGCATTATTTCAGTCCTTCAACTCGTTTTCCTTCTGCAGCTACTTCACAATCTTCCAATGATCAGCCATCGGTCCAAGCCTCCGAGTCTAAGTCCAAGCTCAAGGAGGGCGGTTTCTGGAAGAAATTTGATTGGTGGTTGATGTGCGCTTTGGCCATCCCAGTGATACTTGAAACTTTAGACTATACGGGCAAGTCATTTTCGTTTTTTCTGCCTCTCGTCTCACCCTATTGGAACATCCAGTTGTCGCCACTGCGCAACCTCGGATTGCAGTGAGTCTCACAGTGTTGCCTCCAATCTGACAGTCCTTGACATTACTTTCAGTCTGTATTCAACGCCTTCAACCTGCAAAGGTACTTATACATTTTAAATCACGACATGGAAGTTCTACTGAGTTCTGCTATCAGCTATATTGGCACGTCATACTTGTTAGCATCAACAGTTTTCTTGCCCTTCTTTGCATCCATTGCCGATATCTATGGTCGTCACTTCGGACTGCAATTGTCTCTTCTATTCTTCCTTGTCGGTAGTACCTTCAGTACAGGAGCTGTCAACATGACAATGCTTTTGGTTGGCAGAGGAATAGCCGGCATTGGAGCCGCTGGTTTGTTGACAGTATGCATTACTTCTTATGAAGAACAACATTCTGATTGTTAGTAAGGCTGTGCGGATAATAATGTTGGATTCGTCCTCACTGGATACGAATAATATCCAGCAATCCGCTGCGTTCTGCTTGTATGCTCTCGGTTTTTGTATAGGCCCCGTCATCGGTGGTTTCCTAGTCACGGCCAGCTTTCGCTGGGTGTTTGCAATCAAGTATGGGTTTCTCAGTACACTCAACGAACGATGTTAACGGAAATATAGCATTCCGTGTGTTGCTCTTGCCATGGTTCTGTGTTTCTTTTTGCTTCGCAAACGTGTCGAAGGTGCCAAATCATTCGAGGAACTTCCAGGTTCCACTAAATGTATGACATGGATAATGAAGTTTGCCCTTATCGACTGGATCGGAACGTTCCTCTTCGTTATAGGAGGCATACTCATTCTGCTTGCGCTGAACTGGGGTCCCGATGACGACTGGAAGAGTGTTCGCGTCATAGTCTGCCTGGTTGTTGGTGTCATTGTCTTTGTGACCTGCATTCTTTGGGGGGTCGTCTTGGAGCGGAAGCACCAAGCTTCTACCGTAACAATTTCGGCACTTTATCATGCGCAGCCCATGCTACCTCTCAAACTCTTTCGGTCCTACGACATCTGTGTCTTGTATTACGGTTGCTCCGCGTCCGGCATCGTCATTTTTGTGATGTTCTACTTCGTCGCAATATTTATGACTGTCGTCTCTGGCTTGCCACCTGATCAAGCCGGTATACAACTCCTTTATTTTGCTCCTGGCCTAGTATGTTTTCGCACTACATCAAATCACCGATGTCTCACGGTTATAATAGGGAGGAGGTTCATTTTTTTCCATTTGGTTGGTCAAGCACTTCAGACAGGTAGACAGCTACAGTCTCTCCTTGTAAATACACATATCTAACGATCCCTCCAGCCGATATATTCAATCGTTGCTGGATTAATTGTCATGACCATTGGTTTGGGTCTCATTCAGATGGGCATGCAGAAGAATGTGCAAGGGCTTATCAATGGGTGCGACGTTTATGTACTGATCAGAAGCGGATCTCTTACATCCGAACTTAGTTTCATGTGCCTGACAGGTTTTGGAGTTGGTCTTACAGCTGGCCCTAATTCCATCCAAGCTCGCTTTTTGATGTCAGACCATGTCGCCGCAACTAGCGCTTTGTTACTTTTCGTGAGTTATGTCGACATGCCGTATGGTGTACATACTCAAATGATGTCTCGTAGTTCCGTGCCCTCGGTGGAACCGTCGGTCTAGCACAGTGTTTCACTGTCATGAACGCTAAAGTCAATCCCTACATCGCAGGGCAGATACGAAGTGGTACTATCTCAGGCTCTGACCTCAATGCCCTTGAAGCGCTCTACAACAGTGGTGGCCTTGACTCTATCCAGTCGCTCGAAGGTCTGCCGCCTGTTGTGCAGCAAATCATCCGTGATGCTTTCAGGAATGGTGTCCGCTGGAGCTTCATCTCGCTCATTCCTTGGACTGCCTTGGCAGTCATCCTGTCCTTGTTCCTTTCCAAGATCCCTGATCCTGATGCTCAGAGGACCGATCATGACGAAGAAATCAAGCTACCAGAATATGTCGAGACGCGAATGCCTTTCGAGGAGCTAGAGGGTGTCGAATATCTTGGCATGCCCGATCAGCAACAGAACCGTTGAAACTTTGGTTGACACTTTTATAACTGTGCGAAGATGATGGGCCTAGTAGATGTTGTCAGACAATTCATGTTATTCCTCTTGCGATCTCGGCATGCAGCCCGATCCATTCCTCCGATCCTATGCTCATCATACAGGTTATGACATTGTATATCTACAGTGACCTTCCATCTAATCTACCTCCTGGTTGCATGCTGACGAATTTCTGCCACTTATGATGAGATGCCAAATTGCCGCTATTCAAGCTGCCTGCGACCTTTGCACCAAGCCCTGAAGAATGTTCACCACGTCACCAAACTGACTCTCCTCCTCAGCGCTTGCTGTATCCTCGGAAATTGGTGGACGCGCCCCCCTTTCAGGTAGGTAGTTTGACCACACCAATTCTCCACCGCGTATGAACGATATGCCATAAGATGTCTTATAGTAGTTGAGTGGCGGGGCGCCTTGCTTGACTGCAGGATCTTGCCTAACCGGGTTCCAGATCTTCTGGAGTGTGTTGATGGCCCGGTCGATCTCTTCAGCACCGTCAGAGATGATCAGGGGTGCAGCGGCAGCGGACAGCAGTGGTTCATATTGTTGACGTGTTTGAGAAGATACAGAAAGATTCTGTATGTTTGATACCGATCTGGAAAATGTGTGTTCAAAATTGGCGACTTCGAGTCCAGCGAAGCCGCTGCTGATCCCTGGATACAGTCAATACAGTGTCGTTCGATCCAGCACAACATACACTCACCCTGACGGAAAATGATTCGATCTTCGGTTGCCATTGCGTACTACTTTGATTTCAAGTAGGAGAGGTGATGATGGTCTGATGATAAGGTCCGCTGCCTTCTTGGCTATGAAACCTACGTTTGGTATTAGGATTGCAATTAGGGTGCTTTGCAGGCCCTGACTAGTTGACTAATAAACGGAATGCTGCGCCACTAGTACTGCTGCGACTGCTACGGCAACTGCCGCGACCATTGCTGCGGTCCGGGTGCGCATCAAATACACTCACTACTAGTCACTTGAACCTCCCACAACTTGTCCTCCAAACAAATCATGGGGTTGAACGTCCTCTGATTCCTTTTATGTACCGCACTCCAAGATTCACAGAAGTACTTCAGTAGTATTTTGCTCGTGCGTCAAGACTCAATTTGCTGCTTAGTGGAACGTCGCGACAGATACCGCAGCAGTCGCAGTACACAGCATTTTCCTTGTGCCCCTAATAAAGAGCCCATTATGTAACCAATTGCAACATTTAAGATTTGCGACGTCATTGGTTTATGTGGAATAAATATCGAATTGCTAAGTAGGTCTTGCTTTACTCAACCTTCACCTTACCAAAACCAATGAATTCCAGCTCAGGACCTCATATGGACTCTGTTACATACCCACCCGCAGTTCGTGCTGTCGAAAGGGAAATCGTCTCCTCTCAACCTTCCTCATCGTCCATGTTGTTACATTCTTCCCCCCAGGACAGACCCCCACAACAAGATGAGCAAACGCACTCTCCGTTACGCTTGAGAGGTGGTTGCATTCCTTGTCCCGTAAGTTGTCTCTTGAAGTTGCAATAAAGATGAGCTGAAGTTCGAATGCCAGGGCGGAATATGTTGCATCATTCCATGTCCATGTTGTTGTTGAGACCCATCAATTACCTTGACATGAAGTCTGGCTGGGTATCTGTGGTCGCATCAGAGTAACCCCAGCACTAAGTAGCACATCTCGCATGCTCCTCAGTCATATATACTAGTATCTTCTTCTTCCAAGAAATACTGCATATCGGTTATTGCTCTATTTCAGATGTCGTCAAAGGTAGCATGTCAAACTCCGTTTCCAGGCGTAATAATAGTGCCACGCATCGACTTTTTTCAACTGTTGCAGGAGTCTCATCTACAACCCCCTATCCGATGGCAAAAGCCACTGCGTACTTTGTCACATCGACTCTGGCTCCACAACTTATCATCTTTCTCCAAGGACAGCAGTCGCACCTAGCTCTCTATGTGGGCTGGCCCTTATTAAGTACTATGTTAGGGAGGACGAGGATACTTAAGTGGAATGTCCATGTCATCAACTAGTTCGCCACGTGCACCCGGCCCGAAGTAAGAGGCCTGCGGAGTATGTTACGTTGTCATAACAATCACGATATCCCACTATATATACGACGTACGTAGTACCGCAGTAATACTTAGCCTGAAATTTGAATCGCATTCGATGCGTATGATCGTCTCGTGTTATTTTACCCGCAGCGTCACACGAAAGCACAGTAATCTTGGGCAGGTATTGCCAATCGAAAACAACACTGAGGGTACTTAACTTTCTTTTTGACTATCTTGGACTTTATCGAAGTTAGTACAATTCGATGTGTGTGTAGTAAAGACGTGGCGGGGGGCAGTATCGAATGCTCTAGACAGTGAGAGCTGTTGACCTTAGGCTTAAGCTCGACCCTTGGCTCATGATGACTATTTTCCATGAGGCTGCAAGTAGTAAAGCTTAAAGCTTAAAGCTAAGGTCGGAGACTAAACTGGGATACGGATCAGATATTGGTTTAAATGCGAGACGCGTAGAGCCATGGACCGCACAAAGTTAGGCAGACCATAGGTGAAGCTACTGTAGAGAGCGACACGTTGACGCGGCTGGAATGCGGAATTGAAATTTACAAAATTGAAAATCACAATACGGTGCCTGGTTGTTGAAGTGCTGTCATATGCACCACTGGCAATGATCATAGTATCTCGATGGTCAATTCTGTTCAAGTTATGTGGGGCCCTGGGGCCATTGGTGAGTCTTCCGATAGTCCATTCTATGTACCTCGATTTGACTTTAGAACCAAGGATTCATGATAGCCACAGCGTATGGATTTGGGGTTCGACAGTCTCTACCCAAAGTTGACATGCAGATTTATGAAGGTTTTATGGGGCAGCTTTTGGGCAGTATATCTTCTACCTCAGATCGTTTCCGCAAGATTCGAAAAGACTCAAATTATTTGTGAGTGAGAGACTTCTCCACATCCATGAAAGCCTCGACTTAATAACGTATTTGATCGCTAGGTATTCATGGTCTTGTATGTGCTTCTGTCATCTGACCATGCTCAAGTGTACACTGATAACTGACGATGATGTCTCGCAGTTGTCTCGGGACAATACACGAATATGCCTTGATAGGGATGTATTGGTCTATCCTTATTTCGTGCCGTCGTAGCACGTCTCATGAGTGCACGACTGAACTCCCATGGTAAGTCGATAGACCTCTTATTGGCTCCAAAATCGTCTCATCGAGAGGATAGGCAGATGGTGGTAAGTGAATTTACATTGATGTAATACTACCTATTAAAAATGGATGCCGCAGCTAGGGGTATTTATGGCAGTGAGTCTTCTATATATTACTATTATCAATTTTCAACAACATCAAAAGTGTTGGATTATATTCGCAGTCCAGTGGTATGTGCTTGCCATGGTTGATTTCCTGCAGCATTATACAGAAATTCATTTGATTGTCGAAAGCTTTTATGCACACAGGGTGTGGATAAGTGAGTCATCCGGGGTCTGCAGGACCAAGAGTTTTAATGCTTTTATTCAGTCACGGAACACAACCGCTTAATTACAGGCACAATTGTGAGACCGCATTTGCATTATTTATTTCTCAGCGTAACACCAATCTTCAGTGCGCATTCGCCGCTACTGCACTAGGTCAGTTCTTTTGATCTCAGATACTCAACAGCTGACTCTTCAGCACTGTAGTTTTTGGCACGAGTGTGTCTGTCTTTCATCCCTGATGTCAATGCCCTGACTTGCTGCTGTCTTCGTCTCTAGTAACAGGCAGTGTGATGTGAGTTCTTATCCTGGAGTTCGCATAATTACTCATATAATTTTCAAAGATTCGATACGAGAAACCCTGTAGATCTATTCGGCAAAAAGGTTGGTCATGAAATAGTTTTGAGCAGCCTTGAGGCACTCATACTTTGATTCAGTGGTGTCAGATTTCTGCAGTTGCTGGCGCCTTGTGTGATATTCTCATTACCGGGACAGTCTGGTGGTTTTTGCGTCCTGCACGAACAGACAATGTGCGGTACGAGTCTTTTCCCTACCCTTGTGGTCTAAGTCATGTTGAATTCTGTGGTTGAAGGTCAAAGCCGGATTATGTCAATAAACTAACACAAATATTTGTTCACATGGGTTTACTTACTTGGTATGTGTAATGTTACAAACGTGCCGAACACTCCCGTCACGAGGTTCTCCAGCATTATGGCAATCGCGATGGCTGTGCTCGTGAGTCCTGTCGTTCATGCAACATGTGGGACATAACGACAAGCACTGTTTCAGTACCAGGTTCAGGATGGTGGTCTTGGCCAGTTCTATTCCGCTTTGCCTGGATCACTACTAGCAAAAAGTTAGTATGTTGCATGCTCACTGTGCAAGCACTGAAACCAATCGCCTTAGCCTATTTGAACTCGATGATGGGAGTGTAAGTGGATAAAAGACTCCTTTTACGCGAAGCTCACTAAATTGGTGGATTTGTGCTCAGGCTCAACGCTAGGAAGTCAATACGCGAACAACAACGACATGAAGCTGGCTGCAGTTCAATGGAACTTCCTACCATACCGACCATACGTTGATCTTTCCCTTGTGGTAGTAGAGATATCATTATTGTTACAAGTTGCTTACAAGCTTTCACCTGCAGCCGTAAGCTGCCGCATCGCCTACATGGGCCGAAATGACAAACGACACATCCACGCACTCACCATCATTCCTCATTGACACCGCCGGTTGGTTGTTATTCTTATTTACCTCCTGACCGTTTGCTTTTATTACTATAGTTCTCATATTCTATCTCTTTTACTACTTTATCTAGCTTGAGAGATGGGATGACTATCATGGCACTTGGCACCTGAAGCTGTCGGGCATAGATAGGGAAACATCACATTCATTTAGGTTCGGGAAGAGGAAACCGCTTTGCCTCCGAATGAGGGTTCGATGTGGATTCATATTGCAGCTGCAGCTGGAGTACATGGAATCCCGCACTTGCTTTTATAAACGCAATTTCTCCACGCAAACATTTATTCATATAAAAAATTGCTTTTCTGGGAAACTCATCTTAGGTGGATGTGGCACACGATCCTGAAGGCTTCCAGGACTTGCCTTCAGCTGAGAAACGTGTGAGGGTTGATAGCCTGGTTCCTGGGCAAAATTGTGATAGGAGAAAAGTAAAGGAATCAGAGTAGTTATAATCGCATGCATATACATGGTGTGGCATGATACGAGCCTATGTGTAAGCACCTAGAATATACAAATTACCGCCCAGCGCCAGGGACGTTGCGCTTCTCCCGCCGAGGACGCTCCGGTTGCTGGATAACAGTCTGTACGATGGTCACAGGGATGGAGTCGAAGTTGAGTGCCTTGAGAAGTTCCTAAGGAAAATTCAAATGTCAGCATGGAATTCTTGCCAGGAAAAGAATACAGTGATAGCTTGAGGGGAAGCCGAATTGAGACTTACTGCGGTGTCCTTGTCGATCTCCAAGCCTGTTGCACTCGTGTCAAGAGCAGATACCTCAGGTACGTAGTTATCTTTTCGTTCGCGCTCCTCCTCCTGGAGCTTGAACGAAATACCACGGACGGGCCCGCGCTGAATACGCTTCATCAGGTGGGTAGTGAAACCGGAAACCTTGTTCCGGAGGCGCTTGGAGGGAACCACAGCCTGTATGAAAGAGATGAGATAGCACCAGTAAGCTGGGTGGAAGGGTACTGACAACTTCATCGATGATGCGCTTGTTGGTGTGGAAGTCGAGGGTGAGGCGGGGGTAGCTGTGCGTCATACATTAGAATCAATCTGTTCCTGTGCAGTCATTCATCGTCTTTCTTTCGAGACCTCTGGTCCTCCATCCCCGAAACCCGGTCAACCCTTAGAGATTAGACTTACTATTTTTCGATGAGCACACGGGCAGCCCTCTTGGTGGTTTTGGTACGAACACGACCCTAATCGCGGCCTCAGAAATGATGCCCATCTGTCTGATACAAATACGCACCATTTTGTTAAATTTTTAGTGTCGAGGACGTTGACGATGTCGATGCCTTAGGGCTCAGATCATGCAGGCGAAGTTCTCGGTAATTTCCGCAGTGGCTGAAAGGTACTATACAGTCGCACAGCCACATATGCAGCTTGCAATCCAATTTGTTCGAGTCCATATTATCCGGTAAATCCTCAAGGCCAGCAAGGTGAGCCTGCGCTTATGTCTATGTGCGACATGACTGTGCTGTATTCTTGGCTTGACCGGTTCCATGCCATGGTTTCTCGCAGCTCGTCTTGACTCGCGCTTTCCGTAGCACGATACTCAGACGAGCAGGTACTCACATCGCATTCGATAGTGTTACCTTTTCATCCTGCCTCTACCCTCAATAATTCAAAATGGTCCGCGTCTCCGTTCTTGTGAGTGTTCTATTTGTTTTGGTATGATCAACCTGACCGTGATTTTGTATTAGAACGACTGCCTTGTAAGTCAATTGTGTCTATGAGGCGGCCGTGTTGATTTATTGAGCTACTAGAACAACATCGTCAATGCTGAGCGCCGGGGAAAGCGCCAGGTTCTTATCAGACCTTCCTCGAAGGTCATTGTGAAGTTCCTCTCTGTCATGCAACGTCATGGTGAGTCTGCCTTGTTTTACTGAAATTCCTCATTTATTGCTTTGTGCGATTCTCGGAGTTATAACTACGATTGACGGAATTTAACTTTCTACCCGGCCTTCGTTTTAATCCTCCGAAATATTGACTTGTCTCTCAATACCAAACAACGCTGATCTTCCATCTCTCACGGATCGGGGTTCACTGTAGAGTCTACATCATTTTCTCGTTATTAGTCACATGAGCATGGGTACTGACCTTGATTTCTTGCAGGCTATATTGGTGAATTCGAAATCATTGATGATCACCGCTCTGGCAAAATTGTGATCCAACTCAACGGCCGGCTCAACAAGACAGGTGTCATCTCACCACGTTTCAATGTTCAGGTGACCCAGATCGAGTCCTGGGTTAACTTGCTCCTCCCTGCCCGTGGTTTCGGGAAAATTATATTGGTGGGCTGTTCCGAATCTGAGATTGATAGAACGTGGACTGACTTCGTTCGTGATGACAGACTACTTCGTCAGGAATTCTTGATCACGAGGAGGCTCGTCGCAAGAACGTTGGTGGGAAGCTTCTGGGATATGTCTACTAGAGTTGTATGCTATGTCGCCCTAAAAACCATGCCATGCATGCTATGCATGTTTACTCAGCTCAGATGACTCCTTTTGTGTGATTCAAGTACTGTATTGAGCGTGAGCGAAGCACAACGTGGCCAAACAGAGCAACATTTCGGTTGTGGGCGCGGCATACTTGTTACATATTTACGCGCCCTCATTCTCGTCAACGAGATGACGCTTCCTGCAAACGACGCCTTCTCGTTAGGTCTTGCGCACGACCAGCCCCGTCGCTCGAGCTCGCGCGCTCGTACACCGTCACTCCCGCGTCGCTCATCTTCCCCAAAAATATCTTTTTCTCCACCTTCCACGTCAAGCAGCATCGTCTTCTCGCCACAGCCAGCAAATGGAATGCCTGCGAAGAGAGGACATAAGCGCAAGACATCTGCAAGAAACGGTTCCAAACAGCTCAAACACAACGGAGAAGCGACGATAGAGGAACTTATAGAGGAGGTCGACGCGCGAATAGCACGCGAGCGCAAGCTGTCCCCCAACAGCTTACCTGATAAACGCAACACTGTGAAAAAACAGATTGATTGGGAGATTCCTCGCAAGGCGTTACATTCATCCATTGGTATGTAAACTCTTGACTCCCCTAAAGGCTCCTGTATCTGTGGTCTGACGAGCGGTTTTTGGTAGGTTTTTTTACAATTTACCTATACACCTCCAAAGGCGACCCACAGACGGTCGTTATTGCTTTGAGCACTGCCCTTGCTGTTCTTGTTCCAATAGACATTCTCCGCCTAAAGTATCCCCTCTTCGAACGTGCCTTTGAGAAATGTGTTGGCATCTTCATGCGCGATAGCGAAAAGGTAAGCGCGACCAACACTAAGCATGGATTCTGACCCCACGTATCCTTAGAAATCATCTAATGGTGTTATATGGTATATTCTCGGCGCCAACACTGCGTTAATTACGTTGCCTCTTGACATCGCAATCGTCTCAATTCTTATGTTTGTGTATTTCCCCTGTTCTGCTATTCCTTGTTCATTGTACTCCAACAGCCTGTCTTGGGCTGATACAGCCGCCTCCACTTTCGGTCGTCTGTGGGGCCCGCTCACACCCCCGCTCCCTGCACGACTCTTTGGTCTCCCTCTTGCCCCTCGTAAAAGTCTGGCGGGCTTCATCGCAGCCTCACTCACAGGTGCTGCTGTCGCTGCCGGATTCTGGACGTACCTTGGACCGGTGAGAGACAACTCGACATGGTCCTGGGACGCTGGTGTATCGAGTACATTTAGCGGTGGGAGCGCAGAAGGTGGGAAGGTCTTCAGTAGGTGGGCGGGTCTTGCTGTTGTAACTGTGTGTGCGGGTTTAGTTTCGGGCATTGCCGAAGCACTCGGTGAGTGCTTTATTGTTTGCTTTGTTCTGGTTGCTCACTCTGGAATGTAGATTTGGGTTCCGTGGACGATAACCTCAGTCTACCAATCATCGCTGGTGGATGCCTATGGGGACTCTTCAAAGTCCTTGGCTGGCTAGGCGATATATTCTCATGATTCCCCTTTTCAACTCCTCCTTCACCTTCTGCGTCAATCATCGGATATTTGCAATTTCATGTGTTCAATCTTTCAATAGTGGATATTTTACCTGGCACATGTCGATAGTGATGACGAGAGTGTGAGACAAGACGATTATGATGATGATGATGATGATGGATGATATATTAACCAATTTCATGCGTTTGTCTGTGCTACTTTTAATGCGCTAGTTAGTAGAAGTAGATTACTATAGTCATTCATCCGTATACCGAATTCAAGTCAATTTTGTTGTGTCAGCGGCTACGCGAGCAGTCAGATTTTGCCCAGGGACCCACAGTAATATCAGTCACCAACATGCAGATGTCATTAGGAGCAGAACAAAGAGGTAAGTATGAATGTACCGTAACATCATGAAGCAATCCAGAGTGTTCTTAAAAACGTGCTCAACCAAGCAACGCCAAAGAATAAGCAACATAGCAAAGTCGAGTTCGAAGCATTGATCTCTACCCGCTGACGCGGCCCGTATACCCCGCAGTACCGACATACACCCCCTCGGCTGTCATCACGGCCGCATGCCCGCCAGGGGTGATCATCGCGACGTGGCCAGTCGGCGTGGCGCTCGCTGTAAAACCTCCGTGGGTGCGGTACAGTGATCCTGCGCTGGCATGTGTGGACCAGAAACTGTCATATGTCAGTGGGCTGCTCCCATTCCCATTCACAAATGGAGATTGCGAGTTGGTACTGGGCTGTGAATGAAATATTTGTGGGTTGGACTGATTTTGGAGCGAGGTTGCGTGATATGATTGGGTGAAAGAATATTGCGGAAGGGGTTGGGGCATGAAGGGGTTGGGTTGGGGTTGAGAGGACTGTCGATTGAGGGGCATGTAAGGGTTATATGGCTGGGATTGTGCGTGAGTTTGAATCTGTGTTGGTGTTTGGCTGTGTGATGAAGCCTGGAATTGAAGTTGAGGTTGGGGCTGCATTTGCATCTGCGTGAACCTTACCATAGTTGTGGGGTCGCTAGATTCGAGGGAACTGTGCGGAGGGGTTGCTGTCTCTGAGTTTGGTTGTTCCTGAGGGACAGTAGCTGATTGCGTGCTGGAGTGAACAGGGGCGGGAGCAGGTTGAGACGTTTCCTGGGAAGGCGCTTTGTCGGGGAGGGTTTGTATTGGATGTAATGCAGATTTTGAGGTGGTTTCGGTAAATGAGCTTTGCACGGGAGTTGACATTAATTCAACAGGGAAATTATGTGGGGACGTGGGCTGTCGAGAAGTATCTGTGGGAGGTGTTTGGCTATTGATGACCTGCTGTGACACCTCATCGACCACCACGGGTTCGGGAGGTTCTGGGATGGTTACAGTCGGAGGGTGTGAATTAATAGACGGTGGAGGAACAGTTTTTGCAGGTACGACAGGACGCAGCCCGCGTACCTGCGAATGATGGAAATACAGGTTCTCAACCTCGTTCAAGTTTTGGCGTTGCTAGTAATGAACGGTCGGGCCATCAATCACCACATCAGCTAGTAGGAGAGCGTACCCATCCATGCTCAACCTTTAGCTTTGCGTACTGCAGGCGCATCTGTAACTGTTTCGAGAGCTGGGAGTATCGTATGTTAGAGATGTGATATATGCAAGGAGCATGTCAGCCATAGAAAACGTACGTGATTTGCTTTTGCGCGCTCTAAAGTCTGCTTTCGTTTCTTTTGCTCTGCTTCGTTCGACTGGGGGGATGCTATAGTCACCATGGTAAGGCCTAGGACTTGCAGGTAAGTTGCAGAAACTGACAAAGTGAACTCAACGTGACACAAAGATCCCTCTTAATAGTAGAGATTCCTCATTTGGATTGCCGCCGGGATATCCTTTCCTAGTTCATCCAAGAACACCGTTGCGGACGACGATGAACAGGCTTTGATGGACAAGTTTGCTGCACTCGAACCGACGAGGCTTTATTCATCATCGGCGTCGGCGACAAACAAGAGGGCAAGCAGAGCACAACCTATTTCTCGATGGATTGGAAAATTACCTGCTGATATTCACTTGCTTGTCCTGAACCATCTCCCTATCCCCGACATCCCTGCCTATGCTCGAGCATCAAGAGCAACTGCTGGTCTATCCCGCGATGAGAAAGTATGGGAACGAAGATGGAATGATTTATCCATTACTCGGCACGCCCTGGATGACACGTTAGACGATCTTGAATCCAAGCAAAAGCCAAAGGCTAGCCCATGTTCGCCTCCTACGATACCTGTAGATGATGATTTCGGAGATTTCACATCTGCCCCGCGCATGCCATCAGTTCCATCTCTCTCTGCTGCATTTACTTCATTCGCGTTCACAGACGCATCTCCAGGAAAGCAGACTTTCCGCACCCGGTATACACGCGCTCATTCAATTCTAAACAAATGTTTGGCTCCTCTGAAGCAGCCACCCCATGCAGTCCTTTCTGCGCTCACACCTCTCATAGGCGAATCTCTGTTGTCCCAGGCTCGTTCTCTTCGCCTACTCGGCTTATTTCTCTCTCCCCGTGTCCAACCCGTAAGAAATTGGGACATCCTTCTCGCCGCTCTGAAGGCTGCTATAGATCGATTTGACGTATCACTTCTGACCGCCTTTGATGCTGCCGATTCTCGCGGAGACGAAGTGGTGATGAGAGAGGCTGCTCGTGCCAGCTGGGAGGTGTGGCCTGGGATTGGGGATTGGGAAATGGGCAAGGTATGGGCTGAGAAGCGAGAAATATTGTATGAGCAAGGTCGTTGGAATCCGCTAGCTAATTTTACGTGAGTGACTTACATGATCTGTATCTTCCGAGTATTTAATGATGTGCGCAGGGAGGAAAATACCCTTGACTTTACACCTATGGATGAATTTATGGCCAGCGTCATACATGCGCTGGAGGAACACGGCACGAGGGCTGTGTTCGTCTTTCCCCCAGCTGCTGGAGTCCTCATTGGGTTCGCAGAGCGTGTCGCCAACGAAGTTGTAAGTTCATGTCATGTCTATTTCTCCCCCATTTTATAACAATGGGTGGGTGCAGGTTGGTGAATACATAGCTCCACTGCTGACACGTGCCAGAGAAATATCGAATGCTCTTTATCTCACTGCAGTGGCTGCCAGCTTCAGGGAATCATGGAGGATTGTGGACCTTCTCACTACCTTGTCTAGTAATTTCAGCCACAAAGATAAAGACAAGGCAGAAGATGTCGTGTGAGTGATAAATTTCCTGGCTCGCTCGCTCTTCCACATTCCTCATCGTCGCTACATTCTTTCGGGGTACCGTTAGAAGTATTGCTAACTGTACGAACCCATAGATTCATGATGTTTGAGCCAAACATGGACGAATACCTTGATGAAGAAATAGAATCATTAAAACAGGCATTCGAGGTGATATGCAAAGAGTGGGCCCGGTCGGTACGCGCCTCCCTTCCTATTCGTGACGATCTTTGTCCTTGCCTCACCTTCAACTTGCAGACATTAGCGCTTACATCACATGGTTTACCCACGCAAGCACAACAGACACGCTTCCTTACTGCGCAGAACCCGGCTCTTATGAAGCGTACCGTTCTAGCGTCATTCACTGACATGCTCCTATTACCTGTGACCATAGTCCCACGTACCGTCGGTGCCGGAGTGGTAGCTGTAGGGGGAGCTGTTGGGGGAGCTGTTGGAGCCGTCGGCACAGGTATGGTCCAAGGCATTGCAATGCTTAATCCACAGCGGTGGGTCGGTGGGACGGGTTCGGTGAACAACGCAAAAGAATATACCAGCTTCGGCCTCCGGGACGCCGAAGGAGAGGCCGCTATCTTTGAGATTGGTGCTGATGAAGAGGGTGGTGATGACGGTGTTGATGAAAGTTTGACGGCACGATGTAAGTGTTAATTGTGATGTAGAGTAGGAAACTCATCAGCTACAGCTTCCACACGAGATACTGTTTCAATTGATAGCACAAACACAGCTGCAACCTCCTTTACGCCATCTACATTTGGCACTTCTCAAACCAATGTGGCTTCCTCTACATCTACGGCAAAAGCGACGCTGGCGCCAACAGGAAATCTTGATCTCCTGTTATCTCTCGATGTTGCTCTACAGTTGATTCATGCAGACCGTGATGCGCTCAAACGCCTCGAGATCTTTGCGTCATACCCGGGCCACTATGGAATAAGGGTAAGAGAAACAATCGAAGAAGCATTTTGCGAGATGCTGGGGGTATTGTGTAACAGGCACCTAGAGAAAGGTTTTGGAATGTAAGTGATACATTTCGCGGGCCCGCCTCTCGCTTGTGTATTTGTCGTAAGGTAACCTTCCGCATTGACAGAGCAACGGAGCGGATGAATTCATACAAACCAGCAGAACACGAAGAAACTGCCAGTGTAGCACCGCTGCTGCAATTCTTTGAGCTCGTCCATATAGGGGATACGATTCAAAGCATGGTACAAGTATTCTTTGACAAGGAACTGGTATGTGTATTTTAAAATCACGGACGTTTCTCCAGACTCTGCTACCTGTGTCAGGCTCCATACATCGACAAAACGGACTTTCTGAATGTGGTCGTGAGAGAGAAGAAACGGTTTGAAAATACACTCGATGACTGTGTTGCTGCAGGGCTCAATGCTGGAACACAAGTGCTAATGAATCAGGTGTGTAGTTGTGCTCTCCCAATCCTTCTTGGAAAATTCATTCGTGTGTCAGGTTGAACACATCATCCTGACATTGACAAAACCACGGGAATATTATCCCCCAGAAGATGCTCCACTAGAGTTGGGTCCCACTCAGGGCTGTACGGAAGCTATCCGATGCTTGGATATGCACTGCAAGCTTCTCAAGGGTAGTACGAGCAAGGAGGTGCTTGAAGTATTCTACCAAGAGGTGGGAATCCGGTTATTGGCGTGAGTCTGTAAATGTTGAGATACCCTGTTGTGGGAGGCTGATATGGTGGTACAGTATACTGCAGAAGCACATCAAGCGCCAGATTATATCTCTGAATGGCGGTTTCCAAGTCATTGCCGACCTCAATGCTTATTACTCCTTCATAGCTTCTCTCAAGGCCGGTCCATCTCCGCTGATTTCAATCACATGGTGCCTGATGCCTTGTAAATAGGTACCTAATATCACTGCCGATTTTTCACATTTGAAGATGTTGGGACATGTCTTTGTCGTGGAAGACGCAAAGGATCTAGCGCAGATCGTGAGAGATGTGACAAGATATGGTGGGGCATATCGACCCGAGGTATGCGATTTTCCAGCACTATCCCCGGAACAACAGCAAATAACGATGTTTTCGCTAGGATATTTACGAATTTATTCAACGGCGCGCTGATTGGAAAAAGATCGAGAAGACGGTAGACAAGACGATGTATAATTTGAGCTTCAAAGAAGATTGTATTGTTTGCTGAACTTGGGGCTGGAGTGCATTATGACACTATGTAGTACCAACTGTATTATCCGTGTGTTCTGATGCCTCATTGCTCGATCAGAAAACGATGGAAACGATAGTGGTGGCAACTAGATTATCCTCAGTATACGTCATTTCATGCGAGGATATAATAATTTTCCCCGTTTGTTGTCCTTCGAAGCTTCTACTCCCCTTGAAGGGTTTTGATTCCACTCGCCTATCAGACTGGCGGTGCGACGATGATCATCGGTCTTGATCGGCGCCCTGGCACAAGGCATAATTATTCAAGTGTCGTTCGAGTTTTTTTTTACTGGAAAGATGTCAGACGACATTACTGCGCCTACCAACACTTGAAGATTCAATTTGTTGTCGGAAGCCTCTTCGATGCATTCATTCATTTGAGTTTATGGAGAATACATCTACGAATGGATAGAGTTGACTTGGCAGAAGTGCATATGAAAATGTACGAGGCCCGGGCGGCTGTTGTGTTACCGCAGCCGTACCGGCTGCCACCGACCGGTAAAACATTACATAACATTTATACACAAGCGCCCACTGACAGTGCGGTAACTTAGTAAGTTCGAATCGACGGACGGCAATGCCACTTGCAGCCAAACATATAGATCCTATGTGAGCACTGAGCACTGAGTACTGAGCAGCTAAAAAGATCCTTCTAGTGGGGGACTAGCGCTGTTCGGTTTGGATTCCGAGTCGGTCACTTATGTAATATTCCTGGCGCTCAAGTGGATTCGTAGCACTTACGGTACAGCCTAGTGTCATGAAAACACTCTTGAGCTATGCCGTGAAGAATTATAAAAACATATAAGGGCATACTAGTGAGCCTATTGCCACAGACCGCAGCCAGGCCTGCTAAGTACTTCTTCCCTGCGGCTTGCCTCTCACTGTGTGTCTCTCCTTCATCAAGCACGATGGTAGTCAACTCCACGGAGCTGATGTGGGGGCCCGGATTCATTGGTGAGCCTTCTGATGCGGCCGGTCTTCGATTTCACCTAGCTGACTCCAGGTTTCAAAGGATTTATCATAGCTACAGTGTATGGACTTGTACCATTCAGTCTTTGCTACTGAGTGTTGACCTGTAGGATTTCAAAGGCTCTACGGGACAGCTTTTGGACAGTATCTCTTCTACGTGCGATGGTTTCCGCAAGATTCAAGAAAACTCAAATTTTTTGTGAGCCCAACTATGTACATCGACGAAAGCATCGTCAATTAATACCTCTAATATAGATAACGATGACCTTGTGAGCATTCTCCATCATGCTCGACCATGATGACGTGCTGATACCAACAACGATGTCTCGTAGTTGTTTGGAAACAATACACGAATACTTGTTGATAGGAATATACTGGTATATCCTTATTTCGTGTCGTCATAGCACGTCTTTCGAGTGCACCGCTCAACTTCCGTGGCAAGTCGATAGTTTTTCTCCAGCACAGATTGACTCATCGCGAGGATAGGCAGGTACTGGCAAGTTCATTTTTATTGATGTAGCATAATGCATATTGAACGTTGCCTACAAAGCTCGCTGTACTTATGGCAGTAAGTCTTCCTTATCTAGTTGCCATCAACACTAACTGACAAATCGTAAGTATTGGATTATTTTTGCTGTTCAGTGGTACGTGGTTCCTGTGGCTGGCTTTCCGTAAGATGATGCCAAATTTATATTGGCTGTCGAAAGCTTTTATGTACACAGGGTGTGGATCAGTGAGTACTCTAGAATCTTCGAGAGTGAAGTCTCAAAGAGTTCCTTTAGTCACAGGACAAAATCGCTTTATAACAGGCATTGTTGTGAGATGCCGTTTTCATGATTCCTTGTTGCGGAGAGCTGAGCTACAACACAAATTTTCAGTGTGCACTCGCCACTGCATCATTCGGTCAGCTCCTTCGATCTTAGCCACATAACCTCTAATTTTTGAACGCTGCAGTATGTGGCATGAGTTAGGTCAATCCTCCATGTCCTCTGTCAACATTCTGATATATTGCGTCTTCGTCTCTAGTCCTAAGTGGTCTAATGTAAGACGATCTTTTTCATCGAGCTCAGACGATCTCTTATATACTTTCAAAGATTCAATACGCGAAGACCTGAAGATCTATTTCATACGAAGGTCCAGTCAGCCCTGACATAGTTTTGATGAGCAAGGAACTCATACTTGGATTTAGTGGTCGCAATTAGCGTCCTTCGCCAGTGCATTGTGTGATGCTGTCACTACAGGTACAGTTTGGTGGTTTTTACGACCGGCGCGAACAGACAACATTCGGTATGTGTCTCTCTGCTATGCTATGGTCTGACTCATGCAGCTGTGAAGGTCGAGGTCGAGGAGTTATCTCAACGAATTGTTGCGGGTTTTTATCCAAATGGGATTGTTTTCCTTGTATGTGTAACATTGCATTCCTGATGAACGTTTCACATGCGTTGTCCCCAGCCTTGTGGCGACTACCCTGGCTGTTCTTGTAAGCTTTCTCATACATGCAAATCATTGAAAACAACCGTCGGAACTATTTATTTCAGTATCAATTCCAGGAGAATCTTGTTGGCCGATTCTACACCGCTGCGCCTGGAGCGGTCATAGGAAACTGTCAGTGATACTATATGTTCGCTGTGCACTGCGAAATACTAACCCTCTCACTTATAGCCTATATTAACTCGATGCTGGCCGTGTGAGTCAACCAGTCTTTTATACGAAGCCCGCTAAACTGCTGCTCAGGCTCAATGCCAGGAAGTCCGTCCGCGAACGTGAACGATATGCTCGCAACGTGTTGGAGCTTCCTACGATACCTACGATACATTGATTTCTAATTCTGTTGGTGTGCCAAACATATGTTCTTTGGCGAGCATGTGCCATATGAGGCCGTGCCATCTATCCTTCAAACGTTAAATCACAGTCGGCGTTGCATTATATAGAATCCACGAACTACGTTCTCTAATATCCACAAACTATTTCTCCTAATAAATGCCGAAACTTGATCTCAGGCATGCAGCCACGTAGAGAGAATCTGTCGGGTATTGTCGGAATTACCAACCCGAGGTCTTCAAGCGGAGTTCAGGCCACAATTGTTGACCACGATCCAGCTGCTCCGCAAGTTCAACTGTTCAACTGTTCAACCACTCGTCGTAGATTGATCACGGCACCGGATAACACAAGATGTCACATCAACGGCAGCATCGTCGCGTCGCACATTGCTTGCCTGTCACATATTTGGGAAATCGCGCGAGGTTTCGGAGACAGGTTCGACATGCATGAATGCCAAGCGGACCACTCACTACAAGGTTCAAGTGCCATCAAATTCAAGTCCACTACCGACCCTAACATCTGACCTAGTTCCAAAGGTACCCTGAGATTCGGACAACAAACACATCTAGATCTGAACTCATCCTCGAACCACCCCGACAAGTCTTGGCAGAAAAGTTTACAGCATGATATAGCCCCACGCAACAGGGACGTCGGCACCGAGCCCTGACCCTCGATCTTGTTCCACGCGTCTGGTCCATTGAGACGGAACAATTGAATTGATTTCCCTGAGCATGAAAGTGCTGATGAGGTATTGATCTCCTTTGGTTAACGCCTTTTGGCCGAAGAATACGTGACAGGGCTCGGAACAGTTTTTTCCCGTATTCGAACGCGCGGATGCCGGAAGGAGGCGAATGTGAGCTGATGACTGTGGATCGAGCACGGAAGTCACAGATTTCACAGACACATGTATGATCAAATTGAGCGGCCTAGCTTGAAGTCTGGATCTGATGGATCGGTCACAGACGGAGGAAACGCGCGTGGTAAAGTATGTCGTCACTTGAACTGGCTATGTGCCAACGAACGATAATGTCTGCACGCACAACCATGTTGAAGGCTCGTTCTTGTTGATCGCTCCACACTGAAAACGAGGCGACTGCCCTCGACTGAGCGCCTGTCAAACATTCAAGCGCCGCGCGTTCTCCGCGAGTCAACAGCTTCTCTTCTTCATCGATTCATCATTCATCCCCTACGTTCAAATCAAACCAAGCACGTCTTAGTATGTGTCGGATAATAGCTCGGGAGCCAACATGTTGGTTCTTCTACTTGATTGACTGGGTGTTCCATGGACAATGCGGATTGCACCGGGCATGCATCGCAAGGGGTGCGAAACTTTGCATTTCAGGTCGCCGGCCAGCGCGCACTAGCTCGAAGTTCCGAGTTCCATTGGCAATACCCAGCAAGCGATCGAGGGTATCGGGAGTGAATGCGGGGACGGTGTTTAACGACGGGACGGTGCATCGAACAGCCGTTACAATTGTTATCATACCCACAGCGCTTGTTTTTTTTTCAAGAACATCGATGGTAATTTATTAAATTCCCGAACTCTAGAGATAAGCCGATCCAGCAAGTACTGCGGGATTCCCCAGAAGCGCACACACGATCAATCAGCGCGTTACTTCGATATGAATATCGGATAGCTTCGTGTGTACCGGTCGAAAAAAAAAATTGGTCAGGCAAGGTACGACTGTCAGAAATGACGAAGACGATAGATGCGACTAAATTCCAAGGGGCACTTAAGGCCCCGATGACATGAAAGAGCGGTGATAAGTTATCTATGAGGGTGCTCGGTGTGCCTTGGCAAGGGCGTTATGTGGCGTGGTAAAGCTGGAGCAGGCTGGAACACGCAGGGTAAGTTGTTTATGCACAGCGAAGACAGTGATCGGGCCGCAAGGGAGCGCTGAAAAGGGTTCCATTGTGATCAGAATGATTTCATCTCTGCGGAAATGAAAACGTCTATCGCCTCTGATAATGAAAAGTGCCCAGAGCGCAATGGTGGAAGAGCGACTGTCGGTCAACGGAATCACCGGATGATAAGAAGTAACCTGGTGAGAACTGATGGATTTGCATGATGTCACACGAACGCCAAGCCTGAAGTCTCCTCCAGGACACCTGAGCATCAACCACTGAACCTGGACTTGGACCTGGCCTAGGGCTATGATACATGTGTTGCTGTCCGGAAAGAATAACGAGTTGCTAAGACGATTGTAATTGATGGACGAGGTGAACGCGTGGACACAAACGTTGATCTATATAAAAATAAATTTATCGTAACCCAGGCTTTACGGTTTGAATGCAATAGAATTCTTCGCTTGTTGAACGGCTAGTCCTTATTTGTATCGTGAGAAAGTAGTAGTTGTGAACTTCGTTTAACGCTTAGTCTTTTAGCTATATTGAAAACGACGATGACCAGGACGACGGTGACAGCGACGACAACGGCCACGACTACTACTACTACGACAGTAATGGCGACTACTGATCATCGTAAACATACTCCAGTTCCATTACTACTTGAAGCATTTCCTATACCACCATCACATATACCACCATCACCTAATCCACCACCATCACTACCGCCAACTGCACCACTACCACCAGTTCCAGCTCCATCTCCTGACGCAATCCTTTTCCTTCGTCGACTATCTTCTTCTAGTTCAGATCATTCACACCGAACTAGAACTAGAAACGGAAGTTTATCAAGCTTACGCTCATTCCAACAGAAACCTTCTTACGATCTAACCCATAATACAATATCAGAAGAAGGTCCCCCGTCAGAACTAGAGAGACCTCGCTCAACAAGTCCAGACGTTCCAGCTATCATACAAGCAACATCACGCTCACGTTCACGCCCTCGTAAACGTAGATCATCACACCTACCCAATCCTCACGACTTCGAACCCGACCAAGAAGATCCTCATGACTCGGATTCAAGCATCGATCTCCACACCCCTTTGCCGTCAGTCTCTGTCTTTACGTACCCACTCTTGGTAATAACTCTCTTTTCAGCCATCTCATGCTCAGACACGGCCTCCTCTCTCCCCACTCAAAACTCCTCCCATCATCACCTCTACCTCAAGGTCGTCTCTCCATAGCCTCACAAAAATCTCAAACTTCCTTCCAGTCCTCCTTCTCAGACATCTCATTAATCACCAATAATTCCACTGGAAGTAAACATCCAAAGGATTCAAGAGACACTCCGAGTAGACGCGTCAGGCATCGGGATGGAAAGTTGTTGAGAGGAGGCATCGGCCTTACAACTGGTTTGGGTTGGAGTGATAGGTTAGTAATTCCGTCCTTTGAAATTGGCGGGCTTGCTTTCAAGGCAGGGACCGTCGCGCTTTTATCCTATCCCGTCTTCCCTTCTCTGTTTTATGTCGGTTCCGTCCTGCCAAGAACGGCGGTTTGCACGGACACACTGCCTCGTTAAAAATCAAGCGACATCTTTACAATTTCTGCTCACCTCATCGGGTCACGCCCCGAGTTATCCATATTGAAATCCAAATACTAACTCTCCAAACAGCGAAGACGAAGACGCCCCCTCCCCACTCACGCGTCGTCTCTCAGCCCTCAACCTCTCCCGACGCTCATCCGCCACTTCCATATCCACGTCCCAATCTTACTCCTCCCTCCGCTCGCCACACCCCCTCTCACGCAGCATATCCCATTCTATCCTTCGCGAAGAGAATGAAGAAGACGTGGACGAATTCGGCCGCGTCGTCCGAGTACGCGACTTCCCCCCCACAGATTACGAGCCTGACGAGCAATTCTCCAAAAGCCTCCCACTCAACAGAAGCAGAAGTAAAAAGAAGTCTCTCACCTTCCGCCCAAAATCCCGCCCTCACAAACCCAAAGACGACAACGCCCGAGTTCCAACCTCACTTGAAGACGGGATAACCCCCACCCGCGCAGAGTTTCGCAACAGCTCAGGGTCGAGTTCCAGTGGACTCGGGACGGGTACGGGTGGTGGGATTGGTAATGGTTCAAGCACCGCTTCTACTTCGTCCCTGTCCCTTCCCTTCCCTGCGACGCCCCAGAGCCCCGTAGCGTTTCCGGAGACGAGTACCAACATCGCTTTAGGCATGGGTTCGAGTCATCCAATACACCCGATATCTCACTTGTCAACCCCATCATTGAGCAACATCGACAAGTCGCTCCCTCCACTCCCCTTGACCCCGAAGAAATACCCGCCTTCACTTTCGAGGTTGAGGACGTATTCAAGCACGTCGAGCGTTGGGTCTCTGGAGTTGAGTGGGGGGCTTAGGGTTAATGTCAATGGTGGTGAGGCCGGGACGGGAACACCAAAGCCTTCGTTGGGTGGTGTGCCGAGGCCTTCGTTGGGCGGTGTACCCCGATCGTCTTTGGGTGGTGTTCCGAGGCCTTCGTTGGGTACGCCCCGACCGTCTTTGGGCGGTGTACCGAGGCTCTCGTTGGGTGGTTCGCGCCGACCGTCCTTGGGGGGTGTGCCCCGCCCGTCATTAAGTACCCCCCGGCCCTCGATGAGCCACAATCCATCTGCATTCAACAGCTCGTTGTCGACGCCTAATCCATCTCGGTTCACAGGGCAGAGCGGCTGCAGTGGGGGTGTATCCTATGTGCCACACGTGAACGCAATCACACGAGACAGCAGCTTCACGAACCCAAGGGACAGCGCCTTCACGAACCCCAGAGATATCAGCACCATCACTATCCCAAGCATCTCAAACCCACGAGAAAGCGGCACTCAAAGCCCCCTTCCGCGCAGCCTCGCGCTCCTCCAACCAGGCGAACAGCCCTTACGGCCGGGGGGAGTACTGACGTATAATCGGAACGTGCATGATCAGCTTAAGCGCACGCAATCGCAGCCACAGTCTCCTTTGATGCAGTCGCACACGCCGATTCTGCCTTTGTCACCTATGATGCGGACGCTTGTGATGCCTGGTTCTTCGGGGAGTGTTGGGAGTATAGTGGGGATAGGGAATGGGGATAGGCCAAAGTCACGGACAGGAACGGGGATGGCGTATCGCTCATCTTCGAGTCCTGCGGGGAGTAGGATGAGGGTCCCGAGTACTGTTAGACCTAGTGGGATTGGTGTTGCGTTGTGAGTGGTGACAGGT